ATGAGCGCGACACCACTATTGTCCGGAAAGCCAAGGACCGAGTACGCGGCAAGTCGATTGGACTGATCGGATTCGGATCTGCCTCCCAACAAGAAGATGAGGCGCTTGTTCTCTTGCGCTCGTCCCTCCTTCGCATGTACAAGGAGCATTTCGGGATGGAAGTCGGTCTCGTCTCGTCGCATGCGCCGGACCAGCCGGTGTACGACCTGTATTTGGTCCGACAGGCGAACCTCGACGAAGTGGATCAGATTTGCCGGCAGGTCACAATGGCCGAGAGTGACTCGCGCAGCCCGCCAATGATTGTGATTTGCTCGACACCTCAGATGGCCCAAAAGCTATCGACCACTGCAAGCCAGCGACCGTCGACGTCGGTCTACGAGTTTATCAGTCAGCCATGCGGACCGTCCAAAATGGCCAATTCACTTCTGGCTTGCCTCAAGCGCCAAATGGAACGGCCGTCTTGTATTTCAGCTGGCGGGATTGACCCGGCGTTTCTCACCGCGGCTCACGCGAGCAAACCTAGGCGGCAGAGTGGGAATGTGTCGCGTGTCGACTTCTCCTTGACGCCGGAGAAGACCATGGTTTCAGTGACTACCACTAATGTCGATGATTCCGCTGCGGAAGTATCCACGATGGAGGCAAACAAGAAAGTTCCCTCTGTGCTATTGGTGGACGACAATGATGTGAATCTAAAGCTGTTGGTCGCTTTTATGAAAAAAGCCAAGTTTCCTTACCATACCGCTTCCAATGGGCTGGAGGCTCTGGAAGTGTACAAAACGAATGTCGGGTACATCCCAGTGGTTCTCATGGGTGAGTGGTCCTGTTACTACAACTACTCTCGGTCCCTCCAACTAACCAATTAGACATCTCCATGCCGGTCATGGACGGTCTCGAGGCGACGCGGGAAATCCGCCTGTTCGAGAAGATGCATCGCGAAGGAAGCACCAATGCTGGTCATTCGTGCTTCAAACCCACGACGGTCATCGCGCTGTCCGGATTGGGTAGCGCCCCGGTCCGGCAGGAGGCCTTTAATTCTGGGATTGACCTCTTCCTTTCCAAGCCGATCCGCTTTCAGGAACTAGTCAAGCAGATCGACGAGCTCATGCATTGATCTCTCTCTTTCGTTCACGTTGATACAGCATTTGTTTCAAACTATCTAAGCAAGGTCACAGTTACGCATTAGGATGACGGAGTCGGGCGTTTGTCTTATATACTCAGGGACGAGACACTAGTAGAGGTAGCTAGCGGGCAGGTAGTTCCTTTCATCTTCTGGCCGAGTTAGCATCATTGCAGAATCAATCTTATTCATGCCTGACGAGGAATTCACGTGCTCTGTCTTATGCCCATAATTGAACTTACTGAGCCAATCAGACATGCAGACGGAGATCGTGATGGTCAGGGCGTGAGACTACATCGTGGCCGCACGCCAGCGAATCAATACTGCCGGGGTATTTTGCCCATGGAGCAGAGGCTGACGTGGCTACAAAGATCAATCAACCAGGAATGTCCGCAGTCGCATAAATGAATACATTTTCTGTAGTCTCATCTAAGATGGTATAGGTCGTATATCGTTATATGAACAAGGGAGCAGTGATCTCGACTAGCGACAGCACTGTCACCAGCTTGGCCATCACAAAATCTGAACAAGCAAAAAAGAGCTTCTTGGATGTGCACAGACACATTTAAAACAACGATGCTAAGAAGAGTAGAAAGCGGCAAAAGGCAACAGATCTACGCCTTGACACAGTACTGGTATCCCAGCCAGAGATTCGTGCACGCCTCGTCCAGCCCGGCGTTCCATTCGAGGAGCTGCGCGGCGGTGATGCCGGTCTCGCCCTCGACCTTGAGACAGTAGTCGCCTGTCTGGATGGTGTAGTATTCCTGGCAGGAGGGAGTGGCATACGGGTAGATGGGTGCAGCCGAAGAGGACGGCGTGGCGCTCGCGGATGGGCTGGACGACGCAATCGGGGCGACGGTCGGAGTGCTGGCCGCAGTTGGGACAGAGACTGGGATAGTGGTGGCTGGGACCGTGGGTTCAGGGGTAGAGACTGTCGTGCTTGTGGTGCTAGAGCTGCTAGAGGATGTGGTAGACGCGGTGGTGGGAGTCGCGGTCGTTGGAAGGATGGTGGTGGCCGGAGCGCTTGTAGTAGTAGGAGCACTGGTGGTGCTGGTGGTGTGAGAGCCTGCGCCTCCGGAGAAAGCACTGGAGATGGCAGACGTCAGGTCGCCAATACTGTTGGGGTCGCAGCTGCTCGGTCCGGTAGTCCAACCGGTGAGACGGTTTGCAATGTCCGACGCGTAGCAGTGAGTCGCGATGCCCTGGCCTAGGTTCTTGGAGGCGGCGATGGAACCGGAGTTGTAGATACGCGCGGCGCGGTAGTACGAGGCCACATCGCCTGTTCCTCCGGCCTGCGCGAGACATTGCTTAAGGCCGTCACCGGCTGACGTGCCCGCGGTGCCATCGGTGATCATCTGGGTGATCTGGGTGGCAGGGCAAGGAGTCAGAGGGTTGCCGCGGTTGCAGGAGCCCGATCCATCGTGGCTCTGCATGAGACCAGGGTTGACAACCCCGTAGTTCGTCGTGGGGGCTCGGACACAACCGTTGCTCTCCTGCAGGACGATGGCCAGGATGAACCGAGCATCCACGCCTGTGGAGCTGGCGACGGACTGGATGCTGTTGAACATGTTCTCGATCTCCTCGTCAGAGTTGTTTTCAACATTCCACTGAGCGCAGGAGCTCTTCAAGGTGCCCTTGTTGGCCTCGAACCTATCAAACATTGCAGGTTAGCATCCGACAAGGGGCTCGCGGCATAAATACATACATTTCCTCAAAGGTCGAGATCCAGTCGCTCATGGACGGCCATCCATCTGTAACTTCGCCGGTGCCACCGAGGACAGTGTAGCCTCGCTTCTGAAGGGGCTGGGTGGAAACTTCTGTAGTCACTTCGCTGGAGGGAAAGGACGGGACAGGAAGCCCAGAAATGAGAGTGGGAAGGCTGCCAGCAGCCAAGATCTAAGGCCAGTATATTAGTATGCGGTTGTGATAGGAGTGACTGGTATTTGGACTTACAAAAGGAAGGACCAGCATGGTGGCTGTACAGAAGTGCCCGGCACGAAAGGAAGGGAATGACAGAAGTCTAGCTTACCGATCAAAGGAAAAAACATGGAAAAGAGGGGGATCACATCGCTCTTATAAGGGTTGAGTTGTGCGAGTCGATGGTCCCTTCTCCGGTGTGCCCTGAGCCCTCTGTTCCCAGCAATTGGGGCATTTCTCCCAAGTATCAGTGCATACTTAGTCCCGATATTCAGAGTACCGAAGGGCCAAGCTCACCGGAGCAATGACCATATCCAATCAGCGATGAGTGCAAGGCCGTGCAGTGCTGAACTTGAAACACGCCGTCTTCTCTTAGCCTTCCCGTAATTGGTTTGGTTCCTGAAAATCTCAGACCCAAACACGAGTTCTTCCCTTCTGTGCAGTTGATTGCACTGGAACATTCAGTTCATTGGTCGGCTTCTTGAGTAAGATCACAAACTCAATTATTCGGTCCATATTCTCAGGGCCTGCAGAGGCACCGTGGCAAATTGGTGGACTACTCGACGGTCCATACAGAGCAGTATGTTGCCTGTGGCTCGCTCAGCTCAGCTCGCTTCATTTCTTGACTTGTCAACTTACGCGGCTCATTATTCAGGAAAGTGCAAATTTTTCATTGCTTATGCTCAATAATCTTGCCCCTCCTTGAGTACGACGCCAGGAAGACCGCTACTTACCGTTTATATCTGGTTCGTTAGGCGTGGAGTGACTACACCGATGCCTTACGGCCTCATCGCTTCGTCAGTCTCGTATCAAATATTTTCTCCATCTGGCGACTAAAACCAAAGATTTGACATAAATATGGCGTCTTCTTGTGTGTCTGCTTGTAAGCATCACTTCTCATCACACCTGACCCACTTGATGGACGCACTTGTTACTGTTTAACTTTGCTGCGGCCCACCTGCCGTGGAGGAATCACCCGCTTTGTTTCCGCGGTACTACAGTATCTATCTACCACAGGTTGCATGCTTCGAAGTCTGACAGCTCATACCTCAATTTGCGAAATAGATTCCAAGTTGTTTGTCACTTTCTCAAGTCCAATCTTTTACAGGCATTTCTGCCCGACCGTCTATCTTGTCGTAGTCAGGTGACCTGACGGGGCTCGAATTTCGATTTGACCACTTTTTGATTTGGTGTAACCACAACAAGGATTATGATTATGATTTAACCCAATTGAGATGTCCTCCGTAATTTGATGGACAAACATAATCGTAAGGTAACGACGGAGTCCGCGGTGGCGTTCGTATCTAATTACGGTCAGTCAGCCTGACATGACGGACTGCGGGATTTATACAGTAGGTAGTTCTCGGCCGCATTAGTTACAGTGGAGATGTGGTGCAGGCCATTGAACGGCTGCAGTAGAATGATGCCTTTTTAATTTGTGTCGGTCCAGACCGGTGGACTATTTACTAAGTTGACAGGTTACATTGCTGTATGGATTTTTTGCACACATTGATATGCTCGGCATTAGACATGCATCCAATGAATCGATTCAAGTATTATTAAATGCTTGAATCAACTGCCTGGCCTGTGCCTGTGTATCAGTCACCACGGTGCCGGCATCCAAGACAGATTCAATCTGTCCGACTCAGCATCCCATTTCCGATGGACGTCTGACACAATCGCGCGCCCGGAATATTGGCTCGGCCAAAATTCAGCATTGCCTTGAATCTCGTCACGCACGCGTGATCTAGCAGCAATCAGTCATCGTGGCTATTCACTCCAAGAATGAGAGCAATTGTACTCATGAGTGGCAATCAGAGTGGCCTTGACCCGGTCCGAGACAGGGCATTCCGTTGTGCATAAAAACTCCTGACAGTTAATATGTATAAACTCAGTTTGTTAGCTAGCTCACTCTTGTTCCCATCACAACTCCACTTGCACCTGGACAGATACGTTGGTATCAGCTCTATCCGCAATGGTTGAGTCCACTTGCCTCGATCTCACCTAACATCAAGGTAGCTGCGACTCCCCTGCCATCCATGATCCCCCCTGCTGCCAGCAATGGAATGTTCTTCGCTGGATATTCTCTCCTCACCATATCCGATACATCCGGAAGCAAGGTTATCAGACCAGCCCCCTGCTTGAATTGATGGCCGCCGGCATCGGATCCTTGAACAGAGAGAATATCGGCCCCATCATCGATTGCTTCCTTAGCACTCTCCACCGTGCCAACTTGAACGATCTCTTTCAGTCCCCAGTCTCTGCTTGTTTTCTGCAATGCGTGAATGAGCTCCGCGTGCTGCGAGCGGCGGGTGTATGCAAACAGCCACACTGCTACTGGTCGATGTTCATTGACCAGCTGGACAAAGTTATCCTTCCAAGTGTCGGACTTCATCGTGAGACAGCCGATTCCAATTGGCAGGGCGGCATTAGAGTCGACGATACCAAAGAGCTGCCTGGCGTGGATCAATTGTTGCCGGAGATTCGCCAGCTCTGGGGATGACGCAGTGGAGTCGGCGCCTCCGCCAATAAGGCATGAATGATGAATGAGTCGTCTTCTCTATATTGTCTGCTTGGCTCGCACCTAATCCCCCGGCTTTGGCTCCGCCACAGCCATTCTGGCATTCGTCGCACCCGCCATCGGTGCATTGCATATCAGCGGCCGGGATGTCGCGGGAAAGAATTGCTGAAGCGTTTCGGATCCGATAGACATGATGGTTGATACGCTGTGAATTTCACAATCGAGAGAAATAGAGAAGTATATCAGGCATTTTAAATGGTGTAATGCATATATATTTTCAATTGTGCTGGGTATCATAACATCATATCTACTCATACTAGACTAGATTGAGGGGTTGACGCCACTCGGCCGCTAGGCTGACAGTGACGCTGACACTGATGGATGCGTGGATTACAAGGAGCAGGACAGCACAATACCCATTCTTTAGCCAATGGTAACTTATCAACATGCATTTGGAATGCAGATCCTCTTGACTGCCCACCTTTGACTGTCACATTGTCTCGCGCCTGAAACCAATACTCTACGGACCACTCAGTAAGGTAGAGATTGTAGTACGACATCCAAGACCTGGTGCAATAGCTATTGAGTCGGAGCACAGGACTAAGAGTTTGGGTATTTGCCGGAGTATTGATAGCCAGTATGTTTCTAATGATAATGCTGCTAGACAATGCTGAGCTATATAGCGCTAAGGCTGAGTGTTGAGCTGTATAATGCTGAGAACGTTCATATAATGCCTCCATATAATCTTACGATCTGAAGCCTTCTCAATCCTTTGGTACAAAAGACAATGTCAAGGTCGATGTGGTCCAAATAATTATTGACATATATTCATCAAGCCCAGGCCATACTTTGTCCTCTACCAGAATAACAGTAAATATATACAGGTAAGTTCCAATTCAGCTCCACATTCTGTTCTTCTAAGTTTGCGTCAGGCTCTCTAGCATTGGATCCTGGTCAAAATAATGGCATCCTGGCAGTATTCGCATAATCCACATTTTCAGCCACAGACTCGATTCGTTCATGACAGGTTCCAAAGATCCGATCCCAAAGACGAGTCTGCTTGCCGTAATTGTGACTCTTCCTCCAGCCCTTCCGATGGTGCAAGTCATGATCTTCAATGACAATTTCCGCATCGAACCACTGCAGCAGCCAGCTGAGAGGCGATGGGACAGTGAGATGCAAGCGCAGGCCGCTATGCCCGAACACCTCTGCAAAAACAACATACTCGTGGCAGATCCACCACTCGTAGAAGCCCATCGGGAGACCCAGCAGCCGCAGGGTGAAGTAGGTCATGATGGGCACCCCGACCATATCGCCGAATTCCTGCTCGTGGTCCGCGTATGCAGTGAGCAAAGGGTTGGGGTGCTTGGTCAGGTGGTGAGTGCGGTGATACTTCCAGAGGAAGCTGACGTCGTGCATGAGACGATGGTACCAGTAAAACCAGAAGTCGAGCACGATCCCGTACAGTCCAACCTCAATGGGTAACCAATACCAGTTCATCTGTGAGGGAAGTTGACTAGTTTGATAGGAGAAGTACACCGATAGCGCCAAGCGAGAGCCGGTCGTTTTGTACACCGAGGCAACAACTTTGCCGACCCCGACGTCGGGAACGCCATCTCGTTCATGTTTGTCGCCATCCAGAAAGCCGTATTTGTGGCCGAGTCGGCGGAGTATGTGTACCTGGTAGATGACGATCGCATTGAAGGCAAACATATATAGGTTAAAGGTGGCTAAAGGACCCAAGTTGCGCCCTGTGTACCATGCATAGGCCTGATGAAACGCCAGTGGTAGGGACGCGTAGAAGATAACCCAGAGGTTCATCGACCATTGCGGCATGAATGGTATCGGTTCATTCTTGGAGTGCACCGGTATCTCTTTGTCCAGTTCTAAAGGGTAGACGTTGAGTATGTGAATGAGCCAGTGTCCGAGGCCCCAGGTATCCCTGCTGGCAGTACGCCAGGTGGACTTCATCGAGTCTTTCGGGTTGCCTTTGGTCTCCATGGCTGTGATGGTTTCAAGGGCTTTGTGAATCCGTAGGAACCCTGAGTGATGACCCGCTGTTTAAATAGCCTCCTCGGGTTCAGTTTGCGGAGACGTCGGCAATCTGGAGAGAGCAGGACATGTGAAGAGGTCAGCAACATCCCACAACGTCAGTATATGTGGATCTTGGTTCCCAACAAAATCTGTCCGACATATGAATGGAAGATTAAGCCTGTCGATCTGGAAACTAATCCTTAGCGAGCTACCGTGGATGACCAGCATGTGAGGCTTGATGAGTGTATGTTCTCTCCACAACGAACCACCCCGCTTGGGGTACGGACCTACCTCAGAGGTCCAGATAATCAACAGCTCGAATCATAAGTATCCTGGTCGATAATGATACCTTCGCGGCGAAGTTTGGCAGATATCCAGCCATCAACCTGGAAACGCTTGGGATCCCCAAGAGACAACGCAATGCCGGCCAAAAGTATTCACAATCCCATAACCTGGTTGTTGAAATTGAAAGAGGGGAGTACTCAAACTAACCCATCTCGCATCGGCAGTTTGGGGAAGCCTGGCCAGGGTCCACCAATTTAGCGTTCGCAACCATTTCCAAATCGGGTAATATCTCGACCATCCCGCAATGATGTTATGTTGAGGTTGGTCTATGCTTGGCGGTCAGAAGACGAAGAAGGTCGCATTCAAAGATGGTCATTATGTTTTGATTGTACTATGTAGAGCGCAAGGAAGCGCAACTGACAATCAGATCAATCATATGGACAGCGACTTGCGATCACGGCCACAACAAGTCCAGCAGCTGCTTTCACAAAAACCCAACGACTTTGCCACGGTACGTCAGTGTCCTATAGATCAATAAATTATGCCCGTTAGGAGTCCTGAAAAGAGCACCATAATGCAAATGTGATCAAGCGTCAGATTCTGAGTCACTAGTGTGGATCAGTGTTGTATGGCGGGTAGCACTTCTACTTGAGGCTTATAGCCAGTTAGGTCAAGCTTGAACTTGGAAATCCCGTATGTGTCGATGCCAGGGTATATCCCGGTACATGTGAATGGCTGTTCGTAACTCTCGTGATGTCAATCAACAAACACGTTGAGAGACTCGCCGGGCTATGGAATCTCGTGGAAGAAATGCTATCTTGTGACTGTACTGAGAACCGTAGTCAACCAAGCAGCAAACGCAGCGAAGAAATGTGTTTCATGATTCGTCGCTTTATTGCAGTACTCCAGCAGTCTGAGATATCGTTCCCTAGCTGTGCTTCCCGTCGCATGTAGAAGTTTTGCACAATCAACAGGGCAGAGGTACGGCGGCTGCCTCGTGTCCTCTGACAGAGACGCGCTTCCCTGCATGATGCATGCGTAATATACACAATGGTCAATACCAAAACAATGACCTAACTCATGGCTCGCCGTGCGACACATTCGGGAAAGCCAGAGTGATGACAGTAACCGTGGTGATGAATCGATCTTCGGGAAGGAAGACAATGCAGATAACGCGGCTGTTAATGGCGCAGCAGCTAAGGATGATGATTCGCTGGCGGTCTTCCGTCTCTTGGTACTCGCCACGTAGGAGGGGCTGAATTTTCGGATGTAGTCGTTACAATGTGATGCCGGCCACGAATGTTCCCGCTCTACTGACTGAGTTGGGTCCAGGGACGGACAATACCTAGCGCTGGAGACCACTGCGACGCGACTTCCACCGTATGCACGTCCGCAGACGAACGTATCATCGGCGTCCTCATAGAGATCATGGTTCACAAGAAGACACAAAGCATATGCATCCTTGGGAAGTATGCTTATCGCCACATCTAGGAGATCGTCGAGGTTCAATTGACGAGGGTAAAGTTTGTCAGGGCATGCCCGCGTCCGAATGCCAACGCACTCGTCTGAAACAGCTAAACCAAGGAAGTGGGGTGAGCTCTTGGATTTCTGGCCATCCCAAGGAACAAATCGAAAGTCAGGTACTCGGAGGAGCTTGACGGGGACCCCATGGTAAAATGCCGCGAGGTAACCGACGATGTCTTGCGGCGTAGGCCTTATTAACTGATGCTGCGTCTTGCCCACTCTAGGAGAAGTCCATGCCTGCGCGAACCGGGCGTCCTCGTCATAGTCCGGCGGCGCGACAACATAGACTGTCCTTCTGTCCGAGGTGACTTCGTTGCGATCCTCCTCGTCCAACCACTGTTGAAATGATTGCGGTGGGTACTCAGGATCTAGAGCAAGATCGTCGCCAGGTAGAACCAATGGAGCTGGAAAGATGTTTGGATCAATACGGCCATGTTGTCCTTGGGATCCTGCGGGTCTTGTGGCCACAGTCCTTTGCTTCAGACTTGGTTGTTTATAACCTACTTCAGCAGCATGAGGAGAGGAGTTGTAACACACAGAAGAATGGGAGCATCTTCGTTCTGAAGACATTTTTTGATATCTCTCTTCAATATGTTAGGACATCCGAGAGGGGAAATCTGCAGAAGACGAAGCCGCTCGCCGCTACAATCGCGTTGATATATTTAAGCAAGGAGCTGATCAAGGTCTTACAAGTTGAAGAGCAGACAGTACATTATAGTGAGGGATGGGCAAATTAAGATACACAATTCGTAGTCTCTTGAGATAAGACCGCCATATGTTAGACGGATTGACGCAGCATATTCTGCCAAATAATGAAAAAACAGTATTTGTGTTTGTTGACGAGGCCGAGAGTGGCTCCGAATCTGGCGTTGCTGAGTGATAAGGCTGGATGCTCAGCCACACGATAACATCTCACGTGACCACAGGGCCCATGGCAGGATGGCACCTACTCAATTCACCCACCTGCCGCTTTCACCGTCACGATTCACTACCTACACCAAACCTGAGCATGCAATGATGATGAGATTTATCATTTCATCCCCAAAATGAACCAACAAATCGAAGAAACTGCTCAGCAACAATCTCGCAAACTCCAGGAGCGACTTGACCAGCAGTCTGAACTTCGCGACCGGGCCCTTAGGCAAGAATTCGGCAGAGTGCACGAAAGTATCGACTATTTAACCAAGGACAATGAGGCTCGGGACAAGGGCATCAAGAGGGAGTTCCGCAATGTTATGAGAAACTAGAGCAGCACGATGGGATATTTGAGAGGTTGGAATTAAAAGTGGACAAAATGTCTCGGAAGGTTGACAAGATTGACACCTTCGAAGCATCATTTGCGACCTTCGAAGCGTCATTTGCGAATTCCAAGGTGGCCCACCTTAACCAAAGGATACAAGCCATCCCTGTGTACGACGCCCTTCATCAACCAGTTCCGGTTCCAAAGTGTTTCCCCAAAGCTGCTCTTAGACTCTATCGAATGCAAGATCGGAAGAACTGTACATCATTGTCACACTATTGCCAAGTCTTAATCTTGCTAACATAAGAAAGGGAATCAATTGAAGACCCTTCTCAAGCATTACAACCTCGAGAAAGCGACCATTCGGCTTGTCGACCGTGGAGAGCTTTACGACTCCTCCGACTCCGATAGTGATTCCGACGCTTCCTCCCGTTTCCACGCTATCGACGGGGAACTTGACCGGGCTATCGAGTCCAATCCGTTTGCCGCCATGTGTTCGCTAGGCCGTCATCTTGGCGTGGATACAGACGCTCTCCATGATCGGATCACGCAGCTCGAATTTCAACAGAAGAAAGGCACCGTGGCCAAACGCCCAGCGGAAGACGCGGGAAGTTTTAGGAAGATGATACGAGACTTGGTCACGGGGGCGCTGCAGCCTGGCTCGTTCACGAGAGCAGACCTGCTTCTTGATGATGACTCTGAAGGAAAACATACCAAATTGGAATGGGAGGTCGACTCGGATAAGTTCAAACGGGAAACGGCTCATCTTCGCATTCGTAACACCGAGGCCTCCCGCCGTGCAGCCAGCGCCAAAGACAGCCGGGGAAGTCGCCCACAGAAGGATTTGGAGGTCCGCTCACGTCAGTCCAAGGACAGCCTGTCACCAACCGAGAAGATGACCACTTCAAGCAACCGATTAGAGGGTCATTAGCATCGCCAGAGCTTTTTGATTGTTCTATCTTTTCTCCTTTTTTTGATGATTTTGGCGTTAGGGAAGCATGTATAAGATACCCGGTCTGGCTTCCGAGGATTCTGGTTGCTTTGGAAAGGCGTTTTGGTGTATCTAGGCTTAGTAGGATGTCAGCTCATGGAGGCGACTCCCTCGGCATCAGCATAACAGTCTCCTAGAGAGGGCCGCTCTATGGGTATGAATACTACTATTCCTACTTCTACTATACCACACATTAGATTGTCATTTTCACAACGCTTTGGGGCAATATTTATAAATTTTTCGACACCTTGTATATGTCTCTATTTCATCATTAACATGATACACATTAATGCAAATGCATGACTACATGTATGGAATAGCGGTTGGCACTAAGCCCACAATCCGGGGAATGTCTTCATATGCGGAGAAGCAGAGCGCGCAAATATCGCTCATTGGCTGCAGCACCAGGCCGAATACACGAAACGGATATCAGTCACTAAGTTTTATTACTACCTAGCTATCTTACCGTCTAATTGTGGGCCTGCTTCGTCTAGGGATATCAGGCAGTTCTCATGTTGAGATCCCGAGTCACTCTGCCGGAGAAGTTGTCAAGTACCAGGAATCTCCACCCTTGGAACATGCGTCTATTCACATGTCTCGTAGAGGAATACCAACACTGTCGCGCAAAAGTGCTTGATTGGCCGGATTTGGTTATTTTCTTCTCGCCGGTTGCCGAGTCCGCTTTGTCTGGTCCTATTACCCCTCATGCATGAGATAATACTGCCGCAGAGGATAATGGAGACAAAGCTATATAAACCTCGATGAGTCCTGGATTTGTTTCCTTGTTGCTATAACGTTACACCTCTATTACAGTACCACATCATCTTCCCACCATGACCGCCCTCGACTGGCAACAGAAAGCTCAGCTTAAGCAGTCTGACGCTGCTAGCAAGATCGCTCCCGAATGGAGGCTCTCTTCAGATATCTTGAATGCTATCTCCCACGAGTCAAATGTCCTTAGGATTCCGACAAATTGCGGTATCCTTTCTGCTCGTGAGCTCGACATCACCGAAAATTATGACGCCACTGCTCTCCTGCAGAAGTTGGCGGCAAAAGAGCTCAGTGCTGTGGAAGTCACAACGGCCTTTTGCAAACGTGCTGCTATTGCCCAGCAGCTTACCTCCTGCCTGACTGAAACGTTCTTCGACCAAGCACTCAGCCGAGCTCGACAACTGGATGACCATCTGGCGTCTACAGGAAAGACCGTTGGACCCCTTCATGGCCTTCCCGTCAGCCTGAAGGAAAGCTTCAACGTTGCTGGCGTGCCAACCTCTCTCGGGTTTGTCTCCTACCTGGACCATCCGGCGCCAACCACAAACTCAGCGTTGGTCGATATCCTCCTCACCGCCGGTGCTGTTCTCTATGTCAAGACCAATATCCCGCAGACAATGATGACGGCAGACTCGCATAACAACGTGTTTGGCCGTGTCCTCAACCCACACCGCCGCAATCTCACGGCGGGGGGAAGCACAGGCGGGGAGGGTGCTCTGATTGCCCTCCGCGGCTCGGTGCTAGGCATCGGAACCGACATTGCAGGATCCATCCGCATCCCGGCGCTGTGCTGCGGGACAATCGGATTCAAGCCGTCTGTTGGCCGGGTGCCAAACGCGGGTCAGACACCCGCCGGTCGAGCCGGGATGGTAGGAATTGCGGCCGTTACAGGGCCTTTGTGCCATTCCCTCAGGGATGCCGAACTCCTCCTCCGGACTGTGTTCAACTCGCAGCCGGAGGATCTCGACGACGGCGTCGTGGGCTTCCCGTGGTGTGATGCACCCGCAAAGGATGTGCTCACCATCGGCGTCATGGCAGAAGACCCCAAGTACCCGCTTCATCCGCCCATGCAGCGGACTCTGGCTCTCGCCGTGAAGAAACTCGCCGCGGCCGGTCATCGTATCATCGATCTGACCGGAAAGTTGCCCAGCATCTCCGATGCCTGTGAACTGTCTTTCCGATACTTCAACATGGATCCCGACCGGACAGCTTTGAAGAAGATCTCCGATAGCGGCGAGCCTCCCGTCCCCTCCCTGAGCGTGACATATAATGTCGACGAGCCTGGACCGGAGCCGACGCTGCGAGAACTGTACGATATGAACGTGACGCGGGGCGAAGTGATGGCGGAGGTGCGAAAGACGTTCCTCGAGAATCGGCTGGATGTTATCATCGGACCAGGGTACCAGAGCTGTGCTGTTCCTCACGATGAATATGGGCAGCCACCATATACGGTTTTCTGCAACTTGCTGGATGTAGGTTCTAATCCATATGATGCAGGAACCTCGCTGACTTGTCAGTACCCATCTTGTGTTCTTCCCTTTTGCAAGGCGGAGGAGGCTGCCGACGCCGAGTTTGTGAGAGATGTCCAGTACATCCCAGCGTGTAAGTGTCCTCTCTTGTTGCGGAGAACTGTAGCTAACGGGCAAATGCAGACAAGCCTAAAGAAGTCGAAGGTGCACCTTGCCACGTGCAGATCATCGGCAGAAAGCTGAAGGACGAGACCTTGATGCAGCACGCCAAGGTGATTGAAAGTATATTATCGAAGTAGAGGCCATATTAGAGCCGTTCTCTGTTTCAATGATAGTATGGCCTTGTGTTTCTGAACGTGATATACGGTACGGAGTAGTCGATCGGCATTGGAAAAGTGAGCATCCCATCAGTGGGTGACGGAGGAGCGGATCAGCAGGGCATAACAAGCACATACAGGAATTGACTGCCCAACAGTAGCATCGCAATGATACTGGTCCACAAGAATCTAGAACCGGTGATGAAGATGAATTCTCTATATATCTGACACAATCCCCACGGAGTACTTCCGGAGACTCGTCACCATGCAACTTACGGTCAAGACCGGGGAGTCCAGATGTAGATGTGATGCTTAGCCTGTCACGCTGAGTTTAACGTGCGGAAGTTTCTCCTTAATTTACAACTTGATGGACATCATTGCTGTAGATATTCCACACCGACAGACATAGAGATTCTCCATCAATTCTGGCCTGATACTGCTGACCCACTCTCTTGAAACGGACGACGCGGCAGGTCAGTATGACATCTCCATGTTGTTTCGAGAAAAGGAGACCTGTCGCCAACAAGATATAAAGCTCACTAACAACCATCATCCGACAGACATCAACAGCATCGCAATCCACCGCAAATATGTTTTCCAAGTCTCTGATTTCCGTGCTTCTCGGCGCAACCCTTGCGCTGGCTACTCTCGATCCAGCAACCTCCAACACTAAGGGCAAATGCCCTAGTACTTACAACTGCTCTCGTTAGTACTGCTTTCTGTGGTCTATTGGGTCGAACCAACTGACAGTCAACAGCCGCAAAGACATCCAAGGCAATTCAGGCCGCGGAATGCTCTCACAACACGCGGACATCCAGTACGTACCTAAACTTTCCTCTAGACGCTGCATTCTCTAATACTCAAGCAGAAACACAAACATTTGCCGTCTTCGTCACCGACCACCAGTATGACTCCTCCCATGGGGCTCCATACGGAACCTGCAAGGCGTACACCTGCACCGCGCCGACTGACTCGCAAATGACCAACGTCGATGAGGATTGCTGGACGTTCTTCTGGAAGTGAGTCAAGACCAGAGGCAATAGCGGTATACAAAGCAGCACAAGTACTAATCTTATACAGTGGCAATGGAGAGTCTTCTGGCGTCGGCACCGGTTGCATTAAGAGCCCTAAGGACGGTACCTGTGGCTGCGAGAACTCGGACGGAACTTTCGTTTATGGTGGGACCAACTGCTCTTAGATGGAGATTGAGTTGCCGCGTCAGCGATCGTTGAGTGTTATAGTGATTGTAGGCTATTGTGGTTGTACGGCTGGCAGCGGAGAAGTAGATATCTCGCCAAATATTGTCTTTCCGAGAGATCAAAGACCCTCAGAGCACATCTGGGAAGAAGATTATCAATATTGAAGAAATAAACGTGCGCCTGTTTGACTGTGATCGACACCTAAAAGATATCCCAACCTCATCCTCAATGACGAGGTCGTTGTCCTAATCTTGTCCAAATGGGACCTGACCCATGATGCCAGCGCACGGCGACTACCAAGCAATGCGATCTTCTCATTCACAATCCGAATTTCATCTGTGGTAATCGCTACGGATCCCAGCACGGTCAATGGCCAGAGAAGATAACCGAACAGGAACTGGTCGGGATCGATAGACTGGATCAGGCCAAGACCCTGGCGTAGAAGAAAAGAAATTCGCCCCTCGACCTCCTCGGACGGGACAGATATGTTGATTCTGAGGATAAGGATGCGCATGGCCAGGATATACAGCATACATCCCTCGTTTTGAGATTGGGGTTTCCTTTCCCACTGCAGTAATTCATCGTGTAGTCTTTGCCAGGTGAATATGTCGGAATGACAAAATGGCCCGGCGACGCGTGCCAGCCGTGTAACATCGGCTATTAGCAAGAAGAATTGGTACGATGTGCCCAATATGGGCTGTGTGGACGGATCCTCGGCAGGCCCATTCGGTTCCCGTTCAGTAAAGTAGCGATCAAGGTACATTCGGCGGTCAGGATTGCTGAGTGCATCAAACGTGGGATCAAAGAGCATCATGAGCGCGCTGTGATACAGAAATGATTCCACACAAATCCTCTCGAATGCGCAGACTGGTTGTTGATTTCTCTCTGCCGGGAATCGTGATGTCAGAAGAAAGCCAGCAGCTGTGGCATGGGGTCCAAAATTTGGTGGTGAATCAGTTCGGAAGCTCTATATTAGGTCAGTATTCATCGGCTAGCTGTCACGGGCAGACAACCTCGTAGACGCAAAGACATATTGTGGTAGCTAATAAGCCATCCTCATTCCTGGCGTCGTTAGCATCCGCAATGCTGGCACGAAGCTGTCGGATAGCGAATATGTAGCTACGCATGGCCAACTGATGATGGTTCGCTCGGTCTACGGCAGCAATGGCCACCATAATGCCCATAAGAGGAGGAAATTCGAGTCCCAATCGCAGCATGTACGATTGATCCGTGTATCGGGACAGGCAATTCTGTCGCACCAGACGCGGATTTACAGAGGTCGCAAAGTAATGATAATACTCCTCGGAACTGTCTGGTGGAAACGAGAGCAGTCTTGAAATGGAGTCTTGGTGACGCTGTCGTCGTCTATCGACTGGCTGTGTCGCTGTGGTTGGCCAAGTGCAGTTGAGTTGACCGCGACAGCATCCCCCGCATTGCGGTCGTCGTTCATCGCACTTCTTGCGTCGTTGGCGACCTGGTAAATTAGCGATAATCTAAAAACACCAGGGCAAAAATTTACATTCGAGACAGCCTGTTCTCGTTCTGAGTCTTGCTTTTGATGGATGATCCATCGTCGAGTTGTTGTTGATGGAGAAACTTGACAACGCTTTTGAGTGCGGCTTCGTCTTCGGGAATCCCCCCTTTTGGTCGCTCTTCACAGTAACACTTTGACTTGACTTTTATTGGACCGGGTATTGCTCATTGATTTAGTAGCAAATGCATCATACTTATATAGAAGCAGTTCCCTCTCACACATCTCGGACCACACCATGGTCAATTACGACAAGATAGTTCTCTTCACATTTACACCAGACAGTATAACCTCCCAGTTGCTGCCACCTCCCGGAAATGCCGCTGTCAGGGTCACGCTCTCCCCCTTGAAGATAGTCACATAATTATCAGACCAAAACACCGGAGTGATCTCTTCCTCCGTATTCTTGTTGATGACGGACAGGTGCATAAAGGCGGCCGGGCTTGCTGAAGGGTTATTCAAGACAACCTGCACCTGGGACAGACCGTCCCTGGCTGGCAACGGCTTCAGCGATGCAGTTACGGTCACAGTCGGCATCGATATCAGTGCCTTGTAGTTGACATACTTTGTGACGGGAGTATAGTACCAGTCTGATTTTTTCCAGTCCAGGACGTCGTTTTGAGCAGACAACCAGTATACATTGCGGCTGAGGATGGCTCCTGTACTTCCATCTTTGAGCACCAGACGGAGAAATGCGACGTCCTTGATCTGAGAAACTGCTTTGATTGGGATAACCTTCTTCGACGCATTTGTTGTGGCCTTAACTGTGACCTCCTGGCTGAAGATTGGTTTGCCATGCAGGTCAACAAGGTCAACAGTGACAATGCGAGGCCCTTGCTTATCAAGAGAACGATTGATAAGGTAGACTGCACGCTCCTCATAGTCATACGCCACGTGTTCAATCCTTGCACCGACTTTGGTCCCGAAATATGCGCCAGCTGGACTCAAATAATAGTCAAACAGCTGCCAGTGCAGATTCGGCCATGCGCTGTTCAACATCCAGTATATGACACCAGTGGCCGGACGAGTGGCATTCTGGCGCGCGGAGAACGCTTCGAATTCGGCACGCGTGGCCTCATAGTCCATCATCTGTACCTTGAGGAGATAATCATCCAGGCTGACAGGGGCGCCGTACCGCGCAAAGAGAGCTTTGTTATACAGTGCGCGATTGTAGAAAGAAGAGTCATACCGCGACATATGATACTGGTTTTGATCGGGTTTCTTCCATAAGGAATCCAGTTCCTCTGGCGACAAGAACTTCTTTAGACTGGTCAACTCGGGCGTCCCAACACCAGCACCCTCTTCAGACCCGAATCCAAACGCAGCACCCATCTGGTCACCGTAGAAATAATTTGGTGGCACCCAGTCATACGGGCCATCCATCTTCATACCAGACGGTCCGAGAGCTTTTGGGTATCCCCGCTTGCTGGCGGATGCAATGATCGGCACTGGCCAATTCAGGCTATGCAACGCATCGAGATAGATCTTAGTTGCACGATCGTTGGGCCAAAAATCCGATCCGATCAGAAAAGCCAGCATGGACGGATGGGTCTGCATCATCGCTGCCTCATGGAGCATGGAGGCATTGGCAATGGGGTAGTCCTTCTCGGTCCATTTTTCTCCGTTGGCTTCATTATTGTACTGTGCTCATTAGCATTCTGCGTCACTGATGCAAAAATAAACGACTTACATCCCATCCCTCCCATTTGTCACAACATTCCCATCCAGCTATCACCATCAATCCCATTTCGTCGGCCAAATCATATAATTCCGGATGCTCCTGCTTACCCTCCAGTCGGACGGTGTTCAGTCCCATGTCGAGCATATACTGGAAGATCTTCCGCACACGATTGACATCAAACCGAAGAAACATATCAGACGAGTACCCTCCACCGAGAACGAGGAATGGCGATCCGTTCACGGTAAATGCCGTGTCGTTGTGAGAGTTGACATGAGAGTTTACCTGGCGAATGCCAAACCGCCTTTGAAGCGCAACATCCGAGGTCTTCCCCTTGTCAACCGTCGCATTGACATTGAGTGTGTACAAGGGCTGGGACCCCCATTGCGCCGGCCACCACACCTTGGGCTTTTCGATCCTGACATTCATAGTTATAGTCTTTGTCTCATGTGGCTGGATAGAGAATCGCTGGGAAAGCGCAAATCTGTCAGTGTCAGACTGGATGGTTCCCTGTACAGTACCGTTGACAGTCTCATTCTCATGGTTCGTGACGTCCACAATAACATTCACCGTGACCGGCTTCCCATCAGGCTTTTTGAAGTTGGTCAGCACACGCGGCGACGAAATCGACACCGGGCCCGTCTTTGTGATCATGACATCCCGCCATAGACCCGTGCCATTATCCGCTGGATACGGATTCCAATCCACGAATCCCAGCGCGAAATCCCGGAGATAGTTTGTCGGATACGCCTGGATGAGCAGTGCGTTTGATTTAACCTGCAGGTGTTTCGTAATGTCGTACGTGTGACCCCCGTACGATCCCTGCTGAACGGAGCTCGGTGCAACCAGCACCCCGTTGACGTATATATCCGCCTTGGAAGTGATGCCATGCGTGCGAAGGAAGTAATGCTCTCCGGGGTGTATCTTGTTCTCAATCGAAAGTTCATGTCTGTACAGCCAAGGTGCTTCGAACATGGCAGTATCACCGATTTTGGTTTCCATGTTGTTGGAGTAGAACAAGGTTGTTTCGTTGAAGACGCCGTTCTCAAGTAAACCTGCCATGACGGTCGCTCTCGCACCAACCTGATACCAGGAAGAGTCGTCCATTCCTGGCAGTGACCACGCAGAGACGTTCGACACCCCAAGGGAGGAGTGCAGTCGCCATTGACTGAGCGTGGTAGTATCCCCTGTCGTCTCGCCTATGCCATAGACGGCAGTTACTCCAAACACCGCCACATATAACGCATATAAAATAATCCAACCCATTTTGAAGTTGATTGAATAATTGCCATTACAATCGAAGCTTTTGACAGAGGAAGAGGAGAGATAATATACTATCGAGCATCCAGTCTGTAGGCTGCCGGCGAAGATGTCAAAGATCCCCGGTTTCACCGATGGTTCTGCAGCAGAAGCGATCCTTGCATTGAAGATCTCACTGTGGCTTGTGATAGGTTGTGCCTTATGTAACCATGGTAGTTTAAATGGTGGTCAGTTGGATGATCGAGTCCTGATCAGGTCAAGCGAACGCCATTGTTACATCAGGGACTTGGGGGCCAAACAATCCCGGTTGAGCAAGGCGGATCCTCCCGAAGCAAATAGCTCATTTCCTGTCAGATGGTTTGTTGATTCGCATGACGATACAAGTTATCTTCTCCTACACAGTCACAAAAGAATAACTATGAGCAGCTGGAGAAATACTTAATAATTACTTATCATTAGTACAACACTACAATTTCATGATCACCTTTTGGGTTTAGTGTCCCCTCGTGTTTATTCCACTAGATGGCTCTTTCTATACTTTTTATATTGCGTATATACCATACCACACTGCTATATATATTCTCCTATTTATCCGTCCCTTCTAGGGACTGTTATATTCCTAACTTGTCTCTGAGCCCCGAGCCTCCAGATAAGCTATTACTACACCAAAGCAAGAGAAAAGATCCCGTGGGGAATTCCCCGCTATAAGAGTCACGGTCCGTGACTCACGAAGCATGATCTAGCGGCCTAGCCTAATAGAGACTCCGCATTTATATTTATTGCTCACCTTCCAGCTCTCAAACACAGAACAAGTCTCTCTTAATCACTTACCCAGAAACCGATTAATCAATATTGCAGTCACGGAATGGCCTCATTATCTCCAACCCTCAAAGAAAATGTCAGAAAGGCCTACGACAACATAGCTGTCGAGTATGCAGAATGGACCAAACCAAGCTATCCTACCCGCGTCGGATATCTCCAAAAACTGCTCGCATACCTTCCTCCCTCACCAGTTGAAAAATCCGTCCTTGAGTTAGGCTGCGGTTCTGGCCAGCCTTGCACTACTATCCTTGCTTCCAACCCTAGTCTGAAAGTCACAGCAAACGATATCTCACCTGTGCAGCTTGCGCTTGCCGCACAGCATCTCCCTTCCACAAATGTATCCCTGATTGAGGGGGATATGATGGAGCTGTCTTTTGAAGATCACAGTTTCGACGCCGTGATTGCAATGTATTCGATCATTCACCTGCCGAGGGAGGAACAAGTGACTCTATTGGAAAGGATATACAAGTGGCTGAAGCCTGGGGCATTCTTTCTGGCGAATTTTTCGGCAGGACCTGAATTCGAGGGGTCGTTTGACAAGCACTGGTTGGATGGGACGGATGGAGAGGTATTTTGGAGTAGCTGGGGAGAGGAAAGGACCTGTGAGATTCTGTCTTCAATTGGGTTTGAGCTGGTTCTCAGGGAGGTTGTCGTTGACACTGAGGAAGAGAAAGGAGAAGGAAAGGAAGTTCCCTTTTTATGGCTTCTGGGAAAGAAGGCGGATAATTGATCAGGCCATGAGATTCATCCATGCTTATACAGCCTTCTGGAACGATGACTGCGCAGTGCATCTTTTTCCCAAAAAAAAAAAAAAAAAAAAAAATAAAATAAAATAAAAAGGGCCTCAGCAGCTCTCTCAAGCTTGGCAACTGCTTAAGGAAGCAAGATACAACTCAACCTAAGCAAGCTTCCACGGAACAATACAAGAGGATAGATTGGAGGATTAGGGAGTTCCTTCGCATTGATGTGAAAATACTCTATATATCCACCGTATCTGGAACTATCAGCTCCAAATTTGAGAAATGCTTTGAGGGGAATGATTGGGACAAACTCTGGGGAAATATACGCTATAAGAGCATAGGGTTCGATTTTACATCGCATATACAGGGATCCCCCTAAAGCTCAGGGATAGTCTCGTGTTTTTCTCGAGCAGCCATGGCGTATTTGTCGTCTCTATTTGGACGGCAGAGCACGAAAGTAGAGAAGGATCTGGCCTATAGGATTCAACGGACATCGCTCTTTCGTCGTTTTGCACCGGCTCTCGGGCTGCTTTTACCGACAGTCCTTGTCGCTCTGTCCGGAGTCAAGAAAGGGTTTGCACTGTTGTGCTCTGCTTTCGGTGTTTCAGACATTTCATGGACAGCAGTGGCACTTTCATAGCCTCGGGTAATCCTTGAGACATTGATAGGTTCATGGACGCTCACTGAGCGCCTTTTGGAGGGCGGTTCTTGTCCTGCAATCTCTGCTTCACTGACTGTGTCACGAAGGATCTTGGGTTCTGGCGAATTCGAAGCTCTCCCACTGGCCTTCTTGCCTGGTGCCCGAGAAATGGGTTGCACTTTTGTCGATTGTCTGTCACTTGGAGTGTCGCCTAATCCTTTCATGATACTCCAATAGGCCGAAAAGCAAGGTATGCTATAGTACCAAAAGGATTTGCGAGTTGCGTTGCTTGAGAACCAGAGCCAAAACATCAACAACAAAAGGAGACGCAACTGAGTCCTCGGGGCCCACAAAAAAGCGGCTAGGCGTATCATCTTCTCGTAGCCGTCAATGAGAATTAGTGTGCGATTCCCAAAGCGCCGCCACATATAGTACATGACTTGACGGAGAAACCCCCAGCCAATCCTCATGCGACATTCGTACTCGATATAATCAGAGTCTGTTACGTCCGTCCATGCTTTCAAGCGTAGCCTGAGACATGCTTGACATGAGCTTGAACCAATGTCCGCGGTGGAGAGACATTCAGTGTTGGGGCACCTTAAATGGCTAAATGCTTTCCCTCCCAGAAGACGAAGTCTATCCCTCCAGAAAGGAGACAGTTGGAACTCCTCGTCGTACGGATTGCACTGCAGCCAGCTGGACCAGCAGTTGAGGATTTCTAAGGCCTCCTGCACTCTTCCGGTAAAGTATTCTTTGTGGGGCGTACAGCAGGCGCAGTCGAATGAATACCTCATGTTGGCGAGTTCAGCGTGCGCCAGCGACTCCAAACGTTTGAACCAAGGAACGGAGTCTCCTCGGGGTACCATATCCACCACTTTGAAGGCGGGCTGTTTGCATTGACTTCGGTGCTTTTTTTCACGCTGCAATAGACTTTCAGATTTTCCCAGTTTGAAATATCCTGCCTCATTGCTCGGATCTGTGTATAAGTAGGCATGCCCTTGCTTTTGCCCTTCTTTTTCCGTGGCGGTCTTCAAGATAACCTCCTTGATTTTGAGTTCCAGCTTCCAAATCGGCATTGATCCTTCGGGGGTTGAGGGAGTACGTGCAAGAGATGGTCCGGTGTCACAGCTTTCCGTAGCAGTACGGCCATTTGGACTGTCCATTGGCGATTCGGGAGGCCTATGAGGTGTGTCGTGAGCTGCAGCATTGAGATCTTATTAGCGCACTGCCAGATGATGACTTGGCTAGAATAAGGATTCTTACCCAGATCGCTATTATTTACGTTCACTTCTCTCGTATTATCGACTTCATCCAGCGTTTCCACTTTCGCATCTCCTCCAGAAAAAGATACATCTCGGATATAGCGCCGGAGCTTTCGGGGTTGCAATCTGGCGGCAGCCCGAGGGGAGGGCGATGGACTGTTTTCGGATAGCTGACGATCCGAGGCATCCAATTCATCAGAATCGGATATAAGTATGGGGTCCTCAATAGAATTACCCGATTCTGGCGGTGTTACCAGAGTAGGATACAAAGCAGTCGAGGGCGGTGTCACTGGCGTTGTTTCGTCGGACATGATGGATTCTTCAGGCGAATTTGGCGTTCATTTGAAAATGAAAGAAATCAAGCCTCGCGAACCAGCGCTCGAGAAAAGGGACGGAATTTATGCATCGCGCTGGGCCGCACAATCTCATTTCCCTATTTCAAAAGTACCCCTACCCCTGGCAGGGCTGAGAACCGCCTGGAGAACAAGAGAGCCTCGATGCATAGCACAGCCCAGGTCACTGTGGCTTTCCTGCCTGTCTACCCCAGCCGGCGCACCCCATTTCGTGGCACCATGTCGCTATCAGCCTTGGTGGCAGTTTTAGCACGAAAACCCTTGTCGCAAGCTGCAGTAGGTCAAACATATATATGGTCATCCGCCGCGCGAGCGTTCGTAGGACTGAGAGTTGGCTGTTAGTGCCTGGCGCTACTGCATGTACACTGCCCCATGCGTTTCGAATTTGACAGGGGTTGGTTCTTTTTTTGTCACCAACGGTTCCCGGCTTAGCGGCTGGAGCGCAATTTAAGGTATTCCTCCTTTAGTGATATGCATGTTATTCCAGGCAGCAGTAAGGTAAAGGTAGGTTCTGAAAGTAGAGTGACCAGGAACGGGAGGCACTTACTCGGGTAAATTATTTTCTGATATCGCGCCTTGAAGTTAGGATGAAGCTTTTCTATGGCAAAAACAAGGGATATCATCGAATGAACCCCTTCCTGGAGCCAGCCACAACCGGGGGTGCCGTAATGAAAAATAGCTGTATAAGTCCATTCGGCACCCTTAAGAATTATTCAGCGGCCTGGTGAAATAGCGTGTTTGATTTCATCTCTGTGGCCTTTTCGTTTATGTCCCGTAGGAAGCGACGAGCAGTCCCAATTCGCGGATCCCTCTCTGAACGAAGAAGTCAGAGTCTGGATACTCGAGGATCAGTTCAAGATCCAGGTGATTCTCCAGAGTCACCTGGCAAATCTTACGGAAATCAGCTTTGTAAGATTCTTAAGTGGCGCGTGATTACAGCCATTTGCAGTATTCTCTCACAGCCAATTCACGAGGCCCGGCAATTTTGAAAGGCTCTTCATCCAAAGGCCCGGGTAGGGACGAAGTGACCGAGGAAGCGCTGCCATTTTGTCCTGGTAAAACATTGATAATGGTTGGAGGATATGGTGGTCCAGTTGTTGGCACATCAACTTTTTTCGATTTTCTTCTTGCCATGACTTTACAGGGTCAGGTCTCGACGGATATCATCAGGGACGTCGTCGTGATCTGTGCCTCTGGCATGGAAGGCGAACCTGGGCGGGACTGTTCATCAAGTACCCAGTCATCAAGTCAATTCAATGAAATTGAGTCACTTGTTTGCCAAGGACTGAAATTGAAATATTAAGCTTTGATTCTGGACTGAGACGTTTCCTTGTGCCTAAAGCTGATCGATTTTCGACCATGCTCCACCACTAAAGCTAGATTACTGCATATACCATTCGTGGACTGGAGTCAGAACTCTGGAAAGCTCGGGAGCAGCACGCTGGTAAATCTGCTGCCTTGAAAAAGACTGTTCAGGAGCTGGAGTCCGCCCTCAGCCAGTCAAAGAAATCCAATGCAGGCCAAGTCGCGGATCTTCAACAGAGGCTTCAACGCTTGCAATCGACCGCTGCCTCCACCAAGGGCCAACACGAGACCGAAATCAGTGGGTTCAAGGTTATAATTCGATCTTTGGAATCTGATCTCGCCGCTGTGAAGGGAACGTACGAGGCTGAAATTGCTGATCTCAAGCAATCACTCGCGACCGCCAAGTCTGATCTTGAAAGTGAACAAGAGAAGTCTACAAAGGAGATTGAGAAAATCAAGGAGGATTCCTCGTCCAAGGTTTCTGCTTTGGAAGCTCGCGCTGCAGATGCTGAGCGGAAGGCAGCGGAGGCAGAGTCAAAGGCCTTGGACAAGTCGTCGAAGGACCTTCAAACAGCAAATGAAGGGTTCTCTTCCAAGATCTCTGCACTGGCAACTCGCGCAGCCGAGGCCGAACGTAAAGCAAAGGAAGCCGAGTCACACGCCCAGAGCGCTGCCGCAGCGCTCAAGGAAACCAAAGCCCAACTTGTGAAGGCTCAGACAGAAGTCAAAGACAAGGAAGAAGCTCGCCAGGCCACCCAATCTGAATTGGACGACTTATTGATCGTCTTTGGAGATCTCGAGGCGAAGCGAACTGAGGATAAGGTACGTCGCCATCTTTTTGCCCTATCGCACTATTGAGTGCTTACTAACTATTCTTAGAAAACGCCTCAAGAGCCCGGCCAGGAAGTTTCTGAAGACGAGGATGAGGACGAGGACGAAGAATAGCAGGTTCTATTGTTGTTCTGAATGTATATAGCAATGGATCACACTTCTCAATCTTGCATCTGCTTAGCGCGACTCGAATTTTCATGCATGACTCACTGAAAGATTCCGTCTCTTTTTTCGAGTTACTCACGCAGCTTTCTGATCAATTAGATTGCTCCTGAAATGAATTATCCTTGTACATTAGTGTGTCTTAGAGCTCGTATTGCAGGACACACTGGCAAAAGATTAACGTGGCGGGCCCTAGGGCCCTAGGTGAGTCATCTCTCTCTATATCTGCCCCTCGTCCCTGTTGGAAAGCCGAAGTCGTCAACCAACTTCAAGCGCCATGTCTATCGATTTTCCCGCCGAGGAGGAGCTCACCCTCAAGCGGTGGAGGGAGATTGATGCCTTCCAGCGCCAGGTTGAGCTCTCTCGGGGCCAGAAGACGTACACTTTCTACGACGGCCCACCCTGTCCTACCGGCCCCCCTCACTATGGTCACCTGCTGGCTTCTACGATTAAGGATATCATCCCTAGATACTGGGCGATGAAGGGTTACTATATTGAGCGACGATTTGGCTGGGATACGCATGGTGTCCCCGTCGAATACGAGATTGATAAGAAACTTGGCATGTCTGGTCTGGAGGCCGTTGAGAAGCTCGGAATTGCGAAGTACAACGAGGAGTGCCGGGCTTTTGTCATGCGTTTCGCCACTGAGTGGCAGCAGACCATCGAGCGCTTGGGTCGCTGGATCGATTTCGACGACGACTACAAGGTATGCCTTGAGTCCGAAGCTGTCGCGTGATTGGGAATGGATCTATAACTAACGGACAACGCGCAAATGGGATATAGACAATGAACACTAGCTTCATGGAGTCTGTCTGGTATAATCAATGGCTCCCCGCTCATCCCCATTGCTAAACTGGAATACTGACCTCTTTGGCAAAGGTGGGTTTTCAAGCAGCTGTTCGACAAGGGCCTTGTCTACCGAGGCTACAGGGTCATGCCGTACTCGACCGCCTTGAACACACCTCTCAGTAATTTCGAGGCCCAGCAAAACTACAAGGATGTCCAAGATCCTGCTATCGTCGTCACTTTCCCCCTGTTGGATGACCCCGAGACTTGCCTGCTTGCGTGGACCACGACCCCTTGGACCCTTCCCTCCCACACCGGCCTTTGCGCTCACCCAGACTTCGAGTATATCAAGATCTATGACGAGGCCACCAAGAAGAACTACATTCTTTTGGGATCTTTGCTCCGCACCATCTACAAGGACCCAAAGAAGGCCAAGTTTAAGATTGTTGATCGTATCAAGGGTTCCGACATGCTTGGATGGAAGTACAAGCCCCTCTTTGACTATTACTATGAGGAGTTCAAGGACCACGGTTTCCGTGTGTTGAATGATGGCTATGTTACGGCCGAGGACGGTGTGGGTATCGTCCACCAATCCCCCGCGTTCGGTGAGGACGATTATCGGGTCGCTGTGAACCATGGTGTCATCAACGAGACCCGTACTCCTCCCAACCCGGTCGACCCCCAGGGCTGCTTCACGAAGGAGGTTCGGGACTTCTTTGGCCAGCACGTCAAGGAGGCCGACAAGGCGATTATCAAACACCTGAAGGGAACCGGCCGCATCCTTGTCGACAGCCAGATCACCCACAGTTACCCCTGCTGCTGGCGATCCGACACACCTCTCATCTACCGCGCGGTGCCTTCATGGTTTGTGAAGATCACTCCTATCATCCCTCAGATGCTGGAAGGTATCAAGCAGTCTCACTGGGTCCCATCTGCTGTCAAGGACAAGAGATTTGCCAGCTGGATCAAGAATGCTCGCGATTGGAACATTTCTCGCAACCGTTTCTGGGGAACTCCCCTCCCTCTCTGGGTCAGCGATGACTTCAAGGAGGTTGTCGCCGTTGGAAGCGTCGAGGAACTCAAGGAATTGAGTGGCTATACCGGCGAGCTCACCGATCTCCACCGTGACAAGGTGGACCACATTACCATTCCCAGTAAGCAGGGCAAGGGTGAGCTCCGTCGTGTGAGCGAGGTGTTCGATTGTTGGTTTGAGTCCGGCAGCATGCCATATGCCTCCCAGCACTACCCCTTCAAGAACAAGGACCAGTTCGGGAACAGCTTCCCTGGCGACTTTATCGCAGAGGGCCTCGACCAGACCCGTGGATGGTTCTACACATTGACCGTCCTTGGCACTCACCTGTTCGGCAAGCTTCCTTTCAAGAACTGTGTTGTTAACGGTATTGTCCTTGCTGAAGATGGTAAGAAGATGTCCAAGCGTCTCAAGAACTACCCGGACCCCACCCTCATCATGGACCGCTATGGCTCGGATGCCTTGCGTCTTTACCTGATCAACTCCCCAGTTGTTCGTGCCGACCCTCTCCGCTTCAAGGAGTCAGGTGTCAAGGAAATTGTCAGCAAGGTACTCCTGCCGCTGTGGAATAGCTACAAGTTCTTTGAGGGTCAAGTGGCCCTCTTGAAGAAGGCTTCTGATGTTAACTACATGTTCAACCCCGAGGCCGAGGCCACTAATACCAACGTCATGGATCGTTGGATCTTGGCGAGCTGTCAGAGTCTTCTGATCTTCGTCAATCAGGAGATGGCGGGGTACCGTCTCTACACTGTCGTGCCTCGCTTGCTGGGTCTAATCGAGAACACCACCAACTGGTACATCCGCTTCAATCGTAAGCGCCTAAAGGGCGAGAATGGCGTTGATGAAACCCTGCATGCCCTGAACACCCTCTTTGAGGTTCTCTACACCCTTGTGCGGGGTCTTACTCCTTTTATTCCCTTCATCACCGACAACATTTACCAGCGTCTCCTCTTACACATTCCTGAGTCCCTGCGTGCTGAGGATAGCCGCAGCGTTCACTTCTTGGCCTTCCCTGAGCCGCGTAAGGAGCTCTTCGATGAGGTTGTAGAGCGCAGAGTTGCTCGCATGCAGAAGGTGATTGAGCTGGGCCGTATCTCTCGCGAGCGCAAGTCTATCGCTCTGAAGACCCCCCTGAAGACATTAGTTGTCATTCACCAGGACCGGCAATACCTGGATGACGTTAAGTCGCTTGAGAGCTACATCCTTGAAGAGCTCAACGTGCTCAACCTTATTCTTTCTTCTGACGAGGCCAAGTACAATGTCCAGTACAGTGTTAATGCTGACTGGCCGACTCTGGGCAAGAAGCTTAAGAAGGACGTGCAAAAGGTGAAGAAGACCCTGCCTTCTCTGTCCAGCAATGATGTGAGGAAATACGTCACTGATAAGAAGATTATTGTTGATGGCATTGAACTGGTTGAGGGTGATCTGGTTGTGAAGCGCGGCATCAAGGAGGATTCTGGCTCATCGGGCATGGAGACCAACACTGACGCCGATGTCATGACCATTCTGGATGCCAACCTGTACCCCGAGCTGGCTCACCAGGGTATCGGCCGTGAGATTATCAACCGTCTCCAGCGTCTGCGCAAGAAGGCTGGCCTTGTTCCCACTGACGAAGTGAAGATGGAGTACATCGTCCTTTCAGATCCCGACAACATTGGTCTGAGTGAAGCCTTCAAGTCCCAGTCTCAGGCTATTGAGAAGGCTGTTCGCCGGCCACTCGATGAGCGCGCCCTGGTTGATGGCAAGTCACCTAGTGCTGACGAGGAGGGCACCATTGCTCAAGAGGACCAGGAGGTGCAGAATGCGACGTTCTTGTTGCGCCTGGTCAAGCTGTGAAGCATCTTGCCCAAAGATACATGGAAAAGATGACGTCCAGTGTAGATAAGAAATCTACCTACCCCTTTATTAGGTTACCGATCAATGATATGCATGTCTATGAGCTGTATGTCGTCCGTTCCAACTCGCAGTAGTGAACATGTAGAAAAACGTTGAGTCAAAATGAGAAACGCCGTGATCTCGTAAGATGTTTCCTCACAAAATATGCAATTGATGCAGATTTTAGATTGTCTTGGGCGAGTCTGGTTGGCCTCAGCCCTTCTTGGATGCGGCCTGGTGGTATTAGCCAGCGCAGGTGGTTGTTTGATAGGCCCTGAGTTTCACTTACCAGGAAACAATCCTTCAGGCGCATAAACTCCTTAGCACACATATCCTTGTGCACTGAGTTGTAGTCAGCAAGGACACATTTTCCATATGCAGCGGCCTAATCGATGACCTCATTAGCTCTGGGGAGCACTTGGGGAGCACTCAGGAAGCACATGGCAAATGAGCACTCGGTTCTATCACGTGACATTTTAATGACTAAGATTTTCGTAAAAAGAACTCTTGAACTGGCGTCAAAAGTAGCCGTTTTGGCGACGAATTTACCGTCACCTAGCGTTGTGGTGTAATATTTATGGGATTACAACCCTTTTAGAATGGGATACAATTGTTACATGTGCTGGGGAATCATTTGTCGTCCCTCATCAACGTTGTTATATAGATTACTGATATGGCGATAAGGAAATCTGAAGGACCCCAATCTGCACCACTCAGTAGCTGTGTACTGACTGCCTATGCCTAGTACAATAATCCCGGTATACATACTCCATAGTTAAGCCCTGGCTTCCTCTGTGTGTAGCCAGAGATGCCCGGAGATCTATCGCGATGTCTGCAACTGTCATTGAAAACGTGGGCTCCTCCAACCATGTGCTGCATTGACCAAACAAGATAAGGATGTCATAATACATCCCCATTTGGATCCGATGCGTCGAGGCTAAGGGTTAATGCGGTGGAACGATGGAGAGATGGAGTTGGGATGAAGGGACTGATGAGAGGCGCTACAAGTAGACAAACCGTCCAGGATGTAGATAACCTAAGCAACTGTCAGCACAGCCACAAACAACTAGTTAACTATACCTACAGATGCATGATTCAGAGCAACTAATCAGTAGTTTACAACTCAGCCTCGTCAGCATCCGTTAAAAGGCGGCTATGTACAAACTTGCAATTTTTCCAAACTACCGTCTCTATTTTCTGACAAGATGTGTCCTTGACTTTCATGCCCCATGTTGTCCATCCTCTTGAGTCCACGAGGGCGTTTGTTTAAGATAAAATTCCGATGGCTGAGACTCTAGGGGTTGCAGCGTCGATTGTAGGGATTGCATCGCTCGCGGGGCAGATCTGCAGTGGGGTTCAACAACTCTACGCCGTTGTAGACTCGGTCAGACACGCTCCATCTGATTTTCAAAACATCAAAAATGATATTCTCCTCATCGAGAGGGTCGTACGCGGCATGGCTGAAGACTGCACCGAGATTCCAGAGCATCTTGACATTGATCTTCTCAAGTGCTCATTTGAGCTGTGCCTGTCTCGCGTTAACCGACTTTTAACAAACATTCAATCATTTGATACCCCGAGTCAGAAGAATCGAACCATCAAATTGATCAAGGCGACCGTGAAGAAGACAAGGGTTGCCGAGTTTGCGAAAGAGTTGGACAGTGCGAAGATGACTTTGATGCTAGTGTACCAACATCATATGCAGTGAGTTTGAGGCCTCGCAAATGTATGCCTGTTAATCATACTGATACCGCCTCGAATAGAAAGATGGGCCCTCTAGCCTTCAGCCAGTCGTCCTGCCGTTCTACAGGTAACACAGAACGGATCGAGCAAGAAAATCTCACTACACAGATGGTAAATTTCAGTCGATCGTACAGCAATACGTCTGAAGCAGTATACACCCTTTGGCTCGGCAGTTTGTCCGTCAAATCTCAAAGCATCAGACTAAGACCGGCAATTCGCCGGTCAGATACAGCGCGGACCGAGTATCAATCAGAGAGAAAGACATTCACTCTGAGATCTGCAGAATGGTTGTCCTCTCGCATAATCGAGCTGCAGGCTGTCCGACAGGGAAGTCAGTGGACTTTCAACTTACGGCCATGGCAAGTAGTCAGTCCTGACTCTATGCTGTTTGACTTTTGTAGGGAGGGAAATTTGCGCAATGTCCAACGGCTCTTTACTAAAGGCTTGGCTTCGCCTTTTGATGTGACCCCTGACGGTGATACCGCACTGCATGTGTGTATTTTGTAGTCACAGCTGACACCTGGTTTGATGCTAACTATGCTGACAGTTTGCGGCCTTATCGGGAAACCCGGATTTGGTTGCTTTTCTTCTGTACAATGGAGCAGATGCAAATGTGGAAAATACATCGGGACGGTAAGCAATTCCATATCCATTGCCCCGTCAATGACCAACGAGGCATTAGAAACGCCCTTCATCTGGCAATGATTAGTCCGCGAGAAGAAGAACATCTGGAACTGGCCCGATTGTTAGTAGAAAAAGGGCAAGTGGATCCCATGGGATCAGTCCGAGAATTTGGCCTCATACATTCATACGCTGGTCCGGTGGACGCCTTCAGATACCTCATCCACCAAGATGAGTTTCTAGTCGATCTCGAAGAGCGAAACCGTGGCGGAAAAACGATTTTGCAGCATCAGATCTTCCACCGACTCTATTACGGGGATTCGTTCGAGCGGATCCTAGTCCTTTTTGGTGCTGGTCACCTTCTTCCGGGAGATCACATTGACGGAGACCCGACCTATGACGGCTATTCCGCGCTCCACTGTGCTGCTCACGTTTGGGCTGCAGCGAAGCTGAGAGAAGACGAGCACACAGCGCGGCAAAGCGAGTTGGTTCTCCGGAGTCTTTTGAGTAGAGGAGAGGATATACATAGAGTAAGCGGCCGAGGTTACACGGTTTTAACGACTATTGGCGAGATGATTCACTTCTCCCGCAAGGATCCTGGGCTTCATCAAGATGTCATAGCTACATGGCTCACTCTGCTTTCAGAGGCGGGACACGATGTCAAGGCCTATTGCTTAATGGAAAGTACCCTCGAGAGGAGGAGGAGACTGGAGACTCCACGAGAGGATTTTCATGTCATCTTTGAAGGACTGGATGGGGTGGAGAGAGTTGATGGCCTGCGTATATATATCTCCTCACTGGAACAAGTGATTGAGGTGGAAGATGAGGATGAGGGACCCCCGAAAATTGAGAGCACACGCGCATCGTCATCTCCGTTGACTCGCGGTGTTCGGGAAAGGCCTACTGGGGTCATACTTCCAAATCTTTCCGTCTTGTTGGGTCTGACAAAGACCACAGTTGCGATCGTCATATTCATGTTGCTCCTCTACTGCTGCTTCGTCTCAAATAGGTTATGGCGTTGAAGGAAACATGTTTATACACTATCAACAAGTGCTAGTGATATTGTGTGGAGCCTATTAGTAACCAATGCATATATTTTCTCAGAAATATCAAATAAGTGAAACGGACAAGTAAGAGTAAAAGGGGGTCGGAAAGGAAAAGAATCAAGCTCCTCTAATCCTAATAACTGTGGCCGGTCCCGTTATCACCATTGACCCTGACCACGGACATTTCTAACAGGGCTATCTAATTCCTCCTGTCAACCCGGCAAAGACCAGCATCATCCCAGTCCTCACTTCCCACTCCCTTGCGAGCAATGAATAGACCAGACGGATCCCTTTTCTGCTTGATCTGGTACAGACGTGGGTAATTGCTTCCCCAGAACTCGGTCTGGAAATCTGGCTCGTACGCATTTGCCTCATTCATATAGGATCCCATCTTCCTTCCCTCAACAGCCTTGAGAATCGGCATCTCAACATCAGTCAGACGACGAATAATAGCATCGCGTTGAGCAAGGGTGGCAGATGGCGGCCAGGAGCGCCCAAAATCGATATGAGTGGCAGCTTTCCTCCAGGCCGGATTCAGAGCGCTGTCGATAGTCCGTCCGTTCTTGGCGACGAGGCCTCCCGCTACGATGTGGCCCGTGATAACTTCCTCAAAGCCGAACTTGAGCTTCTTCAGGGCGGAGACAAGTTTCTTTGGGCCGTCACGCGAAACAAGCAGATCGCGGGAGAATAGTCTCGAGCCTAAGATAGTATTATAACTAGTTGTGTCTTTATCTCCGGGAAGAAGGAGTTCTGACAGCAGAGTATGAATGTTGGGGAAGGCCAGGGACTCATATTGAGTGAAGACGCCGGAGGTTGCATTCAGCTTAGATCTGAATGGCGCATAGAGACGATCCATCATTGAAGTGCTGGTTTGATTCGCAGCGATCAGTATGATCGACATTGACGATACATTCATTGTCTTGTCCGCAGGCACGTTGGGCATTATCCAATAGTACCCACCAGCGCCGTCGTTTATGGCTGGTAAAGCAGCAAAGAAATCTGTCGTGATCTGCCAGAAATTGGGATCACCGGCCACAGTACTGACATTGAGACTGCCAATGACGACTGGGACCTCATCGAAAGTGCGCAGGGTGACTGTCACAACAACACCAAAGGTGCCGCCCCCTCCGCCACGTAGAGCCCAGAAGAGGTCAGTGTTTTGATAGTTGTTCGCGATAACCAGGTTGCCCTATGGTAATATTAGCCAGCATTCTTTAGCGTCAGGATGGTCACATACATCAGCAGTCACGACGGTGTATTCGAGTACATTATCAGTAGACATGCCCTTCCAGGGGCCCAAGAAAGAATGCCCTCCTCCCTGGATATACCCCCCAGCAGCACCAACAGTGTGCGAAGCGCCAGCAACCACTGTCTTGCCTTTCTTCCCAGCAGCAGAATACAAGTCTTGTAAACTGACACCAGCCCCGATTGTGATGGCGGAACCCTCCGACAGATTCTTTGGGGAACCAGCCGGTTTGAAATTCTCGCTGAGCTGAATATTCTTCATTCTGTTGGTAAGAATCTGCAATGACTCCGGTGCCGTCGAGCGTCCAAGAAAGTCATGGCCAGAGTTCTTGATGACAAGGCGAAGATTGTGTCTCTTGGCAAACCGAATAGCTTCTTGAATATGTGATGCGCACTCAGCCACGACGGAGTATAGAGAAACCCTTCCCTGTCCACAAGGTGTCTGAGGACTCGTAATAGAGCAGGTCTGATTGTGCTCTAGCCACGATTCCCAGTTTCCCCATTGCACTGCGCCAGGCTGCGCGGCTCGCCAGGTGGAGTTATACCATTGCTTCGTGACGAAATCGCACGCTTGTGGGTCTCCTTCATGGCAGGGGGCGGCCACCGGCCGAACGGCGAAGAGATTACCATCGACGGAGCTGTTAAGGGCGTTCCACTCTTGTGGAGAGGGCCAGCAGGGTTCATGGGGTCTGCAACGACAAGAAGAATTGGAACTGGCAAAGGCCAGTGCAGCAAAAGCGAGGCTCAGTAATGCTTTCATAGCAGCTGAGTATCCTGTAGATATGCCTTGGTTGAGTTAGAGAATGATTGGGAATAGCTGGCTCCATGACGAACAGCGCGCCTCCTATATATACTATTGTTGGAGTTTTCATGTATGTACCGAGCACGACAATCAGTGGATACCAAACAGGCGCTTTGCTTGGCCTTCGTACTCGCTAACGTCTAGATTAGGAAATAAATCACCAAACCTATGGTCTAGCTGATCAAATGTTCAGCTGGAAGGGATGATCAGCAGGATGATTGGCATCACCATCCGTTCGCTCGTATTCGCTTGGCCAGTTGCAGAGGGTTTGGAGGATGAGGCTGACATAGTGGGTCACATTGAAATGACCTTATTCAGATAAGATTAACCTTACCCTTTCCCTCAGCCACACCCGAAACGCATGTCATAGTTGTTCAGCTGAGAAAAACAGTCCCGCAGGGCTTCGGTTTCCTGGCCAAGCAAGTAGGCTGCAATTTTTTCTGTCACATCTCTTTTGCACTGCCCTGTAGTTTTCAAGCGAATACGACGTTTCTATTTCATTGGAGCGGAAATCTCAGGGCCGCGTAACCTGGGTCGGGAAGCCAGCTCTGACATATCATGGTAGTTCCTACACAGATATGCAACATACTGAATTCTGGCTAATTAGCTCTTGTACAGTTGACATGTTGTCAAGTCGACCGTATATTAAGCAGGAAGCTCCAGATCAGTCAGCTCCTCACAAGCCTTGACCACCTTCTCCTGCAGGTTTATGTTCTCTGATACTGGCAATGGACGACCAAGTTTTCTCTTCGGATCAAAGTACTTTCCGGTCAGATTTTGGTCGTAATCCCCCTCTGCCAACATCACATAAGTATCCACCCCATCCTCCAGTTTATCAGTGGCCCCTTGGCCCCCGAGCTTGGTGGCTACCCAGCCAGGGTGTACCGAGACCACGGAGGTATCTTTAAACCTTCTGGCCACAGCATTCGCAAGGAGCAGGACATGTAATTTGGAGTCACAGTAGGCTGGGAAATCCCGGAAGCTTGCTTCGCCGCGCCGAAGCCAGAAGATATCCTCCACACTAGTGTCACCTTGGCGGTGCAACTGCGAAGAGATGAATGCCAATCGCTTAGGCCGATGCAACAAGCAGGTCAAGATGTACGGAGCAACAACGTTAACAGACACCATGGCGGGTATACCAGTGTCTGCAGTCTTGCGGAACGGCCCAGATAACATGCCGGCGTTGAGAATGACGGAATCAAATTGGCCGACCGCGTTGGCTTGGTCGGCAAGGCTGCGAGTTTCCACCTGGTTGGATAAGTCGGCGATCAGTACGCCAGCAGCGCCAGGACAGGCGGCTCTCGCATCAGCTGCTCGTTTCTCGTTGCGCGCATGCAGGTAGACTGTATGGCCACGCTTCACTAGTTGGCGTGCGGCCTCGAGGCCCAGGCCGTCAGCCGAGCCGGTGATGAGAACGCGGGCCATGTTTGGTAAGTGTCGCGTTGCTGATGTCAAGTAGTTGATAGGCATTCAAGGTTCGATGATCTGCAAAGCTGCTAATGGTGGAAATGGGAATCTCAAATACAGAAAGAAGCCTTGTTTGACTATATACTCACTGGCTGCTCATCACTCCTGCCCTGATTAATAAAGGTTCAGCTTTCATCGATGTAAGACCGGCCTTCGAAAAAATTTAAGGAGTAATCCTTCGGAGATCGACATTCCAGCTGACAAATTGACTGGCACGGACTTTGAAGCTGTTAAGTCCGAGAGTGGAGATTTATATCTGTCTGCTGGCACCAGTCCACTCTACAGTAAGCTCGGGGCTCTTGGAGGTGGCTCTCAGCATTGTACAAATTGTGGAAAAATACCGGACGAACAGCTGAAGGACTTTTCCCCAGACATATCGAAAAATCCAGCCCACTGTGGCTGTCAGCCACCCGGAAGATCTTCATTAGCCCGATTCAGTCTATTTCTCATTATTCTTCTCGTCGAAGCAGACACACAAGGCAGCGATCAGCGCCAGGTCAACCCCAGGTGCAACCATAACAGCATAGGTCTGCTGGTCGAAGAATACCTCACGACCTCGCCACAGCTTGCGATCGATCCGGGCCACTGTCACACCCGTGGCTTCATCAACAATGTCAACCTTACTATCCAACCAGTTACCCTTCATTTTCAATGTTTCTGTGCTGCCAGTCCTGGGCGACGTAAATGTCGCCGTTGTTTTAGAGCCAACCACTGTGTACATACCAGTTAGCCATGACACTTTTTAAAGACAAAAAGTTTCACATACATGAAAAGCTGCTCTTGACTTCGAGTAGTTTCTTTCCATGGGGATCCTCAGCCGCGAAAGTAGTATGAATATGGAAATGTTCCTTAACGATATCAAACAGGTGATTGCCCGCCATATCAAAGACAGACTTGCGACCAGAGATGGTCATATGCTTGGATTTAATCTGGAATATGGGCTGTCCATTTGCAAGTTTCACATCGAAACTATCCCCAGAGAGGGATAAGACCTTCTCCTTCAGAGCTAACGTCTCAGTCTGTTGAGCGATGAACCGGTCGAAGATAGCGACCGGTTTTGGGACGGGAGAGAGCTGCTGCGAAGCCATTTTGATTCCAGAGTCTTGTCTTGATCTTGGAAATAAGTGGAGTTCTGGGATAACAGGAAATCATGGACAAGGGAATTTGGGGCCTGATTTGTCCTTATATTTCCCGCGAACAGACACAGGGATCAGTTCAGACCAAAATCACCGCCACGTCGACAGTGGCTGTGTTACCGCGCTTGTCATGGCGCCTGAACACGAATACGACCACCTTCTGAAAAGAGGTTAAGCTGGATGCCAAGGCCCACGGTCCTCAATCCATCAATGTACCGCTTACCTCTTTGGGGCATTTCGTCTCATTGTCTCACTTAACGTGATTTAATGGTTTTATTGGAAGATTCCATTGGCGCAATATGAGATAAGCCACACCCTTCGATCCAGATCCACAGTGGATCTCTGTCGATGCGCCGCATGGCCGACAAAAGCTTGCCTTTGAGCGACGAGATGCTTGATAAGGTAGCGATGTCTACGGCGCAGAATTGAGAATGCCTGTTCTTTTATTTAGTCTTATTGCTGTCATAATGGAGAGCATAAACGGGCAATAGTTGGACCATTCATATTTACATATTCGGGTTTGAGTCAGACGCTTGAGCCAATTTTCTTTTTCAAATACAATCTGAAAGCCTTACTGGGTAACACCCTTTTCCACTAGCCATCCGGCTCCTCCCACTACGAATGGTGGGGACGCCTAACCAGTGTAAGGGTATGGGCCGTTCGCCCTCCAGCCCTCTGAATCAGCTTATATATGGATTGCGCTTGAACTACAATACTCTCTGCCATATAGTCTTTGGTGGTAGATGCTTCAATTGTAGATAATTAGCATTAGTATTGTTACGTAGGAGCGTCAACAAGATGGCTCCGGAAACACAGCTAAATTCCCTCGCCTACAATGCCTGCGCGAAGACGCATGCGCCTAAATTCTTCTCCGGGACCCTCAAGTTTTCAACATACCTTCGATTGACTCTTTCGAATCTTAAGAATGTACTGTATACATCATCACCAGTAGTTGGGGACTTCCATGAGTTGGCAATTACAAAGCACTGAACAAGAAAAAACAAAAACTCCTGCGGTGACAGGAAGTGAGTTGCGCCGAAACAAACAATATGGTCTACCTCAACAGGGCCACGATACTGAAGCAGACAAGTCTGTATGCCGGAAACTTAGACTTGATCATAGAGGCCTGTCTTGCGGCATATATCCACCATTCCAGGAGAGAGATCAAACCCAACAAGGCTCCCTGTACTCCGGGCCGTTCTGCATCTGTTTTCGGAGAGGATACGGCCGAAAAAACCTGTGCCGCAGGCCAGGTCAAACACGGTTCCTTGAAAGTCATATTTATCCACCGTATGCCGAAAGTTTGCTTCGTCCTGGCTGTTCGACTAGCCCAGGTTGTCGTACTTCCTGGCGATCTCGTCATAGGCATATCCGGATGGGATGAACTCTGTATCAACGCCTCTGACAAGATATCATCCAATTCGAAGTCCAGGAGCTGGCTGCAGCTTTCGATTCGTTCAATCGTGGCGGCCAAGCAGGAAGATCGCTGACCCTGCGGGCAGGAAGAAACCTTCCAGGCCCTCTACAGCTAATGACCAGAAGGAAATTGTTGAACCAGCTGTTGATGTTATTGAAGAGGCCCATCCTACAGTAAATCGTCGAGGAAGGCAAATCCGGCTACCACAACGCTTTCAGGACAACTGAAAAACCTTGATAGCTTTCTTAAGATCCTAACTTCAATGCCTCAAAATATCTCTATATAATTCGAATTGTTTGTGGCTCTACAGCTTTAATTCTTGGCATAGTTGTTGGTGTGAAAACGGTAGCCAGATGGTGCCGATCGTGACATGGTGACCTACAGTAGGTTGATGACCTCAAGAAAAGAAAACTGCCACCACAAATTCTGTAAGCTGCCTGCTCAAATTTCTGTTTGCTCCTCAAACCTTTCCTTCAACAACCAACTACCAGTACCACACAACACATTTATCTCAATTTTGTTATCATTCTGAAAATGGACTCACCGAAGCCTCAGAAAGAAGCCTTTCCCCAACTCAAATCTGAGTTTCGAGAAGATGGCCCTAACGAGAGGGGTCTCTTACAACTGGAAGCGTCTTTTGGTGATTGTTTACAAAGAGGACGACACCGATGCTGACGAGGATTCGATTTCTCTTCAAGTCTGCTTCCAGACGTATTTGGTTTCACGGCGCTAACGCTCCGTAAGAACGACCCTGACGTATCGTATACTACAATGAAGCACATCTTTAACCTTCTTATGAATATCAGACCCTCCAATGCCTCCCAGGCTCTCTTCATCGTCGCCTACAGCGGATATTTTCTAGTAATGCCAGAGGATGGGCTGGAACTCACGTCTGCTAGTGGCAAGCAGACAGTCAAGTGGTCTGCCTTCAGCCAAGCTTTATGCTCTGGTAATCCTATATCGACCAAAGGAATATCACTGGTAATTACTAGACTTAACAATAACCGACGTAAGGAATCTCACTCTGATAAGAAGGCATATATTTTCTTCCAGTCTTCAGAAACTTGCTCTTGTTGTGGCGAAGGTGATACATATTTGAGAGGCATTTTTGACTTTCTATATATGGGTCGACAGAAGCTATGTTTGTTCACTCGAACATGTCTACCCAGTTCGTGACTACAGGCCAGTGGAGACATGTCATGTGATCTGGGCTTGTCTCATTCACTGTTAGCTATCTTGGCATTGGCCGAACTTTTCCGAAAGGTCGGCTGACCTGTATCCTGGCTTGGCAACAGGCGCATGAAATGGACATACAGCGCCAAGCCAACCGGTGGAACTAACCAATAAACAGAATATTTGATGTGCTCCCATGCTAGGTAATTTGTTTAGTGTTCTTAAAGGCGCTAAAAGGTGTAACCTTGTCTGAGTAATTTAATATCCGCTATATTGCTTTTTGAGTCCGTGTTCCTGGATCGAAATCCGAAAGTCCCATCTCATCTGCCATGGATTTCCTCCCCAGCGAGCTTCCATCCGAGGGCGATCTCTTCAATTTCGAGCGATTCGATAAGGGCTATGATGCGGAAGATATATGCTGTGTTATCTGTGGTGCCCCAAGCTTTGTGAGCTCTTCTTCAGTCCCCCTAAAAGCAGTAGCCCGCTTATAAAGATCAAGGTGGTGGAAGCAGAAGTGCGAAACAAGAATCTTGAGAGGTACAAGTGGTTTGTACCGAAGGCCATCCGAGCTGAGAATTATCACTATGAGAAAGATTGGGATATTGCGAGCCTGCCAAATCATGATCTACCGCTAGAAGTACTCGGGATAGATGGTGGGTTACTCTTTCAACTCTCGTTCTTGTACGAAAACTATAATCTGCCGAAGAGATTTCTGATTCCTTAGAGATCGAGATCGACGGTGTGCATTATGGGGAGCGGTTGTCAAGATTAGAACCCGTGCGTTATGAGGAGCACTCGTCGAAATTAGTCCACGATCTATATACGGAGTACCCGTATGTAACGGTACATTCGGAATGCCTTGACATGCTACGACGTCTGGTAGACTATCGCCAGGCTCTTCTGAAAGCTGGAGTGTCGGTTGGCCCAAAGCGCCCTACCACTCTCAGCCAGTTCTATGAAGTGTTTGAACAGCGATTAACTAGGGTGCATTGGGGTTATCCCCTTGGACGCAACGGCTCGTTTTTCCCCCGTCGTGTAGTTGAGCCACATTGCTATTACTTTCGGGACACCGACCTCTTTCACAATGTCGCATGGGCTTTTGGAGACCAGAAGGTCTATGTGAGTTCTGCATAAGTATAACCTATGGTGCTTCCATCCCATCACTAACAACCTGCCACTAGGAATACGAAATGGCACCATATCCCATACCAGGACTCACTCAGGAGATCCTTTCTTACCTGCGACCTCTTCCGCCGTCCTTGCAAGGACAATCTGGTATATCTCTTGAACTGGAGGCACTACCCACTGAGCTCCAAGACATGATTTATAAAAATTTACACCCTTTTATCAACCCCAAGCAGACATGCACTCGTTCCTTACCGTCAAGGCTGTGGCGTGACCTGCTTTTTAATCAGCAGATTTTACCATGGCTTTGGGATTTGGACATCTCCGCCCTACAGAGCTGCCCTGTGACATCCGATGCAGTGGACGTTCCGACATTTGAAGCAGAAGAAGTCTGGGATTGGGAGAGCCTTGTTCGCACCCTTGCACAACTGGAGGTGTTCGAACCGGGGCAACCTTTAGAGCATGCTCCCCTCCGCCTGCGGAATCGTCGGCGGATCTGGAGACTATTAGAGGAGGCCGAGGATGAAGATATTGAGGGGTGGCTCGATGCTCATGTATATAAGAGAAAATGACATGGACATATGAAGATACTAATGAAACAATGTTATTTAGCCGAGGTTCAGTAGCTACTGTGTATGACTTGCCCCATCAAGAACTAGGATGCTTGGTCAGGGAATAGAATCTAGAGCAAGTATTTACAATCCCACTAGCCACGGTCAGTAAGATGGTATGAGTTCTACTTCGGTTATGTGGATTACCATATACTAACATATACAGAGTATATTTCGAAAAGATTTATCTTGAAGCTAGTAACGTCACATTTCTCCATATAGGGAGGGGTTTTTTAAACCTCTAAATCAACTATACTTAAAAACTTTTCATGTAATAGCAAAATGTTGGAGAATAGAAACAAACCAGGGCAAGATGACCACCAATCTCCGAGAAGCTCCCAACTTCTTTGCCCAGCCCCTGAGACTAGTCCATAATAGGATCTTTAGCCCACTCGGGAACACAAGTTTGTGCACTCGAACCCCCTAATAGGTGACTCGATCAAGCATTGCTCCAGTACGATTGGATAAATCGGATGGCCCGTTTAAATGAAAATCCTTGGCTCGAACCGAGTCTCTCTATATTCTTGGCGCGCATGGTACAGTACCCTGTAAGCAACCACATGGATAACGACAAGATTGTATTTACATCAGGTATAGGTAACACCTACGAAGGTATTGAAACTATAAACCGTGTGGCCAGTGTAACCCCTAATCAAATGTAGTACAAGCTACAGTTCAGTGACAGTAGATACGATGGATAGGAACAAAAGGTAAAAAAAATTTAAATAAAACTAAACCATACGACAAGCAACAGTAATGAGCTTCCAAGTATTTACCCGCACACGTGTTGGATCCTTTATGCACGATGTCACGGTGTTTTAGCTAGCCAGCTCTTAGTGCTTATCACTAAGAGCCATAGTTCTTAGTGCTTATCACTAAGAGCCATAGTTCTTATAATCTCTGAAACATTAATATCAACTTCACTATCTGCTGGGATCTGGTCTACATACCCTTCTTGGCTTGTATACTTTTAAGAGCTAGCTAAGAGCAATTCCGGTTTTATTCGGCTTCGGATGTAGAAGTGGTATCCCTCATCACCCACTATACCAGCTTCGACTGGACTATCCTAAAGTAATAAGGGCTGGAGGTTCAGAAATAACATAAATACTCCCCATTGTCTCGTTTCAAAGATGGAAGACAACAAGATATGCCAGCGCTCAGAATAACGCATCTTAATTGCTAAGTTGCAGCTAAGAGGTTGTTGTTTCACGTCTCGCAGGCAACTCTTGTCCGATCTTTTTATCTTGGTTTCTTTTCTATAATCCTCATGGCGCTTTCCTACCCTGGAAGTTGTACCATTAGAGGTAGTTTCAATCTTTACCTGACTTTCCTTTTGTGCGCAATCTTCACTTCTTCTGACACCACTTTCGCTTATTCATGGCTTCCCCCACGGAGAGAGAACAGCCCAATACCAACATCTACCCTAAGTGGCAACGCAACGGCTTTGGCTGCAGTGCCAACAGCTACCATAGAATACTCATCAGCCGTCGCGATAGAGTCTAAAGTATCCTATCAGCTATCTCAATTAGCTACCGTCCCGGCCATCCCTCTTCCGACGGACCTCCCATATTATGATATCCTGAATCAGGTTGCGGGCCTCATGCCGCCGCTTCAGACAGGTGGCGTACAGAACAACAGTGTCCAAATGTTGGCGGCTATGAGGGATAACCTAAGGTCAAGCGAGAACTCAACCACGGTTGGCACGGAACACCTCCACGGGCGCGCAGCCGGGCTCAAGGTCATAGTGGTCGGCGATTCCATATCTCAGGGCCGAGAGGGAGACTTCACGTGGCGGTATCGGATATGGGAGTGGTTCCAGTCTCAAGGAGTAGCAGTAGATTTTGTTGGGCCTTATACAGGCACAGTACAGCCTGAGAAGCCAGCACCGCCGTCCCCGCCAGCATTATACGGGGAACCCCAACCAACAGGCGCGATCAAAGTCAGTGGGGGCTACGCGAAAGAAGTGTCATCCGATTTTCCCAAAAATCATTTCGCTGTTTGGGGCCGTGCTGCTGCTGTGGATAAAGGCCTGATAAAGGAGGTCATGGAAGCTCATCCAGCTGATTTGATGCTGCTACTACTGGGCTTCAATGATATGGGGTGGTTCTACAGTGATTCGATGGGAACTTTGGACAGTATTCATACGTTGATCAGCAACGCCCGGGCTGCAAATCCAAATATTAAATTTGCCATTGCTAATGTACCACAGCGGAGTTTCATTGGTGGCCGTGAGGATCTTCCTGTCAGCACCAATATATACAACTCTCTATTACGCGATACTATTCCTGAATGGAGTACTACAGCTTCCCCAATCCATCTTGTGGAGCTGGAAGAGAACTACAACTGTCAACCTAGTTCATGTCCAGTGGGTTCGGATGGGCTCCATCCAAATGCGATGGGTGAATACCAGATTGCTCGCGCCTTCTCGCAAACCCTAGTAAAGGATTTCAAGATCGGATCATCCGCACTGAGTATACCCAGTGATGTTCCTACCAGGCCCTTACCGGTGCCTAGCAATTTCAAGGTATTCACGAGTCCTGGTGGTGTAACCGCAACATGGGATCCAGGTAAGCCACCTCTGCAACCAAGTCCATAGCATCCTTTTGCTGATTGAAAGATAACTAGTCTACGGTGCGTATAACTACGACGTTCGATCCAAGATCAAGGGCGGTATCACAAATTTCTCCCCGGGCAGCGTATCCTCCAATCGATGGGATGCTACCTGGCCTATAGATGGGTGGGAATATGAGGTTCAGGTGCGCGCCAGTGCTGGGGACACTATCAAGGGCGACTGGACCACTACTTTAACCGCAACGGCCCATCCCCAGACAGCGGAAGCCCCTCAGAACGTGATTGTTAGCGCTACTACGACTGGTTTCGACATATCCTGGGATCCCCCCAAAGGTGCTTACAGTGACTCTATCATCGAATATAACGTTATTTACTGGGACAAGGACGCCGAATGTGATTTTGTTACCGGAGCCGCGTTCAAAGGCACTTCGGCCCACATAAATGGCCTAGTTACAGGGCACCGTTACTTCGTGGCTGTTGAGACCTGGAATGCCGCTGGAGAGGGCTTTCCAGCTGTGGTTCGAAGTGTTATTCCTGGTGCTGGCACTCCACCACCCCCAACGGACCTGAAAATCATCGCAGCAGATCCGACCACAGTCCATCTCACGTGGGATAGCCTCTCTGCTGCGGCTGGCTACCGGCTTTGGTCACGCAACGTAAATGCCGCAGGTAGCAAGCTTGAGGCATTGAATTACACGGTGGAGGCTGCTTGCAGCGATCAATTCTATCTGTTTCCCGGTACATGGAACTATGAGTGGTGTGTTAGCGCTTTCAATGGAAATGCGGAGTCTGCCAAAGGGAAATGTGTCCTCGCACCATCCCCGGACAAAGACGGTGGCGCAGCACCAACCTGCCCGTCTGCTCCTCAATGGTGTCCGAATGGTGGCGGCGTCGGAGGAGGCAGCGGCGGCGGCGGCGGCGGCGGCGGTGATGGTGGTGGTGGTGGTGGTGGTGGTGGTGGTGGTGGCAGCAGCGGTGGCACTACGGAAGAGCCATGGCCGGTAGTTACCAATGGTCAATGCAAAGGTCCGGATTGTAAGAACGGCCAATGTACGGGTCTTCTTTGCGCTTCCTTTGGCTGCAGTGGATCCGGCTGCTTGAATGGCGTCTGTACTGCCTTTGGGCAATGTACAGTCCATGGATGTCTTGGATCCGGCTGCAGAGATGGTGTCTGTGTGGCGGACGACTGCATCACGGCCGGCTGCGTGGGGAGTGACTGTGGAAAAGATGGAAAGTGTACTGGCGACCATTGTCTTGGCCTGGGCTGTTCTGGATCCGATTGTGGAAAGGATGGTATCTGCACCGGTCCGGATTGTTGGGAAGGGACATGTAGTGGCAGCGGATGTGCCAACGGGATTTGCTCCGGCAGCAAATGTTCGAGTTATGATGGCTGTGTCGGCAAGGACTGCAACAACGGTACTTGCAAGGGAGACAGCTGCAGCAGCTGCTCGGGCTCGGACTGTCGTGATGGCGACTGCACCGGCGACAATTGCATTGGATGCACGGGGCCTGACTGTCATAACGGCCAATGTACTGGTTCGAATTGCTATGGTTGCACGGGTCGGGATTGCCATCATGGGAACTGTAAGGGAGAGCACTGCAGCAGCTGTGTTGGATCGGACTGTGTCATGTCTAATGGCAAGAGCGGTTGCAAGGGAAAGCATTGCACCAGCTGCACAGGTCTGGGTTGTTCCTGCTTCGGATTGGGCTGTGGCTGCAGTGGGTCGAAATGCAGCGGCTGTACTGGTCTCGGGTGTAGCTGCACTGGGCTTTCTTGCGGCTGTACAGGTCCAACATGCAATAGCTGTCTGGGTCTGAGTTGTACGTGCAGTGAGGCAGGCGGTTGCAGTGGTGGGGGGGGAGGTGGTGGCGGCGACGACGATGATCCGTCGTGCAGCATCAAGGAGACGGCCACCATCTGCGCTGAATATTGTACTGTGACGACCAACGCAGCTGCTGCGACAACGACCTCGTGCACATCGACCACTTGCATGCCAACTGTGGGCTGCAGTGTGACTGGGACGACGACTTCGACAATCACCTCGACAAGCAGCGCTGATTGTCCCTTCGCGACGGATATTGGAACCGATAACTGCAAACCATGTGCCTGGGCCTTTGACACGGTTTCCGACCTAGACACGGAAGGGAACCTCAGAATTCGAGAAGGCTTCCAACCTGTCTACGCTACTATTACAGCGCGGGCCATAGCCCCTCCTCATGCTGGTCTGGTGAAGAGGGCCCCCGCGAGGACTTCTACTGCCCTTGGAGGTTGCAATTTCAAAGCGGGGGTATCTGTTACCATCCCAGCCTACAAGGGTCCACAGAACTATGTCCAGTCAGCCATCGATGGAGAACTTCCTGTCTCCCTCTCAATGTCCAGATGGTACAGCAAGACGACTGTTGACTGCGCGCCCACAACAACCATGATATCCGATGAGCAGATACGGCCTTTCCTAGGGAATGTCAATCAGTCACCGACTATCGAACATTGCTGTAAATATCCTTCCGACATCTCAGATAAGTACTTGAGAAGCACTAGAATTGCTGCTAATGGCTCACAGATGAATTGAACTGGATGGACGGATTCTGGAAGTATCTGTTTACTGAACAACACTACTCCTGCGACGATTTCAACAAACTCATGTTCGACGGTTGCAACATCCTTCAGGCTGTTTATGATAGCCTGCCGGGAGACGAGCATTGGGACTTTGTTGGTATAACTCAAGAGTTAAATTCGATCAAGGCCCTGGTAGGTTAGAGTTTTCCGGTGCCCAGCGATTCCGCTGACACGATACAATTGCAGATAGGGGGCGAGTACCAAGAGACCATTGTCAGGCAAAGTGCAAATGCCCGCAAGAGAACTATAGTGCCCCAGAAACCGTGGACGGCTTCAGAAGCAATAATCAGGGAAAGAATGGGGGTTTTAGAAAAGATCGCTCTTGGTTGTGATTTATGGACTTCAAGCGCCATCTTCGGTCCACTTGATTCAACAAATTATCGGATATACTCCGCCTTGTATGTGATCTCCAAATCTTTGGATGACGTGCTTTAGCCGGGACACAATATTAACTATTTCTCCTAGGAAAGATATTGATGCTGGTCTAGCGGCCACATATCGATTTTGGATGACAAATATCAGGATTCCCCAGCAGATGGCGGCAGGCAGCGAACAAGCTGCACTTTTGATCACATCCATTGAGACAGGACTTAACACCGCGACTGGTAAGGCAATGGAAACAGAAGATGGCGCAAAACGTTTGAGTGAATACCGCAAGGCATTACAAGCTATACGTGAGAGATACCATCTTGACGGCACAGGGAACGTGTGCAACAAGCCTATCAATTTGAATTGGAATGGGGCTACTACAGATGGCGCCCCGATTGCCCGCCGAGATTCATGTCCACTCCCAATCACGACCAAAAATCCTACCAGCCCTACTGGCACTCCTACCAGCCCTACTGGCACATCTACTGCTCCAACAAAGACTACCACATCTTTATCTATTCCAACAACGACCAAATCCACTGATCCAATTTACTGCTTCAATGAACACAACGATGACTCCTATGTACCATTCGAAATCGCTGGGGCACAGGCAGCGATAGAAGCACTTTGCAATAACGGCAACTCACTAATGCCTGGGGGACCTCCATACACGTATGTATACAGTGATCCCTATGGAATTAACGTGATTGCATCTGTTCAATGGGCCCCGGATCAGTCTGGCTGCAAGCCAGAGAAGGAAGTCGAGATGAAAACCCACGTACGTGCCCTTTTCCCCCCATTGTTATTCACAGCACTAACCAGACCTTTACAACTAGTGTGAATCTTATATGGAGCATGCATTGTCCGAATGTAGAAGTCCTACCGAGGGCTACGGTGGTGCTTTTATTGAAAACCAAGGACTTGGTTGCATTCAGTGGATGCTCTACGCGCGGAAGGGCAAAGGGCAGTGCAGCTGCAACGAAAGTGGGTGTACACCCGATAGCCCTGCATGCTGCGCTAATGGCTCCTGTGGTATGAGTAATGCGTTGATGTCGGCGAGGATGAAGTTGATCTCGCTGGATGAGGTGGATCCTGCGCTGAGCCTAAGCCTGAACACGAAAAGTATTATGGACGATTGAACTCTTGATAATTGTCCGGGGTATCAAGAAGTGACAGTTGTAGACTGCATTCTGTCTCGTCAAGAACTATTATATGTATTATTCTTTCTATATTCATCTATCCATTATCATTGTTGTCAGCTGAAGCTCGCCTCCTGGTAACAGGGCCGGTGAGGTAACACCTCTCAAGTGCTTCCCAAGGGTATCTGAAAGAATCACAAAATTGATCATGTGAACGCAACTTTCGACTTTTCCCTCCTTTTTGGTGTTATGGTAGACAGTAACCCAGATACCACACATGTCATATATGAATCTGGCGCGTGCTCAAAATCAGGGTAGAGATTTTAGATTTCTTGCTTCATGATAGCCCAGAGGTTCTCAATTGGATTCAAACCAGGTGAGTAAGGTGGCCAGTCCATAACGTCTATCCAGTATCTCGCTAAAGCAGTACATAAGCAGTTGTTGATGTGCTGGGCCAAGTAGATCCATGGCTCCCACGTAATATTTTTAAGGAACAAGCTTACATACTCTTTAATAATATTATACAGCAGTCCTGTGATAAACCTCCAGAAAACATCATAGCATCCACAATACTTTTCTTTTTGAAGAAATTTCTCTAGTGATACTCTCATCATATCTTTTCTCTTTATATAGTCACACTTGAGACGGAGAGGTAGTTTACTAGATTTACTGGTATGTATCTCCCCCCTCTATCTATACATAACGGCCACAGAGTACACTATGGATATATCCAGCAACATACAATAATCAAGAGCGGGTTTGTGACATATATCTACCTCCCTGAGGTCTCTAGAGAGCAGAAGATGGCATCTACAAGGTCAATCAGCTTGAAGTCGAGAGTAATTTGCGAAAGTCTGCAAGTGATGACTATGTTAAGATCGACGCTAGCATCTACATTTTAAAGGTATAGTAACAAGCTATTGTCCAAGTATGAGGCTTCTGTCTAACAAAGTTAATAGACTGCTGGATACTTTGACAAATCTACTGATGAGATTGGTATTACAATTTACCTCCTCGGCAACAAGACTAGAAATTTCTTCCCAACTCACCCACCAAACACCACCCCTCCCCATCCACATCAAGTATCTACAAATTCCTCTTGAAAAACCCTGTGATCCTGTCAAACGGGATCAAATCCACCCGGTCATAAAGGTCCACATGTCCGGCCCCAGGAACCCACAACAACTCCTTCGGCTCCCCAGCCCTAGCGAACGCATCCTCACTAAATTCCCTCGAATGCGCCTGATCCCCGGAGATAAACAACACCGGCCTAGGCGCAATAACATCCAAATCCTCCAAGGGGTAGAAATTCATAAACTTCAAATTACTCGTCAGGGTCGGGTGAGTCGTCAATTCCGGCGTCGAACCAGGTGGCGTGACCTCCCCACGCACTGTGCGGTAGAAATCATAGAACTCGCGCCCCACAGCGGAAGTGTTGGGCGTGAGCACATTCGGCGTTCCACTCGTGTACTCGACGGGACCGGTATGCTGATACTCAGGCCAGCGCTGCAGGGCCGCTTCCGCGATGGCGGCTTGTCGCTGGGTGAGGCCCTGCGAGTGGTTCAGGCCGTGACGGTTCACGCCGCCCATGTCGTACATGCTGGCTGTGACGATGGCTTTGATGCGCGGGTCGATCTTGGCGGCGCTGAGGACGAAGCCTCCGCTGCCGCAGATGCCGATGGCCCCGATGCGGTTGCGGTTGATCGAGGCGGAGGGAACCTGGGGGATGGTTGTGATTGTGGTGGTGCTGCTGCCGAGATAGTCGACCGCGGCGCTGAAAGCCTCGGTGTAGAGGTCTGGGGAAACGGCGTTGCGAGGTTCGCCGGTGCTGCCACCCCAGAACGGGAGGTCGATGGAGAGCGTGATGAAGCCTTGTTCGGCCATTTTGGTGGCGTAGAGGTTCGCGCTTTGCTCTTTCACGGCGCCCATGGGGTGGCCGACGATAATGGCTGGGGCTGGGGTGGATGTGAGGTTTTTGGGGATGAAGAGGTTGCCCGCGATGGTGGTTTGGTATGCGCTTGGGAAGGTGACGGGCTGGAGAGACACCAGGTTACTGCGGTAGAAGTTGTTGGCGCCGTAGGAGAGGTTCTGGGCCGTGATGCATATTGTATGCAGGACTGAGGCGAGGGTGAGCGCAGTTGTTAGTGTCATGGTGATAGTATCACGAGAGTTGACAATGGATTGATGCGATGCTTCGTCGTCATGCCATGCAGGTCTGTTCAGAGACTTTATAGTTCGTGATCACTGAAACATATAAAAGATAGCCTGGTTGCAATTGATAATTGTCAGGAGCATTGCGGTCATTGCTGAAGACCTGAGAAGAAGATCATTTCTCGGCCTCGTCATCCAAATGCAAGTTGCTTACATGTGGGGCGTAAGCTACCCACTTCAACGGTCAGATATCCTTGGTTGATTACTTGTCCATCTTTCTCATTGTTCATACACAGGAAGCTTTCGAATTCGTAGGATTACCTTGATACATGGAATTCTTGACTGCTTCCACACTCCTGAAGCACATAAAGGCGTGCTCCGATGGCCCATTCCCTTCCGTTCTTCCAAGACAACCGACGTCCTCCTTTATCATCATGCCCCCCTACGTGTACACCGGGACGGTGGACTGCTCCAAGGAAGTAGACTGCAGCGCCCTGGCAGGAAAAACAGCCATCGTGACAGGCGGTGCCAATGGCCTTGGTGAAGCGTACGTCCGGGCCCTCGTTGCAGCTGGGTATACCTCATTCCCGCCTCTTTTTTTTATCTACAGCTAATCGCAAGCCCAAATCGCAGAGTCTACGTCTGTATCGGGGACATCAATACGGAGAAAGGCCAGAAACTTGAAGCCGTGCTACCAGGGTATGAGCCTCCCTTGCCCTAACACTGCCATCAGCCCACCCTAAATAATCTCCCAAGAACAAAATTCGTCCCCTGCTCAACTGGCATATGGACCGACCAAGTCCGCCTATTCGAAGCAGCAGTAGCCTTCTCCCCAACCAACCGGATCCACTATGTGATCGCCAACGCAGGCATTCACCGCGTAGATGAAATCTTTCAGCCGGGACCGCAAACCAACCCCCTAACCGAACCAGACCTAAGCATCATCGACATCAACATCAAAGGTCCCCTCTACACAGCCAAACTAGCCATGCACTATTTCATCCGCCAGAACGGGACCACCCCCACCCCGGAGCAGGAAGATACGTGCTTGATCCTCATCGGCTCCGGCGCCGCCTTCCTCGACGTGCCACGCTCACCGCAGTACAGTGCCAGTAAGTGGGCGATGCGGGGTATCATGCATTCTCTGCGTCGGACAGCCTATTACTACGGGTCCAGAGTGAATGTGATTAGTCCGTGGTATGTCCGGACGGGCATTTTGTCCGAAGAGGCGTTTGCGCATGTTGAACGGACTGGGGTGGAGTTTGCCACAGCGGAGGATGCAGGGCGGTGCCTGCTAAGAATTCTTGCGGATGAGAAAGTCAATGGACATTCATTTTTTGCCACAGCTCGGAAGTGGGCGGATAAGGGGTTTGTGGATTTGGATTTGGAGGACTATAAAGGTGATGCGTTGCTGGGGGAGGTGCAGGAAATGCAGATGCGGAGTGCGCCGGTGGGAGCGGGGTTGTTTGCTTAGGTGGAGTGTAACTACATATTATGTTTGGCATTCATCATGCGAATGAAGATCAGTCCAGAACCGTAATATCCAGGCCGAGGCTGGAGATAGTATCATTCAGGGTTTCTACTATGCCATTATTGAGGTTATTCCACCCCCATAGTTTCCGGGAGGATGATTGATAATTTGATTGTTTGGCTGCGGGTCCGGCTTGGCGTAAGCATGTTGCATTAGCGCCGGGAAGTATCCAAGTTTATCTTCTTTTCGGGCTTACCTGGGCTGCACTATGGCTATTCTTATTGTCTAGTTTTGCTGCTTTCGTCGAAGGGGAGTGGATAGGGAGACTGGGACTCTCTCTGATCCTCTACCACCACCACCATTTTCCCCTTCTGCTTAAGATTAGAATGAGCACACATCTCAATAGCTTAGTATCTGTCTGGATCAAGTGAAATAGATCTTTTCTCAACAGTAAGTGTATTAAGTCTCATCTGTGTAGGAGTACCACCAGTCGTCCTGCATAGATGATCGCCACAATAACAAACCGCCTCCAATCTATGCGTAAAGACCAACAGCCCCTGGACCGAGACCAAGCCTTACCAGACGCGAATTCCAGGCAGCTCCAGTACTCCGTACACACTTATGATTTACTTTTAGACCGACAAATCACCGTTTCCCCAAGTGGGTCTCCCGGTCTCATAGGCCATGAATAAATAAGTCCGCACCTCCGCCGTCAGCAACTTACATCCACCAATAACCCACCCTATGTCTCGACACGAACCACCTGCGATGGACTCTATAGCTCCTGCGTCTGATAAGATCTACACTACAACAAAATGCCACGGCATATTAACGTTCAAGCACTTTGTGAGCTATCAGAGGTAGGCATATTTGCAAGGGAGAGGAGTCGCGCGTATCCGTAACGATATATGACTAGATAATGTCTTCGATTTGCTATGTTATATACAGAGGAATGGACATGAGGAAGATGGTACCTAGTAACTAGCAGAATTCGTACATACTTAGACCGCGGTTCAAACTCACTCTACCTACCCCAGCAAACGATGATGGCTCCCGTACACTGGGCTTTACTTCTAAATTTACCTTCACTCGCCCTAAGGAAGGACCATCCGTGGTATATATCACGGAAGACTTCAACGACGTCTTCCCCTACACGAACTTTCACCGGAATGTCACAGTTCCAATGTGGGACACCGACCTGTTGCCTAACCCTGGACCCTCTCAAATCGAAGAAAACCTTGACACGATGAGAAAAGCCTCGTTCATTGCCTACGACACCTCCTTTTTCAAAGTTCCTGGGTCTTTCATGACTGTGATGATACAGGTGGAGTACGGCTTCTAAACAATGCAGAACTAGTTATAGGCATCTCGGGTCCCCTGGGCAAGTAGAAAGTAGAGAAGATCTTCGCCTTCCTCCCTTCTTCATCATACGCCCAACGCCAGACTCACGACGGCACAGTCTATGTACCAGACGGGGAGGCTATCTTTACCGCTGAGCTTTTCTCTCCAAGACCGTGTCATTCCATGCGTGCCAACCCATACGTTTGGAAGGTGGATCTTACAGATCCAGCATCTCTCAAGACCAGCAAGTCTACCCCGACGCACCGCTTACCATCGCCAACGGAGCTTACCTGTTCTTTATTAGACACAAGAAGGCAATATCACCACGCCAAGTAGTGTTGTGAAGAAGGATCCGAAAATGCTCAAGACCGAGGTCATGCAGAATAACTTCTACGGCCACCGGTTCAACTCAATGAATGATATCGTGGTCTCAGGCGAGGACATCGCCTTCTTCACCGATGGGTATCAAGGCTGGGACGATTTCAACGATACCCTCTTCCCCCAGCTAGCCAACGGCGTCTACCCTTGGGACATGAGCACTGGGAATATCAAGATGGTTGCTGGAGCCGCGGACGGTGCATTCTTCAACCCGAACGGCCTTGCTTTCAACCACGACCAGACCAGGTCAGATGTTACCAATCGTGGATTCTCCAGCTCCGACCTGCATGGCGCTCGGACAATCTATGTCTACAATGTAATTCCGTCTGGAATATCGAACCGTGAGATTTTCGCATACGTGGACTCTGGCTTTCCGGACGGGATGGAGACAGACAGACAAGGATGGTCGGGTGTAAGGAGCAGTGACAGGATCAATGCATGTTTATGACCATCGTGGCACATTTCTTGGTTGACTTCGATGATGTTGAGGAGACCTTGTTCGCGAATATGGTCGACATGTGTTCGTTACGCATACTTACAGGCTGGGCCTGAAAACAAATAAAAAGCAGACAAGGAAATGGAAGAAATCAATAAGAGACGTTTTGCAGAATGTGGCAAAATGTGTCAAGCGAATCAGAACAGAAACGGGGGCGAGCGAAAATCTTCAGGCTACGGCTACATTGTGGATGTGTGGTCAGAAGCTGATGGCATATTTAGTCAGACCCCGCATCATGGCTGGATTGGTGAGGCGGAAGACGTGTTCTTTAGTGATGCAATCTTTCTGTCTTGCTTAGGTTGCTGAGAGTACTCCTCAAGACAATCAACCACCTTCTAGAAGGGCTCGTGGACCTCCTGCTTCTAGGCCTCACTCCACTCTTTAATGGATTTATTTAGGCGACCATCCAGAGCAACCATGGAGAAGATGTTGTAAAAGAAAAAATAGCCACATTTCTCAGACGTCATTAATGGCTGATGAGGGACAATGAGGATTTTGAGTATGAGATTCAACACTGAGGGACACTGATTAGGAGCAGGCGGGATGGACATGGTTAAATTGATGATTGGGTATTTGACAGTATAGAAGTACTGCCAAGGAATAATGAGAGAACAGAAAGATGGCTACATCTAGCAGACAAATGGCGTGATTGATCTAACAGGTATTTATAGGGCAGTTGTCTCCAGCACCCCAGCATTGGTCATTTGATTCTGCAGGAGACGCCAATTCGGCTTCGGAAGATGCTGATTATTCGACGACGGGGTGTTCCCGACCTTCTGTTCAAGTACCGCATGGGGCTCGGCGGCAATATCGACGTGCTTATTGGACTGATGAAGTGACGACCACTAGGTGGGGAGCGTAAACATGGCCATAGAGGGAACAGTATGATGGATCTCATTCATGCATTGCATGTTTATCACTTGCCAGGAAAGCAGATTTTCTTTAGAACTCTAGGGTCGTCGATTCTGTCAGGTGGTCCAATTTTGCGTTCTTCATATCGTGCTAAAAGGATTTTGCACGCCAGGTAGTGTATACCTTGGAAAACATTTACATACCATGTATTTTTAATTAGAATCGAGGAGCAGGGAGCAGAGATTTAATTTTCGAGAAGTCTCTGGGATATGATCAGGACAAGAAGAACGGAGTAGATACCCCAAGCAGGCTACAGAGTCAGGCTATCTGACAGGTGCCTAGAACGAGACAAAGAAGTAGCTCGATGTTCAGAATAAGGGTCGGAGCCGGGGGCTTCGCATTAGTGTTCGGGTTGGTTATGGGGCCAAAGCGAGTCAAGCTCGTGGAAAGGTGAATCGGGTGCTCTTCAGCGGGCTTTCAGCACCACAGCACGTCAACCAAACAATATCTCTACCAGCGTTTCTAAGAAATGAGGGAAATTAACCATACGACCAGGTGTATTGCTACTTCGCGGATTGCCTATGCCTATTGACAGAGCTATTGGCTCGCTTCAACTTGCCAGTATGAGCTACCTTTGTATCAGGGTCATTTCGAATTTTTAGCACGTCGACCAATTGGAATGACTAGAGAATAATGGAGAAATATGTCCCTCGCGCTTGAGATATGCTCAAACATCGATCATCGCTCCAACCTTTTTTTTTCTTTTTCACCTTTTTGAAAAACGAGAAGGGGAGTTGGGAGTGGGGGCAGAAAGTTTCTCTCAGTCGAGCTCGCTACGCTGCCCACATGCCTGCCCCATAACTGGCTATTTAAATCTGGCATTATCCTTCAGACTTGGACTTGTTCCCACCACCATGAACGCTGATATGCTCTTGACAGGTACCATGGATGATCTAGTCACTACGAGAACTGCTTCCCTACCATCCCCAGCTGAGCTTCAATTGATCTTTGAGGCTCTATCGAAATTCATCACGCAATATGAATCTTCTCCTAAGGATGAGAAAAGGGAAATCCTTAAGCATATTCAGGATGCTGCTATGAGTCTTGCAAGAACATCTGCAAGCCCAATGGAATCGCTGATGTCGTTTTTGTTTCAGCCACATCACAATGCATGTGTACGCGTTGCCATAGGCATGGGAGTCTTCGATCATGTCACTGCGCGTGGAGGACCCATTTCTCTCGAGCTCTTGGCAGAGAAGACTGGAAGTGAACCCGAGTTCGTGTTCAGGATACTCCGCGCTCTAGTTGCGATGGACATTCTCCACGAATCGCAACCGGGGTATTACTCGCATACTCCGCTGTCTGAACTACTGGCAGATAGAGGTATCCAGGCATATGCAGTTCATCAGTGGGACAATATCAATTTTTGCATGTCCCAGTTCGGGTCTTATTTTGAGAAGCATGGATACCGAAGCCCGGCAGACCCCAAAAATGCCCCGTTCACTTGCGCAATGGGCATGGAAAACGCAAGTTTCTTTGAAATTCTCGAGCTGAATCCAACAAGAATGGATGTCTTTAATAGGGGAATGGCCGGGTTCAATACTGGAGTGGTTGCGTTGTACGATTTTGGAAGCCTGGAAAATATCAGCCAAGAAGCAGTCGCCATCGTTGACGTTGGTGGAGGCAAGGGTCACACGCTCCTCGAGATACTCGATACGTTTCCGGCCCTTAGGGGAAGATGTGTTCTTCAGGATCTCCCCGCAGTTCTGCATGGGAATGTTGTTATTCCCGATGGGGATATATGTCTTCAGCCTTATGACTTTTTCAGAGAGGTACAACCAGTGAAGGGTGCGTATTTTTCTTCGTCAGGTCGAATACCCCATGCCATTTCCGAATATTTCGCCTGGCTGATACGGCATCAGGAGCTGCAATATATCTGTACAAATGGATTTTTCATGATTGGCCAGACGCAGACTGCCGGACCATCCTCAGAAACTTATCTCCAGCTATGAAAAATACAGCGTCCAAGCTTCTGATCTGCGATATTGTGATAGCTGACCACAACCCCGAGATCGATAAGGTACACTACGATATTAATATGCTTTGCATTGCAGGAAAGGAACGAAGCCTTACAGAATGGGATAACCTACTTAGATCTACGGGGTTTCGCATCGTACAAGTTCATAGCAAGCTCAGCTCGACGAAGAGCATCATAGAGGCAATTTTAGTCGATTAATAGGACATGTAAGATTCTTTGCGATAAAGCATGGTCCTAATTGTATCCTGTGGCCCTTTAGAACTAAGTTGCTTCTTCGGGAAGTCGCATTAGTTTCATCAAAAACCCGGTAATTGTAGAGGATGGGGCGGCGAGAGTGGGCCATATAAAACTTGAGAAGACCATCCAGTGTGCGATTTCTCGGTCGGTAAAGGAAACACATTCTTTAGTCTTTTTCCACCAGGGTCTTCATCCGGAAGATATCATGTGAAATGCTGAACTCAAACGGTCCTCAATGTTTTAATATTTCTTCGTTTAGGGAAAGGCCCATCGGGCCCCTTTACTTCTATTCACATTCTTCCCTACAGAATAGGAACCGACTAGGTAGTAGGAACCGACTACAGGGTAGAGACAGTGGAAGTAGGAATCGCCTACAAAATAAGGACTGACTACAGAGTAGGGATTGTCTGGAGGGTAAAGACCGACGAAGATCCGAGTTGATGGCTGAATGTACGGCGCGGTGACAGGATCGGTGGAGGTTTATAATCACCATGGCATGCTACTAGGGCGCACTAAGGTTGATTCTGATGATGTTGCGGTGAATATGTTCTGGATAGATAAGTGTTATATATCTTTGGTCGCAACAAAATCTACAGGGTTGAGCTTATAACAACAGAATGTTAACCAACAAGAAGTGACTCACAAAGAAGACTGGGGTATATTATTTTCATGATTAAGCCTGACTCTCCTGATATATCATCCTCTTCATGTATTGCTTAATGATATGGAATAACCGCAAAGAGCCTCCCGACATTACGTCTCGGGTAGCTCAAACCTAAAGCAAACTGCGGCCGAAATCAGTGCTGACAGTCAAGCCGCTTGCAACTGACTTGACGGGGCAATCATAGTTTAACTTCCTTTCCTCGCTCCCCAGCCTTCTCCCCGCCAAAAAACTTGGGTAGTGAAATCCTAAATTGTCTGCTCCCATGATGCGATATGCATTTCCCCGCAACAAATCCGAAATATGGGCGACCACCTATTGGGATAAGATAGTGCCAGATAGCAATGGAGGCAGACGGGCACCGCTAGGCCACCTATACGAACTATTTCTCTTTTATCCTTTGATATCACACTGAATCTTATTTCATCAAGGACTACAGGCAAAGTTGTTATCCTCTGTTGCTGATGAAAATGGATTACGACATTCGGCATTGCGCAAGTGCGCGTCATGCTGGAACTCAATTGCGGAGCGGTCATACAGGGTGGCGGGTAGATAGTAATGTTCAGCAGAGATAGTGACTGCTGATAAATATCGGCGAGAAAACCGTTCTTCGCATAGTAGGTCCTCAGAAGGTAGTTTTAACAGGTCATGTAGTGTCAATGTTATGATAGGCACATCTGATAATTGCGGCATCCAGAGATACAGATCCACCATCTCCTTATGGCACCCTCAACCGAAACTCATTCTCACCCTGCGGGACAAAATGGCAAGAACCACATGTTCCTCACTGACGCCAGTCAGGATCTTCTCAGCCAGGCAGGACGAATTATTCCCGACTTGCGGACCATCCAAGAACTCGGCCAGACAGTAGTCAATGGGGGTCTAGTTGATGACCGAAAGTATCTGGTATGCTGCCGTTCTAGCCACTGAGAAAGAGTTGCTCACCAAAGCAGGTCGAGAATATTATTCAAGTTACGGCCTCCTTGCCCAACACATCTGGATTGCGAGGAAAGATCACGGATGCGTTCGTCAGCACTCTATGGAACAATCTCCAACATCCTCCTTTGTCTTACCTCGGGGATCAATTCAAGTATCGGACCGCGGATGGGAGCTACAACGTATGCATTATCTGCACTTTGATATTGAATAGATAAACTGATCGATCTAGAATATCATGTACCCCCATCTCGGGGCATCTGGAAGCCATTACGCCCGGACTGTCACCCCTCAGCATCCGAGGCCTGCCGTGCTTCCTGATCCGTCTCTTATATTTGACAGTATGGTCAGCGTATAAACCTCCAAGCCAACTACTAACCGAATCAGCCCTACTGGCCCGTGACGGTCCCGCCAAGGAACACCCAAGCCAGATATCCAGCAATCTCTTCTATCTGGCGACAGTGATCATCCACGGTATGGCAATCATAACGCATTCATATCCACTCTGATAAGGTAATAGACCTCTTCCGCACGGATGAGCACGACGGCACCAAGGTAAAGAACTCTTCCTACCTTGACCTTGGGCCCCTGTATGGCCATAACCAGGACGAGCAAAACCAGGTGAGGTCCTTCACAGATGGGCTCCTCAAACCAGATACATTCGCAGAAAAGCGTCTTCTCACGCAACCGCCGGGTGTTTGTGCATTGTTGGTTGCCTTCAGTCGATTCCATAACTGGGTCGTCGGGGAACTGGCCTACATTAATGAAGCTGGAAGATTTAGTTTGCCTACTGGGATGGAGCAGGATGATCCGCGATACAGCGGGGCGCTGACCAAGAGGGATAATGATCTGTTTCAGACGGGAAGACTGTATGCTGAATACTTCTGGTAGTAGCAGCCGACGCTGATTGAGTAAGGATAACATGCGGCCTATATGTCAACAGCATACTAAACGACTACCTCCGGACAATCCTCAACCTCAATGAGAATCCTACCGAGTCAGATTGGACACTTGACCCCAGAAAGAGTCTGGAAGTCTTTGACAAAGGAGGCGTTCCCCGAGGAGTCGGCAATCAAGTCAGTGCTGAGTTCAACATGATATACCGCTGGCACGCGGCCATCAGTAATCAGGATGAAGCCTGGGCGAACAGACTTTGCCATAGGATCTTCGGACCGGAGGTTGATGGAAGTATGTAGTCCGAGATGGTGAATAGGACTGATTTGACAATTGACGTATAGGCACATTATCTGTGAATCGATTCCTCGAGGGGTTGCGAAAATATTTCGAAAACAATGTACCAGGCGAACCTGCAACGTGGACCTTCGGAGGGCTGGAACGGCAGCAGGATGGACGCTTCGCTGACGGTGAGCTTGTTCGTCTCTTGTCAGAAGGATGCGAGAACGTCGCTGGTAAGTGCAGCTATCGTTGGTTTAGCATAGCATTGACGTTACCAGGGGCATTTGGCGCCAGAAACATTCCCAAGGTGATGAAAGCCATTGAAATGCTCGGAATTGAACAGGGACGGCAATGGGAGCTGGCGACTTTAAATGAGTTCAGGGTGTTTTTCAAACTGAAACCGCACGCAACTTTCCGTAAGCGCGGTCCTTCCATTCCTTGCTGTAGACAAGCTAAGCTGTGTTAGTGGAAGTCAACTCGAATCCAGCTATTGCAGAGGCATGTGAGTCATCACCATACAACCATCGAGGTAGAGCTAAAGTATCACAGTGGAAGCACTATACGGCCACCCCGATAACATAGAGTTATACGTTGGTGTACAGGCAGAAGAAGCTAAAAAGCCCTTCTATCCCGGCTCCGGGCTGTGTCCTGGCTTCACCATATCAGCAGCTATTCTGTCTGATGCGGTTGCTCTCGTTCGCGGGGATCGTTTCTACACAGTTGACTATAGTCCAACCAACCTGACCAATTTTGGGTGGGTTCTAAATCCAGTTCAAGGTAGAGACCTCTTGGCTAATAGCTTGACAGCTTCGATGCTTCGAGCTCCGACTTTGACGTTGCTGGCGGGGGTGTGATGTATAAATTGCTGATGAGAGCCTTCCCTGGATGGTACCAGCCAAACAGCGTCTATGCGCTATATCCATTCGTGACACCAGAGAAGAGTCGTGGGATTATGGATAAATATATGAAATTCAAGTACCTGAATTTCGATCGACCGTCATATACTCCACCACCTGTGCCGGTCACAACTTGGGAAGGGGCGACTAAGCTTTTGGAGGACCAGAAGCGGTTCCATGTTCCTTGTATGTCTATACACACCCCCATACTGCGGTTGACTGACATAGGACAGGGGGAGCACATACACTTCAGATTACAAGGCATGATTACATGCTCAGCGGGGATTCTGCCGCGAATGCAGAACAAAGGCGACTGGTCAACGAGTGTCTCTACGAACCAAAGACTTTACTCGAGGATGTGCGAAAGCTATACGAGTCTATCACTACAGACCTGCTTCATGAGAAAAGCTTCAAGCTCCGCGACTGTTACCATGTTGACATTGTTCGAGAGTAATGCCATCTTATCAAACCTCATCGCACAGAGGAAGATGCTAATGAATGCAGTGTGGGAAACCTAGCACACGCACATTTCTGCTCGCAGTTCTTTAGTATCCCGCTGCTGGATTACAAAGACCTTTCACCTGAAGCTTACAGCCCCAGAGAGCTTTCTGATGCCCTTGCCTTGTTGTTCGGCTATGTCTTCCTAGATCTTGAGCCCACCGATTCTCTCAAGATTAGGATCGCAGCAGCAACGGAGGCGCAGCGAATGGGCGCTATCATGGCCAAGTCAGTCTCCAACGCCAGAGATAGCTTCGTCAGACGTTTCATGCAGGCGCTTGGAAGGAGCGAGGCCGGGGCAGCGAGCTATGGCCCGCAGCTTGTGAACCGGTTACTGAGAGAGGGCAAAAGTGTCGATGAAGTCGTGTGGACCATTATTCCAACCGCAGCAGCAGCGTGTGCGACACAAGCACAGGGTGTAAGTTCGATCGACCAAGTTAAGTTGTGGCATGCTGACAATGCAGTGGGCACAAATGCTTGACCTCTACTTATCGGAGAAGTACGCCTCGCACTGGCCAGCTATCCAAAAGCTGGCAAGCTCCACCGATCCTGGAGCGTTTGAAAAGTTGAAGAAATACGCTCTTGAGGGGTAGGGTCTCTTAACTCGTTTTCGGGAATTGTTCTGATCTGTACAGATTCCGCCTGTCTACCCCGGCTTTTGGTGTCCTCCGTACAGCAGTTGATGAAGCCACAATTAAGGATGGAGAAATCTCTACAACTGTTCAAAAAGGGCACGGTGTATTTGTAGACTTCATTACTGCCGGTCGCGATCCCATCCGGTTTCCCGACCCCGAGGAGATCCGACTCGACCGTCCGGCGGACGTCTATATTCACCATGGCTGGGGTCCACACGCGTGTCTTGGAAGGGCAATTGTCACCACAGCCGGTGCCGTCCTCTTGGGCGTCCTTGGTCGACTCGAAAATATCCATAGAGCTCCCGGACCAGCCGGAGAGATGAAGAGCAAGATGGTGAATGGTGCGTTTAAGCTGTACTTGCGCGAAGATGGATCCTCCTGGACACCGTTTCCTCAGAGTAGGTCATCCACGTGTTGTACGTGAGTATACGCTGACTGCGATAGATATGAAAGTGATGTTTGATTCCTTCAAATAGGTTTAGACGGATGAGGAAATTGTCGTTGTCACTATGATGTAATTATTACCGTACAGTTATTAGTTCTTCGTGTGATCAAGCAGACCTCCTGCAGACCAGTCTTCGTAGCTGCATCCATGTACTAAATAAAGGTGTTGTAGCCATCCTCGAATAAACAAGGTCAGCTGGAAATGGCATCGTTCAACCCGAATACACCTGTCCGGGGCAATCCCTTTCTCGACATCCCCTCCGACATAGACGCTCACCCTTTCCGCTTAGTATGGGAGGATATCGGCTCCGTTTTTTGTCTAGCCAGGCTGCTGCCATCTATCTTTTTACCTATTCTGCCTCTGAAATCCGGACCGCTGGATGAGCTCTATCCAAGTTGCCGCAATCTATGTGATGTTGCTTTACATGTTATCCTCATTCTCAGCCAGTTGGCCCTGCTTATATTCTTACCAGTTGCCCTGGCCATCTTCTGGATCTTCCCCACGGGTGTGCATATAGCATTTATAGCAGTCTTTACCTTCTCCACTATGGTGATCGTCAGAGTCCTGAATGGACCTCCGACAGGCAGGTCCCTAATCGGCATTCCGCGAAATAGGGATCCAGTAAACGACGAAACCGAGCCATGGTTTTTCATTAATGGGATAGCCACCGGGTATGTAATTATCCACGAACCAAAGAACTATGCTGATTGATGTAGGAAGCACTGGCACCAGTCGAACCTGACCGCGCTGGCAGACACCTTTGGCCGGCAGATCGTGGGCATCCACAACCCAACGTGTGTACATGTGTATATCCACCTAGTACCGTACAATGCTAACCAGTTGCCACAGCAAAGGCGTGATCCTCGATCTTGTCGAATGCCTCATCCAGCGCGATCTCGACTACAAAACAGCTGACATCCGACAAGGCCGAGCCCAACTTCGCGCCGCGCTCGCCGCATCTACCACGAAGAAAGTAGTCCTCATCGTCCACTCGCAAGGCGGGATTATAGCGTCCTCGATCATCGACTGGCTGTATGGCGAGCTCAGCGAATCCCAAATACAGAAACTAGAGATATACACTTTCGGCATCGCAGCGAGACAGTTTCGCAATCCGCCTCTGCACGAGCCGCAAGATAGCGATCCGGCGGGCAATATCCCCCGCCGACAGATTCAAGGAGAAAGAGCAATCCGAAATATCGAACACTACGCAAATAGACAGGATTTCTTCGCTAATATCGGAGTTTTGCAGTTCACGGCACCCGCGGGCGCGTATTCGAATGCAAGTGTGTTTTCTGGGACTGTCTTTGTCCGAGAGGGATCGGGGCATTTGTTTAATATGCATTATTTGGATCCGATGTTTGGGGAGGATAGTTCCTTTATGGAGAGTATGGTCGATGTGCGCCCTGGTGATGGACCGGGGAAGCCTGTCTCCATGCGAATCAGGGAGTTCTCCAGGTTGTACAAGTACAAAAATGGGGAGAGCCCGGAGGAACAGGATGCTAAGTGAGTATAGGACCCCTGTTGACTACATTAAACCACCCAGCTAAAAGGTGTGCAGTATAACTATGTAGCTAGTAAAATCAGTAGTGCATTGTATTTTTCAACCTTCCCCAACATGTCCACAGCATTGGAATGGAGCATATCCCATCTTGCCGTATCGCGAGAGAAAGCGCGTGTACAGATGCTTAGTACAGATTAAGATGTGCTTAGGATTCGACCACATTGACAAGCTTGATTTTCTTCATGCGCCCACAGAGATCCATACTACTAACAGTATATGCATTGGTTCCTCTGCAACTCGATTAGTTCCCCTCAATCCAGAGAAGGTGCTCAGTCAGTTAAGTATTCCACAACTAAAGACCCCTACACCACCAGGCTGTCGACCAAGCAGTCGTTCAGCCAATTCAGCGCCTAAAGGTTTCTATACTGCTAGGTGGCAGAGAAGTAGGCATCTGCGGTGAGAAAGACTGCTTAGTGCGCGTACACAGAGCCCTTCATCTTCGCTAAAATAACGGTTAGTCAAGCTTACAAGGGCCATGAATTACATCTTAATGATCTCGTTCTTGCGCACGAAGAAATACACGAATTACAAGCTTCTAATGAAGAGTAGCTTCAAAAGCAAATGCAATATACTAGGCAGCTAGCTACTGAAGAGACCTATAGGGTCTAGGAGCCCCTAAAGCAGTTTCAGCACGGGATTAAGGTTCATAAATCTCATGATGCTCTATCTATGGATCCAGTGCTAATTGCAGTTGGATTGAGTGTATCAGTGCCACGCGTACTGCAGTAATTGTCATAATCTAGGACAAATAAAAGGTTGCAGTGTCCTAAATGAGTTCCTAATTAGTTTCTATATAGAAATTCAATTGTTTTCTTGATAAAGACCCTTATATTTAGCCCGCGGGCGGGAATTGGAGCGGAGGTGGCCGCTCAGTGGAACAACATATCATTACAAGCTAGGCTTAACAAATGGAACTGCAGGGCCTGTACTGTCTCTCTCCCAGTGCAAAATTGCCACGTTAGAGAGAGTTCCGTAATGTAACTGGTAAAGTGGTAGTACGATTAGAATGCTTCGCTCTCAAAAACAGAAACTTCATTAGCATTAAATCACCTATTTCTTGTTTCCAGCCCACAGAAACTGCTGGAAGTAAATTAACGATCACACATGTTGCCAAGTTTCACTGTTGGTCCCATTCGTGTCGCATCTTGTCCTCAAACTCGCTGAATTGAATGTCACTGTTTGGAGCGAAGTTAGTTATTTTGTTGTCCTTAATGAATCTGAAAAACTCCGAATGCTGGTCATCGGAATCCTCATATCGGTAGCACTGTATGGTTACACAAGTCATGTGGTACTTGTTCTTGAGCATGTGGATCTGATATTGCTTCTCACCCAGCCAGGTAACAGCCCCTTTATTGAAAGTAACGCTGCCAATCACGATTGGTTTTCCCACATCGATAGAATCGTAATAAGTGCAGTCAATCTGACCCTCAAGGACTTTGATAATAGCTGAAGCGTTACCATGGTCGTGAATTGGCGAGCTGTTACCTGGTGGCCATATCTCCATAACATATGGAACACCGGGTGAATTACCCTGAGGCACAATTAATACAGCATCTTCATGAACGGTACTGGCACTTACCATATTTGGCCCAACTGTTACCCTCAGGTAGCCATTGGCGGGGTCGTGGTCTTTGGACTTCTCTTTCAGTTTGTTATATGCCCAACAACCAGGCGTTATAACGGATCGATGAATGGCATTGTAGAAATCTGGGAATTCGGAGGTATTAAGAACAATCTTCGGGCCAGCCACATTGTGGTAGAGCGTTTGGCATGCCGTTGGCAAATCCGCGAAGACCACGCGGGTGCCGCTGTCCAGCTCGCCCAGGGTAACTCCATCCGTTGAAGCAACAACAGGGGGTAGATCACGAACAACAGGCAGACGATTGATTCTAGTCTGGGAGATTTTTTCGTTCTATGACAATTTCACCTGTCAGCGAAGCAGATAAGAGGTGAAGATATCGGACTAATTACCGGTTCGACCTTAACGATCTTCAACTTCTCTAAAACTTTGTATTGCTTTTCCTTCCATTCCCAGACGCCCTTGTCTTTCTTTTCTTTAAGCTGCGCCTCGACCAATGTCATGCGATTGTTCACCATACGTGTTCCAAACCTTATTCTCCCATAATTCTTGTCAATGGATAGCCAGTACGGGATTTTCTTTTGGGGGAAGATATAGTCCCCTGGTACTCTGGTGGGAATTAGGGTCAGCGGAATTTCTTCCTGCAGAATTTGCTCTTCAGAGCTCGAGTTGAACTGCAAATTGCAACTTTTTGGCTTGGCCGTGAAGGTAAGGGTCACAGTCTTCTGCTCATTTTGGACAGTAAATGTCAATGAACCTTCTTTTTCTAATTCGGCAAGGACAGCTATTGTCCCTTGTCCCTCAATAGGGAGCGAGACACCGTCTGATGCTGCGGCAAAGGCAACCCATGGCGATATATCAGAGAAGAACGTAAGCGCTTCGTCGTCTGAGGGCACGAAGAAAGGATCAAAGAAGTCGTGAGCTGAACCCATGATGTGAGAGGTAAATGGAAGATTCAGGTCACCTTTCTGCTGATGAAACCGTATGCTCTGGAGAACGGAAAACCGGTCAGCGAGAAGGTCGTGGTGCTTCTATTTATGGCTATTCCTTAAGGCCTCAGCTGGATCCTGTGTGCCGCTGCCATATAGCTGCTCATACCATTTCCTTGTCTGATAGTAACCTGGTTTCATAATAGTTCTATGTGCTGCTACAATAATGCCGATCATACCGTTTCTTTGGCTGGTATCCATGCCGTTTTCAGAATCACTAAGCTTCCTATCCAGGAGGATAAACTGAGCTACGTGGACTACTTGGAACTTCCAAATGTGTGGGATGGTAGGCAACATTCGTCACCTTTTTTTTATTAAGATAGCCATGAAATAGCTACAAAGTATTATCTACTTACTTTTCGCACTTGTAACCTTAGCTCTACGCTGGACAGCCAGCCCCACGCTGTCAAGCATATCCGTTCCCTGAGCTAACAACGGAATGGGAAGGATAGGCTCCACCTTCATGATTTGATATACTACGATGATCAATGTTGCATCTCTCTGAATGCAGAAAATTTCTGGTAGGGATGAAGGCATCATGGACAACAGGTTCTCGGACAAGTGGTTACACAAGAATTCTTTCCGGCTACCCTCGAATTCTTAAAGATTGCATCTATGCAAATAATTCAGGGTAGCCCTTGATGGACAAGGGTGAAGAAATCAGGAGGCCGGATCAATCTCTCCGAATTCGTTTTGATCCCATCTGTAATTTGTCATTGAGAGGGGCCTCCTCAGCAAAGAAGTAGACGCAGAAGTGCTAGTCCGGAACTAGAGGAGCTTGGATCGGCACACTCCACAAAAGGCATATACAAGTCCTGAGCCGGCGTCTTTTTCTTTTTTTATTTAACTGCGCCCATTATGTCACAGCATAAATCCGAGCTGGCATGTTTTTCTTTTTTTTTTTTTTTCTTTTGGCTCTGCCTAATGCCGTCGGAGCAAGAATTACATTAGGTGTAATAACGGATGAGGTTGGCGGGACCCAATAGACTTCCTAATTGTTTGACTAGATGTCGAAGGTGCAAAGATCATGCTGGAGAAAATGGAGTACTTTTCGGAGACAAACGCGACGATATTCGCCAACTGCTCTTATATGAGTCGCGAGGACGGCTAACGATGTTCATTAATGTCGTTTCTCAAGCCGTGTCAAAAGGCACATAGGGCCTGGCGATCATGGGTTCTCAGACGTACCAACATATATCTGGTTCCAATGTCAACTGTGTGGTGACTGTCCCTGATTCAGAAAGAGATAATACAGGTTGAAAATAATCCTCAACCTTTGGTACTTGATACGCCGGCAGGATTGGTCAAAACGTTGGCCCATATTGACAACGGGAAATGCGTCAGCGTATCTTTTGAGAACGTTCCAGCCTTTTTTTCGGTAGTTAACAGATTGGCTTCCGCGACAAGCTGGTGACTGTGGGCATCGCATATGGGGGCGTCATCTTTGCCATGGTTTCCGCCAAAAAAGTGGGCGCAATTTTGCACGATAGCCATACCCGCGAGTAAGTATAAGTAATCCAGAATGCCTCGTATAAGTTAGAATATTTTGAACGGCCTATTCCATCCAGGCTTCTGCAACTAGGTGCAGGTATTTAAAAAAGCAATTGAAAAGGCGATAGGAAGCAGGCATATTCCAGACCCCGTGCACCCCGACGCTGACAAGGGCATCCGGGGTACCGGTGCTGTAATGCTATATGATGAGATTGCACACAGGGCACCTATACCACAAAATGCATTACTGCATCTATCCTACCTCTTGGACGGATCGACCAAAGTCCGGCAGGCACTGGTAATTCGGCCCTCATGGCTTCCATAGCTTAGAAGGGCAAGTTGGGTGAGAGTTTCGAGTATCAATGTTACTTAGGGACGACATTCAAGGGCTCTTGTACTCCTGGCAAGAAAGATATCCAAGTTGGACCTTATAATGCCATACACACAACAATTTCAGGGAGGGCATTTCTAACCGGTGAAAGAACGGCTTATGTTGACCGCTATGATTCCAATCCTTATGGCTTTAAGGTTGCGACATATGGCCGCAAGGTGAGATATGAAAAAAAAGCAAAAACGGGATCGATCCTGGGCTCACGTAGGCCCTGGATAATTTTGAATTGTTTTCCTCTTGTCTGTATGCTTTCGGATTAATTAAATTCACCGCCGTAGGTAGCAATAAGTGGTAATCGTCAACTTCGTGGCTACATGTTGTCAAGATCACGATCGAAGGGTAGGCACTGGTGAAACAATGGGGGTTTGAACGGAAAAGCACTCCTTTTACGGAAAGCCGAGATGGTATAATGAGGGATATTTCCAATTTTGGTAGGCCAAAATAATAAGCTATACCTCTCACCATCACGGTTCAAGATGCAGGCATAAGTTCAGTTGGGTTGAGCTGATTGAAGCATGTCACTTTTGTGACTCGAGATTGGCTAATATTATTCGCATCCGACAATGACGGAGCTTTATACATACGATAAACATCTGATTAATTTCTAATCAAATTGAAACTTTACAAAGTTTGTTCTGTTCATGAAGTGCTCTTTTCAAGCCTCAAGTCATAACTTCCTTGAGATGCACGCCTCAAACATGCTGGGTTTTAAGGGACCATCCAACTGTTGCAAGATACTTCGCTGTATTTATAAGACTATGTGCTGATGAAACTTTAATCGTTATGCACTTATTCATAATCACATGTAATGAAATCACCAGAAATACAGAATATGTCACTGATGAAGGCGTTTGTGTTGTGCGTACCCAATTTCAAGGGAATCTTATGAGCCTCAAGCACACAAGGAAAGTAAGGTGGTAGTAGTCATCAAAACTAACTAGAGAATAGAAGGTTAAATGACTCAAATAGGACGCAGGTCAACAGGTAATCTTGGAAGATCCTTGACAGAGTCTCGCAGTAGGACTATGGCTGGTTTAGTAGGTGTATAGACGGGACTTCTCAGCAAAGGCATCGGTCCGGTGGATAATGGTAGACTTCAGTAAATCCGTGACGGAGATGTTGAATTTGTTTCCTCGCCATACAACTGCATTCAGTGCACTAAGACCAGTAATAATAAACACTACCATGTTGACAAAGTAGTCGAAGAGGTTCCGAGAGGTATGGTTCGTGCAAGACTATGTCTATACTTGGTTGAAACGTTGTCACATCGAAGCTTCGCGGGTCCCGATGTCATTATCCATTGTTTAAATGACACAAAACCGTTCAACCTGCCCTTTTGCATAGTAAAAAGGCCCTTTCTTTGAGATACCTGACCAACTTCGAGAATGGATTCTTCGAATGAGTGTGTTTTTGATATGTATTTTGGTCAACTGGGGATTGAAAAGAAGAGCGCCCCGTGTCACGAGTCAGAGAACGAGTAATTGATCTGCGACTTCATAGTGTTAGTACTCAGTCATCCACAATCCATTTGAATGCCACTTACGATGAGGGTGTTATTGGAGCATCCAACGGCCTTATAACAATCGGTGGTTCATATGAAGTTCGCCTGTTAAGGGGGTGACCTGCACCGTTTGTGTCTGCTATATCCGCCAAGGATTGAACGAAAGGCAATACTGCATCTTCTGCAAGCATTTCGTATGCATAATGAAGGACTGGTTCCAGTACGATCGGTGGGGGGCAAGCAACCCCAGGTGTGCTCTCCATTAAATCATCTCGCATCCACCCTGGTATGTTGATCTCACGGGGAGCATTGCGAGCAATATATGTGTCTTTTAAATGTTTCCATTCCCTGACGACATACGAATCCTTTTCTTCAGAGGGGTCCTCGCCTAGCACACTAAAACGTGCTAATGATAAGTTGTAGCTCTCACGGTAGTGCTTCACCTCTGAGATGAATTCGAGTGTTTCGAGACAATGGTTCCTAGCAAGGAAATCCACAAAAGCCTCGAACGTATAGGGATGTTCGCTTGAGTGGGATAGGATATCGCTGAGAGTAGTCCTGCAATGCCGTTTCCGTTTGATTAGCGATCTTTGCCTGATAAGACTTCTCATGGCTGTTGAGAACTTACATGAAGACTGATCTTTAGCAATCAACCTTGATGGCTTCAAGTCTTATCCATCCATAGGAGTGATCGTTCCGGAGGACGATTTTGTCAGTACGTCAAGTACATGTGACAGCTGTGAAAATATACGCTGTCGTTTTACTATGATTAGAAATCAATTACAATAGCCTTGAGCTGCTAAGCAATAAAATAATGACATAGTCTCCTTCCCTATTAAGTCTTGATCTAGACCTAGATAGTCTTTGGCTTTCTATGGTTCCAGGGAAATGAACGCTGGTCACAGCGAAGTAAGAGAGTTTGAATCCATATTCGCCCCCAGTACTCCGTAGATCGCCGCCTCATTGGCCCATTATTGTGATAACTTTACCTGAGTCAGTTTGCATCGTTTCCATCGCCCGACCTCCCCCACGGTATGTATCTCCAGATAAGTGGGAGAAGCCACCATTGGTTCCAGTAGTCTCTAATATGGTTATGCCTAAAATATGTAATCATTCCTATCAAGCATCATATGGTTTGCACTATAACTATGAGCACTAAATTTGTCACATTGTTACATCTGGACAAAAGATTCTCTTCATATGCAGTAGTCAAACAGTATCACGGCCTTGTGTAGTATCACGGGCTGGGATCAAGTACGATTCCTCAACTTCCACCCTCTCTGGTCCAATACCCCTTATGTCTATGATATCCGTAACCCATCCTTGTCCTGGAGATAATGTCGAAACCAGGTAATATTCTCTTCCATGCGCGATAAAGAACTATCTTCTCGCCCTTCTTTGCCATTATGCGGAGGTCGTGGGAGTAACTCAGAGTTGGCAGGCTTGACACACGTGTTTCTGGTTCCGTCCGTGATTCTAAATGCATAAGCAAAGAGCAAGATTCCATCTGCAATATCTGTCCACTCGAACTTCCTTTCTGCGTTTCTTCCGTGCTCTCCCTGGTATTCTGTAATGCGAAACTCAGGAAAGGGAAGATAAAGCATCGTCCATTGATATTTGTCCACGAGTGCCACCAGTAACCTCCGTTTAACTTCCTTCATGGGGACACTTTCGTCGTAAGTAGTGTCTATATCCCCAGTGCGCCAACTAGTGCCCAACAAGAATCTTCGTCAATGCCATACGTTCGGCTCCGCTTGCCTGCGAGGATATCAAGAGGATTGTCCTTATAGTAGCCCACAAACCCGCAGGCCAAGAATGCCTGGTGGGACCGGCGCAGCCATATCTCCGGCGCCGTTGACAGCAAATGTGCGACGTGAGGACTGGGTCTGGCGGTGTCAGGCTCATGGCCTTCCTTCTATGAAGTAGGCTTCGGCCAGATAACGGGCTAGTTTGGAAATGGGTGTCGTGATATCTCGAACAGTTGCCTGAGTTCCTGTGAAGTAACTATCTCCAGGGAGCCTGGTGCCATCAGCATCAACGAGATGTGTATCACTTAGAAGCACCCCTTCTTGTAAGGTCCAGCCAGACGCTAGCCACCGTTCGTCAGTACGAGCGGCGCCGAGCAGCCTCAGTACTTCATCGGTATACTTCTGGAAGTCAATGGACTCTGTGTCATCAGATTGTGGCAATCGCAAATTTGTAAGAGCCTTCAGCGCCGACTGATCCGACCATGATGTGGAATGCAGCCAAACTATGCTGTGAGTGGCTTTGCCATAAATGTGCCTGCATCTGAGACAAGCGATGAGCTGACTGCCCTTCAACATAACACCACAGACTCGTAGCTAAAACATGAAACAGTAGAGGAGCCCCGTTTTTACACTTACATTTGCTTCCCAATCTCTTGACCTTTAGCTTCAAGCAGCTCAGGAGTCAATGCTCTCATACCGCCCCACCGGTTTCCCCCTGCCCTGCGGAACACACATCCAGTCCCACCATATGTACCGGGTACCAATAGTTTTCATGACCTCTCTTGCCTTTGCTAAGGGCCATTTCTTAGTACCAGGCACGTCCCAAGAAGACCTCGAGGTGTGTCCTTAGCAACATTGCCGAAGTCGGCAATGTATCCCCAGGTATAAGACACCACGCCATAGCCTTGACTGTCTAGTATTTCCCGCGGAATTTTGGCATAAGGCTGGATCTCCCATTTTTCCAGATCCAGAAGCCACCGAGGACTACGAGGATCATTGGGAGGTATATCTGTTGACTCCATGCTAGAACGCAGTTCGGATTTCGTCGCAAAAATTGGCTTTTGCAGGATTCCAGGGTGCTTGGACTGTACTTGAATATTTAAAATACATGTCTCTTGGGGCCACCCCGCTGTTAGCTTGTTCTGCTGCATCTTGTCGATTTGTCGATCGCGCCAAGGGAATATCCAATCACTTGCTATCCGATCGAAAACAAGCGGAGAAAATGCAAAGCACAGCCAACTTGATTCGGGCCAGGCTCAGGGAGAGCACGCAGGAACGATCGTTCCTTCAGTGCCCCAGAGATCTCGGTAGACACGATCGTTCGCTTCATTGACCTAGAGATGGGAAACGGCGCATTTAGTTGAAGAGCCAGTGTCGACATCATGGACGGGACGTTTGGGTCCATTGGTATGAACTCCAACAAGAGCAGTTGATGTTCAGCTGAGCCAGCAACACAGACCAGACAAACCATACTTGAAATGGCAATAGATGTACATTCCCACTCCTCCATTATGCAGACCCCGCCGCTGAAGCTACCTAGACGGGGTTAATGAGCATCGCCAAGTTGCAGGCTATTGTCGACCTGCAGGACCTGACTTGGTACCATATACCGATCATTTGGACAATTACTCTCTTGTGAGATATATGGCTGTACGTGGTTTATGACTGTGCCAAGCTGCACTATTGGACAAGAAGACTTGCCCTCCATCGTATAAGGTTTGATTGGATTCCATTAAAAAGAGCCACGTCATAGCGCTGAACTGCAGAACCGCCGCTTTAACTGCCAGTAAGATGAGATATCACATTTGCGCGGGGACTACTGCGTAGCGGCAATCTTCCTACGGTATCTTTGTTGTTACGTGGTTGATTCGAGATTTGCTACCAGGACATGAGGATTGCCGATACCCTACACTACTCTCCGCAAGCTTTAGAATGAAGCCGAACAACTTATCTACCATCCTTTGTCCGAGCAGAGCAGGGAATAGTAGGCCAGACGTCGATCTCTGATGCGTAAATGACTTAATGTAGTTCACCTGAATTGAAACAATGTGGGTCCTATGCAGGGTTGGGATCCTGGCTTAAGCGGGCCTACAGATCGCCATCTCGCTGGCTCTTCCCTCCATAGGTCTGAACGAAACAATCGCAGCAAAGATGACTAGCTAACTAATACCAAAATATACTGCGCGCAATGTGAATTTTGAGTGGAATATGCCAGATTGCTGAGTGGATGTCTCTGAAGACCAATCCCCAACCGCTGTGCAGGCCCAACAAGAATCAGGCTGAACCATATGGCAAGTTCGTCACTAATAACCTTGGAAGGAAACAGTTAGACCTCCTCAGCACAATGCTACCCTTCAGCTGCGTGTATTCCTCTATGGTGCGGAATAAAGCTCTGAGAGCAGCATATCATAGTCCTTGTGCCGATGTCGCAGGCGCTGGAAGAGCTTCCTTTATCTAATAATATTGATGTGTCTGCAGGCGTTAATCTGAGATTTAGGGAATGAGGTACGCCCCGCAGCTACACTATATGGTCATATTCCAACTCTTCGCCTTCATACCCCGTCTTATTACATCTACGGCAATTCTTTGATCCCCAAACCCCCAACCTCGTCGACCTCTCTTGTTGTCTCCAACCTTCGTTCTTGGGGAGTACTCCCACTCAGCTCCACACCCCTCGGACCCTCAAGGTCAACACTCCCTTCGGATATATCCGACCTATATGTCTGCCTGCGGCCACTCTCCTCCCGCATCACATTCACTATACTCGGCGCAGTAGACAAACTAGACACATGGCGATGATGTAGCGGTCTTACCGGGCTCGGTGCACCCTCTGTACTGGGCGTGCTAACCGTGACGGGGGATACATAATCCATGCCCGAGACGCCTGAGGTCGAAACCGGACTGGGGAGGACATTGTTGTTATACGGTGTGGGAAGTTCCACGGGGAGTGTGGTGGTATGACCTTTGGAACAATTAGCGGATTAAAAGAAAGCGATCGAGGGACCGACCTAGCATCTCGTAAACGGGATCACCACCTGCCTCCACACTCCACGGTGACATCGCTGTTGCTGGCGTGATATTCGGTTCATTTGCGGCTGCACTATACCCCGTTGATGCAGTCGTGTCGCTTGATTTTGGCACGCCAGTTGTCCCCCCACCGGCGTGCATCCACCGAAGGATCCAGGATCGACGTGATTGCTCGCTTGTGGATTGCGAATCGTGGGGCCTGCGACGGCGACGAACACACCAGAATATAACCGCTGCTGTTATGAGAATGAGCCCTACAATAACTCCAATGATGGCGCCGGCCCAGCTAGGGAAGCTGGAGCCTTTGTCTGGAACTGGAACTGGGGTGATGGTAGGTGAGCCGCTAGCGGTGCTGTTGTAAGGGTACCAGGTGCTAATGGTCTTGGTGTACTTGCTTTTAAACACATCCGCCAGAGAAGAATTGGTCCAGGAGGCGGGTGATACTTTTGTGGCGCCGCCTTTGGAGCTGCAGCTCGTTAGCAAGTCAGTGTTCAAGGGACGGGGATACGTACTCTCCTCCAATGACGGCAGTCACCAAGTCTGGAACTTTGTACTCGCTCCAGAGTGTCGGGCTGTAGGTGTTTTGGAACCTGCCGGTATTTAAGTTGAACACTTGGATCACACCTCCATCCAGGCAATGCGTAGGGTCAAGATGCACTCCTCCAAGAACAAGCATTTGGTCCGGATATGGTTTGACACAGCGGTGACCACTCCGACCGTGGGGGCTATTTCCGCTGTAAAGCTTGATCCAGCTGAAGGAGGGTAGGGATAAAACATAGACATCGTCGGACGGTGTGTTCTCCGTGCTCAGCCCGTCGTAGCCGCCGTAGATATAGATGTTGTGGGAAGATCCGTCTTGTGCACTCGCATAAACTGAGCAGAACTGCGTCAGCTGAGGAGGAATGTCCCCAGTCGTGTTTTGCAGATACCTTTTCTCAGTAAGCATTGGAGGCTTAACCGGGCCAAGCACTCACCATCTCTCACCGCTGACATCGTAGACGGGTACTGTCTCCATAAACCTCGGACTTGCCCTCTTACTCGCATTCTGCTGGGCACTCGTCAAGCCCTCGGAGGAAAAGATCGTGGCTGAATTGATCACTCCCCCAATCACTACCAAGACCCCGTCCTCAGCGACAGGGATCCAAACGAGCTCGGAATTAGCACGCGGAGGGACATATGCCGGTAACGACAGATTGGACCACTTGTTCTCGCGCATGGTCGACATATCCACCTTGATCATACGGTCGGATGTAACATTGGCGGACTCATCATCAACATAGATAGGCCCCCAGTCCTTCCCGCGCATACCGCTGAAATAGAACCCGAGGTTTTCGCTCGGTGCGGAGACTCCAGCGCCATTCGTCACGTATCTGGTCACTCCGCTGTCGAGATTGTCGATGATAAAGCCCGGTTGCCAGGACTCTCGGTCTGGGCCATACTGGTACCGTTCGTAGCCGAGAACGGTGTTGCCGGCTGGGGGGTCTTGGCTGTCTGTGAGACGCAGGAGGCCACTATTTAGGGTCAGAAGGGAATAGATAAAAAGAAGGTCAATTACCCGTAGAGATAGAGCTCGTTATCGGTGGCGAACATGACTCCATCGCGGTAGGTCGGGGCGATATTGTTCGCAATTCCTCCGGCTTTAGATATGTTGCCGAACAAGGCAGTCAGGTTTGAGGTCGTAGTATCGAAGGATGTGGCGAGACTGAGGTAGTAGAGCAGCCCGTGACCGTTTCCTGCACTTGGTTAGCCATGAACATCCTTGAGTCTGATGATACCTGCCGTCGTTTGCCAAATTAGATGTACCATCAGCCAAGTTTCTATTCAGGTTATCAGTAGAAATCGAGATAGAACGGAAAGGGGAACGTACCGCTTCCACCACAATGATCCTCCATCAAGGTAGACAATGTCGCGAATTGTGTTAACTGAGACATATGAGCATTGTCATCGCTGGGACCACTTTGGACGGAGGTACCTCGAACTTGAGCCCAATTACATATCGAGACATTGACATTCCATCCTTGTGCAGTTGAACAGCCAACCAAAAGGGCAAATATGCCAGCTAACCTGCGCCAATCGAATCGCATTCTATCAGAAGCAAACGGCCAGGACAGAATCAGGACGAACAGCTCAGTCTTTCCTTGCTGTGGTTTATTTTTAATCAGTCACATTACCTTACGAGGCTGAACCACAGTACATCAAATGAAGAAAAGCTCAGGCTAACAGCAGTCCATGTGGTAAAAATTCCCGCTTGCAAACTACGCATGCTAGGAAAGGCGAACAAAGAAAGCCTAAGCCACGAGGGCAACCAGCGATCAGGAAAGATCGTCGGGCGGAAGAAGGCAGACAGACCATCAGCAGCCACGCTAGTATTCCTACATAAAACTTTTGAGCATAAAATTGTGGTTGGTGGAGGAAAGAAGAAAACGCATGAGTCGGCCATACACAATACGAGTCGCCCAGGACCATGATGACAGCCTGTGTCTTTGCTGGAGACAGCGACGCTTCGAGTGGACATACTTGCTGCAAGGACGAAATTCTTGGGGAAGCCGTCATGGCCCAAGCCACGATTGTGTAACCCACTGATCCGTATTCCCCTCCTGTTTTCCCTTTTCAGTTAGTTCCGTATTTGCTTTGTCCTCTTCAGTGCCCCGGACCATGTTCGGCACCGGAGGTGGAACAAAGAGCGAAGGAAAACACATCACCTGGTTCAAGCCATATCCGGTCACAGACCTTGATATCGTATCCCATATACTAGAAAGAGAAAAATATAAGAAGCAGGTGGAGTCAGACAAGAATCACCAGAAAATTCGCCCCGACCAGGACAATTATTGAAGACAAATGAAGGAACGCAGGGTTCTGTATTGATCGGCTATTATTCCGTGGAATAGTTCGCTAATCATGCAACCATAATTGCTTATTGTCGCCTCAAGGCCTAGACTGCCGAACCACTCAGCCCCACAATCGTCAGCCCTCCCTGCTACTGTACACTACGCCCGATATGGCCCTGCATCTTCTGACGTGTCGTGCTCATAGTCGTCAAAATGTTCTGGGAGTCATATCATAGACACAGAGGAGGCTGGGATCTCGAGGCCTAAGCGTCGAAAATCCAGCCTCAGCCTGATCTGATCACCAGTAGCAGCATGTACTAGGCTTGTTAGTATGCATACTCAGCACGTAGATGAGTTACTGGCTCCGAACAGAGTTTGTTTCTTTGTCTGTTGCTTCAGCCACTATTACCTCCAGTTTCGGGCACAGAAGGCAACAATCGAGTCGTTATTGATTTACAGAGAACTACTTGTAGATCATGCTCACAGGCCCGGCATAATCGTTTCCAGAAACGATCCTCAGTTTCCTCATCCTAAGTGCCGTTTAGAAGAACTTTGCTCTCGCATTACGACGGACTAGGGGCAGTGGACGTCATGAAGCTTTCACGCGTACCTTTGCTAGCCCTGATAGCGGCCTCGTCGCTGTCAAATGCGCTGGAGGTGAATAGCGTGTTGGCATTGAGTACTAATTCTGCAGACGATGTGACTGTGACAGAGACCATTTTTGAGACAGTTACTGTGTCTGAATCTTCGGAGGTCAGTTGCAATTGTATTGTTCCTTATAATTTCTAAGTTAGAGCAGGCAACAAGCAGCATCCAGGCGAGGTCTGAAGCATACTTGACAGTTCTCGAGCATTCAATACCAGTCAAACGCTCAACTACTCCATCGATCACCGCTACGACTCCAGGGCCATCACCGATTAAAGCTACAGAGACAGGTACATCGACTATGACAACGCGCCCGGAATATATTTTAGCCAAGAGGCAAAATTCTACAGAGTCTCCGGCTGAAATCGCAAGTTCAGATGGCATAGTCACGGTGACATCAACATCAACAATCACAACCTGTTCTGTATGCACAAATACATCAACTACGTCCACCACTGCATCCACCACTACTCCTACTGATATGTCCACCACCACATCCACCACTACTCCTATTAATACGTCCAACACTACGTCCACCACTACTTCTACCACTACGCCTACAATACCGCCTTCTGAAACCACCTCAACAACATCCACAACGACCAGTAATCCTGACACCGCGCCAACAGCAGCACCAGGGTCTACTGTCACTGTGACTGTGACAACCACCGCTCCAGGACCAACGGAGACTGACACCGTCACTACGACTGTCAGCTTGCCAGGCACCACCGTGACAGCCACTCAGAGTTCAATCTCGACCATTACTATCACGGCCACCACAACTCAACCAGGGACTACCTACCCTGCGACTCCAGGCGAAGGACTGACTCGCACCACCACCGTAACCATTACTGCTGATGGTGGAACAACTGTGACTTCGATACAGACAGTGACCAACACAACCACTTTGACAGAAACTGCAACTACATCAGTAACTGTCCCAGGGCCTACCGTAACAGTCCCTAATTCAACAGTAACGGACACAACAACAGTCACTAATCCTGGATCAACAGTTACTGACACAACGACAGTAACTGAGATCTCAACGTCGACTGTCGCGAACCCAGAAGAGACAGTGACGAACACAACGACTGTAGCAGAGGGTTCTACCCAAACCACTAGCCAGGTTCTAACGACAACGGCCACCGAAACCGTCTTCTTGCCTGGGACAACCGTGGTGGATTCGAAAACCGTTACCCTACCTGGAGTGACAATAATCAACTCGAAAACTGTGACCCTCGCCGTCCCTGGAACAACAGTAACCAATTTGAGAACAATCACTGAATCCGGGACAACGATGACAGTCTCTGAGGTAGTCACCCTTCCTGGTTCTATAGTCACGACCATAGAGACAGTTCCGACTACCCTCCCTGGATCATCTATAATTACCACCATCACTCAGCCAGGACAGACAATTACCATGTCTGGATCTGTCACCACATTGCCAGGATCAACTATTGTTCAAACCACTACTCTTCCCGCCGTCACCACGACAGATAAACAAACGGTTCCAACAACTCTGCCCGGAGCAACAATTGTCACTACCATCACCAAGCCAGTAAGTACAGTGACAGTATCAGGGATCATTACTACATTACCAGAGTCAACTATTGTACAGACCACAACACTGCCTGGATCGCGATCAGTTGAGACTGTGTCGGTGACTGTCGTCCATGGTACTACCATTTTCAATACACTAACATTGGCTGGTTAGTCCTGCTCCCAAGGGCTTATTATACTTACCGGATAGTTCACTGACGAAGTAGGGTCTGATAAAACTATATCCATCACTGGTCCACCTGCAACTACAACTCAGACAGGAAACGCTGTGACAGTACCCGGAACCACCACAACGCTATCCATCTGTCCCACCCTCAGCATCAACCCCACTTATACTCCGGCCGCTCCGCTTCCAAGGAACTACACCTGGGGCTGCCCACCAGGCTACGTCTGTAAACCCAAACACACAGGTGCCGACGCAGGCTGCAACATCGAAGCAGGTCTGCCAGCGGAGTCATATGTCTGCAGTCCGGACGAGTGTATCAAGAGCCCGCCCTTCATCCACGACCAGTACTGGGGCATGCCAGTAGAGTCCAATGAGATCGGGTCAACCTACAACGTCTCAAAGGACTACTTCAACCTCGACCCAGAGATCTTCGGTCTGAACTACTCCATCTTCCGTATCCCGGATCTCAAGCCGGGCGACGACCACTACTACATCCGGTCCTCTCGCCGGTCATTGGGCAAACTACTCACCCGGCAGTCGATTGGAGTATCCACCGTGCCTGGCGCTTGCTTCGACGAATGCAACGACGCAGCATTAGAGGTTGTATCCACCGGCAAGACACCGGAAATCTGCAACGCCGGATCGGCTTTCGACATCTCCCTTGGTCACTGCGAGAAGTGCTGTAGCACTCACAAGACCGCTACCTCTGCCAGCTTTGAGCAAAAGGTTCTGCCGAACTTTCAGCAGTTTCTAAACTTCTGTAAGGGATTGGGGAGTTCTTCGGCTACCACTGCTGCTGCGGATACAGTCAGTTCGACTACCACCCGTAGCCGAGCGTCTACGACAACAGGAACAACATCAACACAGACCGGCACCAAGGGTAACGATGCGTCAAGCACAGCGGCAGCTACAAGCTCTGCTGAACCGACAGCAACGTCCTTACCGCCGTCTCAGCACGCAACTCCACCACACTCGACAACAGAGCATGAGCCAGCCACCGCGAGTGATACCGCTACCGGTACTGCGTCCAGTTCATCAACCAGGTCAGCAACTGGTCCGGCTTCGGGAAAGACTCCACAAAGCTCTTCCACTAGCAGTGACACTGGTGAAAGCGGGGCGAATTCATTGTCTCACGGACTGACGGGTACACATTCCGGAGCAAGTCCATCTGCATCCGGGTCACTTTCTACAGGCGCGGCAAGTCCCCAGACAGGGCCATCTCATTGGAGTATTCTGGCTCTCGTGTTTGCAGTCGTGGGTTTCCATATTTGAGGCTCTGCTGAAAAGCTGAAATTGTTTTGTTTTTATTGAGGTTATACATTTCTTGGACGTATAAGTAGATTGTTTACGCTTTACATATAGCAATATATAGTGCATTCTGATTCTGTTCTGCGTGTTAGGAATATATAATCAGGGCCCGCTAGTGATGTGCCGTTATTCCGCATCAGTGGTCTATATTGACTAACAGGATCTTGCTGTGGGCCTTTTGTATGAGCAGGCCATTATTAGTTTAAGTTTCAATCGGAGATGGTTATCTTCTTCTCCAGGAACAGGTTCTCTTTTGCTCCTGTTTAATGCATTTCTCCCTACCCTAGGGGGACTAAGTCCAAACAGGTAAGTCTGATGAAGGCTTGGCATCTTGGGCGGAGACTAAGCCATATGAGGAACATAGCATCAATAGCCTGAGGATCTGGGTTGCGGTGAGCGATCACAGGTCGGCCATAAGTGCAGAAAAATTAGATGCCTAGTACACATAGATAAAATCCTCATTCTTAAGGTCCGTGGTGTCCGAGAAGCCCTTGTCCTCCGTTGGAGCCGGTGGCGCTGGAGCAACCTCTTCTAGTTCCAGGGCCTTGCCCTCCAGATGCTTCTTGCTGAGCATCGACTCGTCCACAATATGAGCCGACTTGCCGAGTTCACGCCGTCTTGTTGCCTGTCTTCTGTTCAGGTACACCAGATAGAGGTTTGTCATTCTGTCCAGTCAGCAGCAGTTTCTAAGAGCGGATAGACACGTACATAGCAAAGCCACCGACAATAACAAACATGATCAGATTGGCAATCAATCCGGGCCGATAGAGCGGTGCCTGCGACGTGGAATAGAGTTGCGGACCAATGACCTGTGACGATTAGCATCCTCAGCAAACTGATCAGAGTAGACGTACGTTTCCCGCGCACATTCCCACCAAGACCACGGCCGAAGTGCATTTCCGCTTCGTATCGCCTGCGGTGTTCTGCGCCTCCCAGGCATATATCAAGGGCGTGATAGCCGCCAGGCACGAGACCTACCCCGTCAGCTCCGCATCGCAATAGCCAGAAGAGAACCAACCAGGTAGTATCCGAACAGCAGCACCCCCTTTTGTTCCCTCGGGACGACAAGCATGAGCAAGGTCCCGACGGCCGCGATGAGCGCAAACCCCACGATGACCAGACCCTTACGCTGGAATCGAGTGGCTAGCCATCCCCCGCCAATAATGGCAATAATCTGAATGACGCCAAAGGGGATGTTGAACAGGATGGCTTCGAAGCTGTTATACCCGAAGGACTTGATGATGAGGTTGCCAAATGTACTGATGCCCCCGCTGGGAATTCTGTAATGGTTAGCACGAGTTAACCCTGGGATGGACGACGTACGATATCGAGACGACTAGAAAAAACCAGCACCACGTTTTGAGATCGTAGAATGTCTCCCGGACGTGATCCCATCGCCATTCCCGCGAAATGATGCCCATCTGGTTGGCGCGCAGCCGCTCGACGGCAATCACTTTCTCGCGGTCGCTGAGACATTTCGCTTCCATGGGAGAGTCGGGCATGAAGATGAAAATGAGAGAGGAGTAGGCGACCGTCAGGAGACCGCAGAACATGAAGATGATCTACCCATTAGTCTCGGTCGCTCGGCTAGGGAGCAGGGTGGTACCTGGTATGAGAATAGACTGTCGCTACGGATATGGCCTAGTCCGTAGGTGAACAAGCTGCCTACGATAAAGGTCACGCCGTTCATTCCGTTCCAAAACGCCGTCCGGAGTGTCTGCTCGCCTCGCCTCCACCACATTTGCGTAACGGCCACACAGGAAGGGGCTAAACGCGTTAACATAGAACGAGAGATGGTTGAAGGACATACCGATCATGGCTTCAAACGCGCCCAGAGTAAATCGCAACCCGAGCAAACTGGGAAAGTCTTTGCAAGCCGCCATGATAGCAAGCGAGCTTCCCCAGAGAAACACCGCCGAGCCGATCAGCTTCCCCGTCGGCAATTTGACCAGCAGCAAGGCGGCAACAGGCTGCATGATCAGCTGCGCCAGGTACAAAATCGACCCCAGCCAGGAGTACTGCTTGCCGTGGAGGTTCGCATCTTCCACAATGCCGAAGATGGAAACATACGAGAGGGACGATTTGTCGAGTTGCTGGAAGAAGTATGCTCCTAACAGCAAAGGGAGGATGCGCCGGTCGATCCGTCTCAGGACGGCCTTTTCCTCCTCGGCTGTGAAGGTTCTGTCTTCGTTTACGGTGGCCAGAAACTGGGCCGCTTTCTCCTTGATGGGATCATCGCGCGTGGTTTGGATGGGGGTGATATGGTCTTCCTGTGCCATTTCTTTGTTCTTGCTTGCTCATGTTGCATTCCAGTATTCATTCCGCCTTATATTGGCGGTGCCAAGAGCTACTTAATGTTTGTATACTTCTTGGCAATCTACATTTACCCCAGACTGTGAAATTCCCCGCAGTTAAGTGTATTCTGATTCATGGAAAATCCATTCAGGCTGAACGTTATCCCCTGGTTATGTGGTGCGGGGTGATGATTTCGGGGTATCGTATCCCGAGGCTATATACATCCTTTCCCTTCTTTTTGATCACATCTTTCGAATCGATCAAACAAAGCATAAGAATTGAACCAGGCACAACAAAAGACATGAAGAAATACGCTCTTATCGGCACCGGCGGCCGCGCCATGTTCTTCTACACTGCCATTGTGCGCGACTTTCCCACCACCGCGCAACTGGTCGCCTTTTGCGATACTAACACCACCCGGATGGCATACGCCAATAGTCGGCTGGAGGCACTGGGCCACGCGCCGGTCCCAACCTACCTCGCCAGCGACTTCGACAAGATGATCACAGACACCAAACCAGACGAGATCATCGTGACGACAATCGACCGCACGCACCACCAGTACATCATCCGCGCGCTCCAGCTCGGCTGCAACGTCATCACGGAAAAGCCCATGACGATCGACGCGCCCCGCTGCCTGGCCATCATCGACGCCGTCGAGCGCACAAAGCGCCAGGTCCGAGTAACATTCAACTATCGGTACGCGCCGCACAACAGCAAGATCGCGGCGCTGCTGGCGTCCAACGCAATCGGGCAGGTCGACTCCGTCCACTTTGAGTGGATGCTCAACACGTCGCATGGCGCCGACTATTTCCGTCGCTGGCATCGCGACAAGCGGAACAGCGGCGGACTACTGGTGCACAAATCGACGCATCACTTCGACCTGGTGAATTTCTGGCTGCGGACGAGGCCGCAGAGCGTCGTTGCGATGGGGGATCTCCGCTTCTACGGGAAGGAGAATGCGGAGCGCCGCGGCGAGACGCGGTTCTATGCCCGAGCGAGAGGCAGCGAGGTGGCCGAGTCTGACCCGTTTGCGCTCGATCTGGAAGGCAATGCGCAGCTGAAGGCGCTGTATGCGGATGCCGAGCACGAGGATGGGTATTATCGGGACCAGAGCGTGTTTGGCGATGGCATCAGTATCGAGGACACGATGGGGGTGATGGTGCGGTATGAGAGTGGCGCGGTCCTGACGTATAGCCTCACGGCGTATGCACCCTGGGAAGGGTTCCGGGTGATGTTCAACGGGAGCAAGGGCCGGCTGGAGGTGGAGGTGGTGGAGCAGTCATATGTCAATTCCGGTGGGGAGCAGGCGATGGAGGGCGCGTTGGAGAGTATGACGATTCTCCTGCGGCCCATGTTCGCCAAGCCTGTTGAGATTGAAGTCCCGACGGGTCAGGGGGGGCATGGTGGGGGTGATCCTCAGCTGCTGAAGGACTTGTTTGGTGGTGAGGCTATAGAGGATCCGTTGAAACGGGCTGCGACGCATGTCGATGGCGCCTGGTCGATTGCCACGGGTATTGCTGCCAATGAGTCGATGCGCCGAGGCCAGGTTGTGCGTGTTGATGAAGTGATGAAGCTGCCAGTCATCTAGTGAATCACTATGTTACAGCTTCTATTATCTATTTAGATTGTAATGGTTGGCTGCTCGCTCGCTATACTTTCTATCACCGTACCTTTGTAGCTCTACAACTCCGACAAGCATCGATACAAGAGAGGCCACTAGGACATGAGCATAGGGGTAATTCCTGTGCTAGGTCGCGACAAACAAGGGATGATCACGTTTGTTCGGAATATTCCCAACCTGCTTGAGGGATAGTTGATCACACTCTCTCCACATTCCTGGCTGACGACAGTCAGGCAAGGGAGACGATGCAGTCAAATCTCCGACTCCTCTGCCTTTCAGCATGTTCGTCTGTTCCATGCTCAGAATCAACCAACAGTCACGACGCGTAATTTTTTCTGTCTCAAGATTCAAAAGTATTGCAGGAAGATGAGAGGAACTCTCCAGCACCGTAGGGCTTATGATCTCACATTATACCAAGTTGTGTGACTCCTGAACGACCCCAAATATAGTAAAGGTTATCTCAGGAATCCAGAGAACGAGTCTCTATTGGCAGGGACGTCAATCAAGGGAGGAGCTTAGGAAGAGCTCACCTGCTATGACGAAGGTCTGCCCGAGGCAATGATGGAATAAATGTCTGCTCCTCATGGCCTTCTTTCCTCCTCCATCTCTCAGTGACACCATGTCTCAGATCATGGAATCCAAAGAACTTTGCGTGGCGCCCTCGCCCATCGACGAGGGTCTTTTTCAACAGCAGCTGGACCTGCAAGGTCTCAAGCTCACCCCAGATGGATTCGTGCATTGGAAACCAGGCAACAAGCGACACCCCCGCAACTGGTCGAAGCTGCGAAAGGCCCACGATGTATCGGTCATTTTGTTGCTGGAGATGTTTACGTATGTTGCTCTTCTTATGTCTTGGGCGAAGCTGACAACCGCAGGACGTTGGTCAGTGCAGCAGGAGTATGTCACTCAACTGATGGTGTGAGCATCGCTGACCCGATAGTCTGCCGCGGCCAATGCCTCCCATGAGGAGTTCAACATTAGCAAGACCGTGTCGATTTTTCTCTTCGTGCCGATGTACGTGGCCCGTTCCTAACTCGAACCTAGCTGACGGTGTAGGTACCTCATTGGCCAAGGAATCGGTAGCATCGTCTTTCCTCCGTACTCGGAAGCCTTTGGACGCAAGAAACTGTATATAGTCAGTACGGCCATGTACAGCGTGTCCTGCATAATAATCGCTATTGTCCCGTCCGTCACTGGAGTGGTCGTTGGACGTCTGCTCAGCGGGTTCTTGTCAGCGATCCCCACGAACGTAGTGGCTGGAAGCATCGAAGATATGTTCAACTCAAAAGACCGGATATGGTTCTTGTCGCTATGGATGATGCTGGCCCCGTGGGGTCTGGCACTAGGACCGATCTACAGCATTTACATCATTTATGCCTTGAATTGGTATGTTCCCTGCCGCGACTCAAGGGCAGTACTGACCGTGTCCAGGAGATGGGTGTTCTACGTAGCAGCCATCGTCACCGGCTTCATCGCGTGTCTCCTGCTGGGCATCCGTGAATCTCGACCTCCCCTTCTCCTCGACCACGAAGTCCGCCATTTGTGCCAGGCGCTCGGCAAGGAAACCCCGATCGTGGTGCAAAGCCTAAACCCAGACCGGATCCCCGATCTGCGCACCTTCTTCACTATGGCGCTCTTCCGCCCCATCTACCTCTTCTTCACGGAGCCCATTGTCTTCCTGGTAGCCATTATCAGCGCTATCCCCTTCACCCTCATCTACATGTTCACCGAGGCCCTCCCCCCAATCTACCAATCCTTCGGCATGTCCCCCACGCACTCATGTCTACCCTTCCTTGGCCTCGGCCTCGGCTGCATGCTCGGCATGCTCACTCGTATCCACGACTACAAGCTCATCACCTCCCGCCACCGCCAGCGCCTCCCCCTCCGCCCCGAAGACAAGCTCCTCGGCTTTATGATCGGCGCCCCCGTCTTCGCCCTCGGCCTGTGGCTCTTCGCCTGGACCATTCCCCCCGCAGTTACAACCGTCCACTGGATGGTTCCCACCGTCGCCCTCGTGGCCATCGGCTACGCAGCAACCGAGTTCGGCTCCGTCCTGACAGTTTACCTGGCCGATAGCTACCTCAGCTACGCGGCCAGCGGGTTCGCCGCGCAGACGATCCTGCGGACGATCCTGAGCGCTGCGTTTCCGCTGTTTGCGCCGGCTATGTTTGGCTCGCTGGGGGCGAATGTCGCGGCCAGTGTGTTGGCGGCAATTGCCACGGTGTTTTGTCTTGTGCCGCCGTTGTTTGCGCGGTTTGGGGAGCGCATTCGTGCGAAGAGTCGCTTTGCGAGGTATAGTTTGGATGTGTATAATCGGATTACGGTTGATGAGGAGGGGTTTTAGCTGCTGTATCTACGGTGTAATTGGTGATCGTTGTCTATACTGAGTAGTGGTCAGTGAAATAGGGAGGTATATGGATGAATCAAATAAAAGACTGTGTGCATGAGTTTCGGACATACCAATGATCTATGGCAATTAGCGGTAGTGGTGAGTCTACCCTGCTACCTAGGCAATCCCCGTCGCCAGGCTGCTTCTGGCCACTGCACCATTACAGCCCCCGGGTCCGCCCGGGTAGCTGACGATTGATTGCCCACCAGCTTTCTCAAGCGCATCCATGCTGAAGAAAAAAGTGGTGGGTCATTCTCTCCTTGGCCCAGTAAGCCCTCTTCCTTCAATATCCGCTGTCGTTCCTCCCACGCAGGCCGGTGATACTCCACGATGCCAGAACCCGCCAACGCCATGATCACAGCTGCCCATGGACCCCATTGTCCTACCGCGTACGGCGGTTCGCTGGCAGGGATCTCCTTGCTTACATGTATAAAAACCTCGTTCAGGATGATGACGACGACGCAGGTGATTGACAACAGATCAGTCATCAACCCCGGCCGGGTGCGCTTCTGACCCCGAGCTAACTTCTTCCGCGCCATCGATCGTACCTGGCGTGCGTTGCGGCGCTGTTTCGGAAGGAGGTTCCTTTTTGCAAGAGTCTTGTTTGCTGAACGCAGTTTTTGCTCCAGCTCCTCCTTTGTATAGTAGCGAGGTGTCAGGAGAAGACGGTAGAGTGACACCACAGCCCCGAGGAATATCGAGAGGCAGATTGAGGCAGCTAATAACTTGAATCTCTGACTCGATACCGTGCCAGTCGGTAGGACACGAATGTCGCTCGGGTCTCGGAAGGCTTGTCGTGTGTTGAAGCAAGCGTATGTGCAGTTGAACGGCATCGGACCTAATTGCGCTGTGCTCGTCAGCAGTATGGGTTCTGCGGTGCTGTTCGCATCGCTTGGTATAGATGTACATATATCCTCGCTGGGATAGTCCCTCAACATTGCGACGACGGCACAGATAGTTCCGACCACCATCAGCAACCCCCAGTATTGAAATACCGGCCGAGCGGGGGATTCGCGCAGCAGTTCAGAGCCATGGAAAAATACCGTCACGACTAAGCTTCCCACGCTGACGATGGCAAAGATTCCAAGACAATCGAGGTCAAGCAGAGAATTGCGTGATATGCCGGCGAGAATGGTGGCATGGACCGCGGCCGACCCGGCGTAGGTCATCGCTGCACCTAGCGCACCAGCCACCAACCATGGCGTCTTGCGACTGACGATGGAGAAGAGAAGGAGGCCATAGTAGAGGATTCGCTGGAGAAGGGCATATTGTCCACTGATTGGGTAGACGCATTCGACCCGTCCCTCGTCGAGGGTTGCATTGTACCAGAGGAGACTACTCGCTGATGCTGCGGGGATGTTCGTCAGGAGCAATGATACCAAGAAAGCTGGTGCAAGCATGTCGGCAAGTGCTCGGTTGGCAACTGATTTTGCTAATGAACAGTGATCGACAAGTCGTGGTTATATGCTGTTGGGGAGCTGAACTCAGCCACACATTGCTTTTTCGTGATCTGTGTTTCTATTCGACGCCTTGCCTTGCTGAGTTTGCTTCTAGGGGCTGAGCCTTGCCGCATTATCCAATGACCTTGTTCGCGATATATGTACATTGGACTTACTCTGAAATAAGTATCATGCACAGCGATGATTTACCACCTGCCATTAGAATGCCGCACATCTCCGGGCAGATATGACAACGTTGAGAAAATAACGTTGTGTGAGAGAATCTTATCCCAGAACCAAACCTTGAATATAGCAGGTCAAAACTCTGGCAGGCGACCTTCCCTTTCATCGATGCTATCTGGATCGACCTCGCCAGAAGCCGACAGCAGCCTGACATCTTCACTATTGCCTTCATTCCAGCACGGGACAGGGGAGTTAAACCCCAGGTGTCTGAGGCATCCACTTCAATATTAGCTTATGTTAAACGAAGCAAACGAGCATTTTGCGATTATAGAGCTACGTATCAATACTGATACTAGGCTCCAGAAACCCGTTCTCTAGCTCTTGGCCACCCTGGATGCGACACAAGCATTCGTATAACTAGATCTAAACCAGAACTATTCCCTGACTTGCTAATCTCCGGAAGAGCCATACCAATCCCAGGTCTTTAGCCGCATGGGATGCAGATTAGCATGCTTCACTAGATGATCACCACAGGTTATATCAAGGTGAGTTCTATGATCTGGAGCTAGCTTCCCACGCTGTTAACCATATCCGTATACTATGAGCACATATGTCCACTTTCCAATCATAGGTGGTCGCCCCTTGCGCTGTCAAGACTGATATGATTGTGAAACAGAAATGCATGAGATCCTAAGCTCGAGCAGAATAACCTTTAAATTAGAATGAAAAGTTCCACAATAAAATCGGAGTTGAGTTACTTCTTTCGCCTTCGCCACTCATAGCCAACTTTACTAGTTGTCCGTCCTCGTAGACAGCAAGCGAAGTGCCAGAACCGACACGGAGGGGACAGGCAGAGTCTTTGCTTGATGCAGGTCAAGGCTCTTAGGTTCGGTCCTCTGCTGAGCCATAGGCACCTCGTGGTCTCCTGAGTTACCGAAGTCCCTGCCAGTAACTTGACTTGGGGGGGGTGGATCATAGCAGTTCTAAACGAATCAACCTTTGGACGGATATGCATATGGTGGGAGTATACCAATTTAGATCCAACAAATGCCCGGAATCCCGAAGCATCAGCGGTAAAGACATACACTCGACCAGTGTCCTTATGCGTATGCCCAAACAGACATCCGCGCCGCACATTTTGCTATATTCGAAAGACTTTTTCATCAGACTGGTTTTGCGACGGCCTCACTTTGGCGAACTGATTTTCCCGCGCTGCCATTGGGAATTATATCTAGGTTAACCTTGCTCGGGGAGAACTAGCTGGCGGTTCCGACCGCCCAATGTCATGTTTGATACAATCCCGTCTCTGGTTGCTCTATATGCCATTCGGTGAACCAGGAAAAAGTTCAATCACGACTACTCGAAGAGAATCGGAGCCTAATAATACTATAGAGCTTCGCAATCATGATGGCGGGTATAACGAAACTAACAAAACCTGGGACTAAATATGCCCAATGCACTCAGGCCAACCGCGACCTACCGCGTGCCATACGCGACCAGGACCGAGATTAACTCTATTGCACAGGTTTGATCGGATCGAGAATCTGGTAAATAGAGCGAATGATGTAGGCATCCGAGTACAAATCTTGGCTCAATCTATTTACACTAAAATTGAGACAGGAATTCAAGCTTTGCAAATTAGATATTAGATGGTTGGGAAACCCTACAGAGACCGCGACTCCTTCAGATAGTTCAGTGTGTGCTAGTTCATCTTCCAGACCGCTTAATTGCATCTTGTACTAAGTGCCGAGGGCGCAGCGGCACTACCTCCCCCGCCAAGGCTACCCTTCCACAGCCACCGCATTACCCACTCCTTCTGCCTACTTCACGAAACTTTTGTGTGAGACAACATCGCCAGTGGCAGGGCTGGAAGCACCAAATGCAGTCATATGAATATCAACACCAGTCTGCTACCTACCCTGGAACCCCGAGTATAGGCCTAATCCTTCGGTCGTCGAATCCTTGCAGAGTTTTATCTCTAACTACATGGCGCTCTCCGAACACGCAGCGTCGCTACTAGCCACTTTTTCTCTCCTCACCGCGACGATCAGTTACCTCATCAGTCCCAATCGACAAAAATCATTCTTTCAAGGTGTCAAGTCGAACATCTGGTTTTTCTCTCCGTTCCTGTCCGGTGCAATCGCCACGAATGTAGCCATCCTGTTAATCGGCTACAGAATCTTGAACCTCGCCAAAACACATGTCGGCCTAGCGCTCCTCGTACAGAATGGTTTTCCACCTGACCTCGGATATGGGTTCTGGTCATGTTTCGCAAGGCGTGCCTTTCTCGTCGGGGCAACACTCCCCCTGTACATGATGCTGCTGGCGTCAGCGAATGATCGATTGATCCAAGGGATTACGACGACATTAATCGCGCAGACCGTGCTGGCTGAGCTTTCGACGTTCCACTGTGTGACTTCGTATGAAGTCCGTGGAGGCTGGCCTCACCGTGTACTGGTGGAAGGATCCGTCTTTTCTGCCGATCATGTTGAGAACGAGGCCAAAGCGAGTAGATCTGAGAAAAGAAACGAGCATAGAAACATTACACCGACCCCTGCTCTAACAGATAATCTCTGCGATCGCATACGCCAGCTCTCGCCATTAGCAGCCGGGTCTGATATCACATCTGCCTCACATTTCTTTCTTCTGGAGCAAACTCCCGAATTGACAAAGATTTTTGATCCAAGCGTTCCGGCACAGTGGATGTGTGGACACTGGCGTTGTTTACTTTATGTGATCTTGCACATAGCTGTGCGAGCAATCTGGCGGTCTTTGTCATTGATTGAGCTAGTGTCGACCACCTGGCTTTTACACTGTGAACTGGAGCCAGTAACGCTCCAACTTGCCGGCAAGCTGTTAGAAGGCAATATCATCAATGGTGTGCTCTCCACGCTATACGACTTGTGTACTGCTTTGTTCATATTCATATTCGCCTACATTGGCTCCACACTACTAGTCATCCACCTTTTTTTTCACACGCCTCTGATCACCGATCTGCCCAACCGAATCCACATCCTACAGCGGATGCAGCAGAAATTCCAAGACCTTGCCGAAGCCGCTCCAATCATCCACCAGGTCTTGAAAGCCTTATTGATACACTCAATACCTGTAATTTCGAGTTATTATGGTTCTCTAGCCCTGGTCACACGGGCCATAGCGTTGACACAGGAAAAGCTCTCGTGCATCATTGAGATCATAGTGATTCCAACCCTTTACATTACGGTATACTGCCTTGCGGTTGGATCGAACCAGGCTCTCTCGGAGCCAAATGTAGCCCCCGACAGCAACTGCCAGGGCACCCAAGACCCAGATACCACTGTCTCGAGCTCGCCACACTCCGGTGAAAAGGAAGAAATGCCCTGGGCCGAATCCAAATTCTATCAAACCCCGAAGGAACTTTGTTCGGCGATATTCCGATTAGCTATTGTCGTCCCTACCTTGACTGTCTGGATTTTCCTTTACCGTTAGATTGCAGTGTCGATGCCCTGGATGTAAGGCGATGAGCGCCAAACTAGCTATCACAAGAATTACTGTTGACACTATCTTGATACCATGCAGACTCGCAGTTAGTACCCTGGCTATCCTATTTACGGGGTTTAGACCTCCTAGTAACAATATGCAGACGCGTTGTGGAACTTGAAGAACAGATTGATGTGTAGGACCAGTTGCTGCGGCGGTTATGATTCAAGGTAGATGTTCACGACCGAGAGGTGATCGATAGTGTTCTCAATCGGGTAGGCATATCCCTGCAATCATCGTATGCAATAATGCCCTGGCTAATACCATCCATAGTTCAACCTTGCAATGAGCGGGTGGGCATCATATTTCTCGCTGTCTCTAATGATGAATAATTGCTAACAGGTTAGCAATGATCTTCACAGCCCCTGATCTGCCTGTCAAATGACATTTGTGATTGTGCACTGTGCTAATTGAGAATGACCATCCGCTTCCGCGGTCGACGAAGTAGCCGATGAAGATCGTCTTCTGACTATAAATGCAGCGAGGTCATGGTCAACTTGGATAAAGCCCGTGAGCAAAAACCAAGCAATGACAGTGATAGAACTAGAGTCTCCTCGCCCCATGGGAACCGCAAGCGAGGTCGAAGAGTCAATCTCGAACACGAAGCATGCAAACAGTCCTTATGAAAAGCCCGTAGTATCCCATACCTCAACATTGTCGTTGCGGCTGGGAAAAGGCCAATCCAAATTCGCGCCTCAGGGATTGACAGTTGACGAGTATGTCGCGCGACGCGATGAGCGGGATTTCCCTCAAGACGAATGTATGCTCCAACAATGCCTCGATAGAAAAACCCTGATAATGTATGAGAAAGCAGGGTTCTTATTTCAGCAAGCCCAATATCGACCTGTTAGCTAGCAGCTGGCTTGATGCAGCTCCACAGTCCCAGTAGTGACCTTGTGCTGGATTGAGCCTCGCATTTGCTCTTGGAGAGGATAGAAATTATTCGATCAGAATGCAAAGAATACTTGGCTTTTACCTTAGTCCACCGAACCTGTTGTTAGCGGAGCGGGATCAGGAACGTTGGGACGATTCGTCCACACCAAAGATGTAGGTGGTCAGAGTCAAGTATCGATCAGCCTAGATTATCATCCACGCATGGATAGCTGCTAAGAATACTTAGTACTGACTTTCCTGCCAATGATAACTCAACTGCTGCACAAGACATGCACAGCTAGAGTCGGTGAGGCACATCCACAAGACTAGACACTTTCAGAGAACGCGCCTATGGTACTTTTCTGGCCGAGCACCAAACAACTGATTGTCGGGAATTCTTCGAAATCTTTATAAATTTCTTGCTAACTGTTTCAAATAAACTGCTGGAGTGGGATATATGGTAGAATGAATATTACCCAAATTGCAACAGATCAGTGGGATACGGACAGAGGCAAGCACGAAGAGGTGGGTTTTCACCGCATACTGAGACACCACGACGCAAGGAGGCAGAGAAGTTCCTCACCTTCCACTCGGTAACCCTTTTACTTAATAGCCTCTGATTCCCCGGCTCTCCCAAAGGCCACGGAACTTTTATCCATATATCTATTGCAAAGCTGCCGTTGCGTCTACGCCGCTAGCTATCAGAAGTATCTGTTAATTCAGACTCGGAGGCGTGGTGTCCTTAAAGCTCCATCAATCTATCCTAAACGTGCTATCTGCGCCTCAGCAGTCAATCTTAGAATACCACCAGCACAATGACAGTGCCAGTCCCCGACTTCCACGTTATCATCATCGGAGCCGGTACGTTCCCTCGTCCAGTACCCATATGATACTAAATGCACGACCAGGTGCAACCGGCCTCCTCATCGCACAGGGTCTAAAAGAGGTACTCCTCCCCATTTCCAATCCCAGACTCAGCTGACAAGGCAGGCCGGCATCGCATATACAATCTACGAACAGCACGATGAGGAGACCTACGCTCGGCGCGCAGGACAATGGACCATGGCTCTGCACTCGGCCCGGCCGTATCTCGAGTCAATCCTGCCTCCTGTGCTCCGTGCAAAACTGAACTCCGTAACGACGAATCCCTGGTCCGAGCCAGACCCTGCTATTGCGGCTGCTATTCCGTTTGTGAATGGCGCCACTGGCGAGCTGATGGCGAAGATTCCAATGCCGAGTCCGAAGCGCCTTATCCGGGGGAAGCTGCGTGAACTCTTAAGGACGGGTGTGGAGGTTAGATTCGGGATGAGGTTGACCGACGTCCGGGTGGAGGATGATGGGGTCGCTGCTGTTTTCGATGGGGAAGTGGTTAGGGGGAGTGTGCTTGTTGGAGCGGATGGACGTAGGTTTTCTTCCTTTCTGTCGGTTGATGCTGACGGTTTCAAGCGCGAAGTGTGGTGCGAGGGCGACTCGTCGATGCCAAGGCTGCGGCATTGCAAAAGCCGAACATCATGGTTTTTGTTAGTGGCTTTGCTTGTATCCCCTGTAGGATCTTGCTGATGGATAGAGTAGAATGCCTTCCCGACGTTCCCTAGAGAGCAAGCCCTCTTCATCCATGCGAAATCCCACCCAATTGTGCAGCTTGCTCCCCATCCGCACCAGCAGACAAGTCTCTTCTCCAACGGTATGTGCTCATTCCCTGCCAACGACGAAACTGACGAGTTAGTGGCCAACGTGGTCGACCCTGCTCGGCCGGAAACATGGGTATTTCACTATTGCCTCTCGATCTGGACGGCCGAGGACGCCCCAGAAAATGTGGAGGCGCGCCGCGCACTGTTCAAACACTACATGAGCCGATACTGCGAGCCGTACAAGTCGGCCGGTGAATGGTTGAGTCAGGATACACCAATATTAGCCGAGAAGGTACGTCTTGAACGATTTCGTTGGCGGGCGCTAATGAGCAGTTCAGTTTCACTACTGGAAAAATATAACGCGGTGGAATAATTTCGGCGGAAAAGTCACCTTGGCAGGTGATGCGGCGCATCCGATGCTCCCTTGTATGTCTTTCCTACGGGTTGCTGTTGAGGTTTGCTGACAATGGCAGTCACCGCGCAGGGGCTGAACACCGCCTTTGAAGACGTGAAGCGCTTCCTTGACGCCATCGTCAAGGTTGTACACCACGGCGCGGATATCCAGACGGAGATGGACGGCTACGATGAGTCGGCGTATACGCGTGGCAAGCGGGATATAGACTTGTCGGCGAAGCAGATGTACGCGTATCATCACTGGGAGGAGATAATGACTAGTCCGTTGATGAAGGGGGGATACGGTACCTCAAGCAATAGTTCCGCCACCAATTAAGAATACATACTATTAGAGATTAAGACCAAGGCTTGGCCACAATCATACTCCTGGGCACATGCGTCGACTCATCATGCAAACGGCCATCCTGTGACCGATCATCCTGGGACCGGTCGTCTCCATGTTCTGACCTCCCCTCCCGACTCAATCTGACCGGCTCCTCCAACTGCGTAAGCTGAAACTCACTCTCGACATCATTCATCCGGTTGAAGACTTTGTTCTTGCTCCCTGAGCCCCCAGACGCCGGCTGCGTCGAGTATCCGGTCTGGCGGCTGGCAAACAGTGTAGGAAACGCAGCCTTAAAGACGGGCCGCAGCATTGGCACGCACGCATTCAAGTTCGCCAGGGCCGGTTCAGTGACGCTCCAAAAGGCAGCCCAGATCATCGAATAAGGGAGATCGAGGAATTCGACGGTCGTGAGGACGCGGATGCGGATGATGGTTATAGCGGAGATACTAGCTTCTATTAGCCACGATATGTGTGATTGAAACCAAAAAAAGGAACATACAAAAGGCCCATTCCGAAGATACCGTAGAGCGCGAGCTTGGTCGCAGTGTTCATCTGCAACTTATAGATAAAATGCAGCGGGAGCACCATGATCATGACGTCCGTCATGAGATTAAAGGCGCCGATGGTCGAGAAGGCCACGTTCTGGCTTGCGCAGTGGCCGGGTAACATCAGGTTCCAGTTCTTCTCGAAGGGCTTGCAGATCAGGAAGATTTGAAGCATGCTGCCGGCCCAGTAGGCACAGGCACAGCCCATGCACATTCAGGCCGCGATGCGGAAACCCTTGGTCACGAAGATGCGCAGGTAGAAGAAGAGGTAGCTCAGTTTGGCGAGGACCATTGCGTTGTAGTAGACGACTTGGTAGACGATCAGCATCTTGAGGATGGCCACCATGTTTTCCCCCGGGATTTCTGTGACGTGGCGGCGCATCCCGACGCGAGCGTAGTGGTAGTGCATTGCCAGCATGCCGTATGTGTGCAGCATGGAGCCTACACAGCAGCCATCGTCCCACCAGATGTTACTCTGCCGGATATGTCGCGAGACGAACCGAAGAACTAGAGCGACGGTAGCAAAGGCGACCAGCACCGTATTGGCGATGAGCTGATCCCGCACGATGGGAAAGGCAAAGGCATCGTACAGATGCACCATTTTATCTCACCGGCGCCGGCGAGGTGGACAAATGCAGAGTCCTCGACTGAATCCGTTATAAGGGGCCCTGAGACCCTGAATTCTGAGAAGACAATTATCACAAGCTTCTGACGTACTAGACTAGCGCCAAACACGAAACATCATTTCCGTCTTGCTCCACGAATGGGGCCAAATTCCTGTTCCGGTAAATGGACAGCCATTGCCCTGCTTTGTGCAGCCACCGAGTCCTTGAGACTAATCTTCGTCCACGCTTAGCAAAGGACCGGCTGGACTCCTGCCGATCAGGACGGGCGAAGTCTCAGTCTACTACTTTAGTCTAACGGCGGCGCGCTCAGGATGGGCCGGCGCGGAGTAGTGGGGATTCGGGTGGAAAGCCATTGGAAGAGATACGAATGGGGCGCGCATTAGCTTTCTGAGATGGAGAGGGGTAGACTAAATAACCTTGAAGCCCGTATTTGACAGGTTATTTTGGCCCCATCGTACGTCGGGATTTGATGCGCGTCGATCCACTCCGGGTTGCCTGACAGTCTAACCCCTCAACCTGTCCAGAGAACACAATTCGCAACCGCTGCAGCAGCCTCGGACTGAACAACACAATGGACGAATACGACTACATCATCGTCGGCGCAGGCATCGGCGGGCTTGTTCTGGCCAACCGCCTGAGTGCAGATGCCTCCATCAACGTCCTTCTCATCGAAGCCGGGGCCAACCGCATGGGCGATCCCCGTATCGACACCCCTGGCTTTTTGGGCATGTTATATGGAAACCCAGACTTTGACTGGGATTATACGAGTGTCCCTCAGGTATAACGTCCATGGCAATGCTTCGTTCATGTCAATAATGCTGATCGTATAGCCCCATGTCAACAACCGACAAATCGCGCAGCCCCGCGGCCGTGTCGTCGGTGGTTCCTCGGCCATGAACTTCTCGGTCGTCATGTACCCTCCCGCATCGGACTTTGAGGCATGGAAGGCACTGGGAAACAAAGGCTGGGGCGCAGAGGATATGGCGCCGTACCTGCGGAAATTCCACACGTTCTCCCCGCCCAGCAAGACCACGGCCGAACTCCTCAATGTCGATCGCTACATGAATACCGGTGACCAGGGGTGTGATGGTCCCGTGCCTGTTTCCCTGCCGGATGTATATGGACCATTTAACAAGGCGTGGGACGAGACATTTGCTCAGCTCGGTTGGCGGACGGACGCGGACCCCATCGCAGGACGCAAGCTGGGAGCGTTCACTGCGCCGCTGACCGTTGACGCAAAGACAGGGAAGCGGGGGTATGCAGCGGCATACTACTCCCCTGAGGTGGCCGCACGGCCGAACCTGTGCCTGCTGGCAGAGACCATGGTCGAGCGGGTGCTCTTGACCCAGCAGGACGGAGACGTCGTCGCCACCGGCGTGCAGGTCAAGAATAAAGACGGCAGGAGAGAAATCCTGGCAAAGAAAGAAGTCATCCTCTGCGCCGGCACCTTGAACACCCCTCAGGTCCTCGAGCTCTCCGGCATTGGAAACGCAGAACTCCTACAAAAGCACGGCATCCCCGTGGTAATTGACAACACAGGGGTCGGCGAGAACCTCCAAGACCACTGCATCAGCAGCATCAGCTTCGAGATCACCGACGGCCAGGTCTCAGGCGACATTCTCCGCAATCCAGATGTGGTGCAGGCTCTCATCAAGCTCTACGAGGAGACCCGCGGCGGCCCGCTGGTAGGCATGCCCATCAGCGTGGCCTACCTGCCCTTCGTCGACGGCCGGGGCGTCGTCCCCAGACAAGAAGTCGAGGACCTCCTCGCGAGCCACCTCGACAGCGCCAACCTTCCACTCAATGTACAAGCGCAATATGCGCACCTGCGGAAAAGGCTCCTGGACAACGACACCGCCTCCTCGCAGTACCTCTTTCTTCCCGCGCAGCTGCACATGAAACCCGGCGCGACGAGCATGGCCGACGTCCTGGCTAAGCCCCTGCCGGAGAACTACATCAGCATCATGATCCTGCACAACCATCCTTTCTCCCGGGGATCGGTGCATATCTCGTCTTCCGAGGCCGAGGACAAACCGATCTACGATCCAAAGTTTCTGTCTCACCCGCTGGATTTGGAGATCTTGGCTCGGCACACGCAATTCCTCGACAGGATTGTCGCCACGGAGCCGTTCACGTCCCTGCTTAAGGAACGGCGGATACCGGAGAACGCCATTGACTTGACCGATCTGGACCGAGCGAAGGAGGTGGTCAAGGAACGGCTGTTTACGTGCTTCCACCCTGCGGGGACGTGTGCCATGTTACCACGGGATATGGGGGGTGTGGTTGATGATCAGCTCAAGGTGTATGGCACTCGCAATCTGAGGGTCGTCGATGCGAGTGTCTTTCCTCTGGAGCCGGCTGGGAATATCCAGGCGACGGTTTATGCGGTTGCGGAGCGGGCGGCTGATTTGATCATTAGGAGTACTTAGTATTACTAGCAGGTTATTAAACTGCGTATATTTTATTTTTGGGGTCTTAGCTGTTTTGAATAAACTACTAGTCAAGCTGCCATCCAATCCTCTAAGGAGTATTCTTAGTATAAAATAATACAGGCTTAATATTGGGATAGGTGTTAGTATTTAGAAGTTAACTAAGTCATAGTAGAGCCCCTGCCGCATAAGAGGGGTCCTTATCTAACTTTAATGCAGGGGTGAAAGAGGACACTTGGGCACCTATGCATAGAAAATGGAGGGCAAAAAAATAAATCAAACATGATATCTCCTAGCTACCAAAAATGGGTTATCAATGGCCTAGAAAGCAATTATGGCGCGCTTAAAATGTCCCGAGTCACAAGGGCCGGCTTGTCCCGCAATATTTACTATAGAGAAACGTAGTCGTGGAGAGATTTCTTTTCTAGTATGATATAGACTAACGATCCAAGTAACCATCAATTATTACAGAGTAGGATACGTGAACCACATAGAATAAAGTGGTCTCGCAGAGGCATCGCGCTCAGCCATAACTGGTTCAACGTTGATGCCTAAGCCCCAAACTGCCTCCTCATAGTTAAGCCCTCTTGCGCCAGAATGACATTGCCCACTCTCATAGAGCCTCTTTAGTTTCCACTCCCATGTTTTCCTCTAGGATGTCAGCATTTAGTGTGGCTGCTATTGACCTTCCATCTAATCACTAGGCGCGCACGGCCTTGATGCTGTGGGAGCGGGTTCCGTAGTCTGGATAACCGAAGGTACAGATGTAAAGCACTGGCAGACTAGTAATATTAGCCCTGTAGGCGGGCGTATCTTGTGCATCGTCTCTGACTATCTATGCAAGGCTAGATTATGTACCATAGGAGCTTTTGCTGGGCTACGCGACGAAAGCACAGCTTGAAGTGTGTTTGGCCATAATTGGTCCACGTCCTCAGCATGATGATTTGCGGAGCAGTGATGCGCGACCTTTTTCGAGGGGCAAACCGGCCTCATACGTAAGCATCGGCAATTATCGATATATTTGTACCTTTCAGATACCCTGAAAGAAAGACGCAAGCTACTACACACTTTCATATCATATTCATCAGTAGAGGCGCAAGAAACGCGTAGTTATCTTCTCACATCCTACAATGGCTTCACCTACCAATTACCACACAGATACTACTGCGGTGATTGCAGAGACTGGAGAGCTTAGAGCCCGAGAATATCAATTGGAAATGCTGAACGAGAGTTTGAAACAAAATGTTATTATTGTGGTATGGTCACCCACGTTGGAGAAAAGTAGATATTGACACATAGAAAGATGCCAACAGGTACCGGAAAAACACAAATGTGAAAGACGGATTTTACTACAATCTTACCCCTATTGCTGATAGGAGGAACAGCGCTATACTACGAATTCTTGCGGATATAAACAAAGGAATCTCAGATAAGGCAGAAAAGGTCACCAACTTTAGAGGTGTCATAGCTAACAAACGCTAGCTTGCATGGCTACTTTGTCCAACAGTTGCTTTATGCGAGCAGCATACGCATACAATACATAGTCGTGTTCCTTCTATGTGGTGCAAAGGCTTCACTAGCAGAGATGGGGTGGATCACTGGGGTGAAAAGGCAATATGGGATAGTGCTCTGTCGGGAGTCAAAATTGCAGTTTCAACCTACCAGGTTTTGTATGACGCACTGTCCCATGGATTTGTCAAGATGGGCCAACTGTCTTTACTCATATTCGATGAAGGCAAGTCTTAGGAGAAAAACCGATTCAAGTATTGAACAAGAACTAACATCACAGTTAGCCCATCACTGTACAAAGGACCACGTTGCGAATAAGATAATGCAGGTCTTCTATCACAAACAACACCAACAGGACGTGTATAATCTACCGAAGATACTGGGTCTCACTGCTTCTCCTATCCTATCCGACTTGTCTGCTGTGCAGTATGTATTAGCTGTCTTCCAATGCATCAAAGTCATGTATGCTGATTTATCATTCTCAAGAAACGTGGAAAGAAACCTGGGCAGTATATGCAAGACCCCTCGCCAATACTATGCGCAGCTCCTGCAGTTCACCAACCGTCCACTCATTTTGCCGCGCCTACCTTCCCATACATTTCCCAAGAGTACGACCAAGCCACCAATACTGGAAAAGTTATGTGGCATGTTGTTCTCTGAAAATGGAGTGCCAAGTTCGCTGAAAATGAAGAGCAAGGAATCAAAACAAATTGAACGCTTCATACGATGTTCAGATGTGGTTAACCAGGAGCTTGGGAATTGGGCCGCCGCAGTGTACATGCAAAAATCGATCATGCATTTCAAAGAAGGCATGCGAATGAGCGCTGAGAAGACCAACGTTTCCAATCGCGGGAAAGACTACGCAATGGAAACGCTTAATAAATTGGGCGAATTGCAGGATTGTATCCCGGCGATGCAACCAGAAGACATCTCACCCATGTGTCGGTGTCTATTGGATGAACTTTCAGAAGCATACGGCAAAGGATTTTGTGGCCTGGTATTTGTCACTCAGCGAGCGACTGTACTTGCATTGAGATGGCTGATAGAAAACCATCCACGTACCAGCCACCTGTTCCGCTGTGGTACATTCATTGGTATGTCAACGATACAGCACAGCAAAACAGAGCTTGGAGATCTACATGACATCCGAAATCAGATGGAAACGCTAGAGAAATTCCGCCAAGGCTCTGTAAACCTAATCATAACCACCGATGCTCTGGAAGAAGGCATTGATATACCAGCATGTAATGTAGTGCTGAACTTCAACTGTCCTCTAAACCTGAAGTCCTTCATTCAGCGCCGAGGACGGGCACGAACGGAGAGTGCTCGGTTTATTATCATCATGGAAGACGAAAGCGGCATAAGAGACCTGAAACGACTCGAGATGGAAGAAACTGAGCTAGTTCAAAAGTTCCAGGATGCTGGGCGAAGGCAAATACCAGCCATTGAGATGGACCGTGATAAGTACACGCGAAGTTCTCTCTCTCTTCATATTGACAGTACCGGGTAGGTAGAGTTGCCCTATATTCTCATTATCAAAGATCCTGACTTTGTTAGGGCTCAATTGACAATGCGGGAAGCGGTCAGCCATTTGTATAACTTTTGCTCAAAGTTGCCCGCTCAGCCGTATGTCAGCAACAAGCCCCTGTTCACTTATGAGCCCAATGATGGCGGCCGAGTCAAGGCAGTGGTCAGATTGCCTAGTAATCTCGACCATTCCCTTCAGACATTTGCTAGTTCAAGAAGTTGGTCAAGAGCAAAGTACGCAAGGGAGGACGCAGCATTGAAAGCATATGAAGCTCTTTTCCGAGCTGGTCTTGTCAATGATCACCTACTTCCGACTCAGGTCTCTGACCTTTTGGACAGAAATATTTTGCCTCGGTCTCACTACAGAATTCAAAAGCAGCTGAATCCTTGGCACGACGTTGCTCATCTATGGAACCTCGACAGTCAGCTGTATTCTCATAAGCTGCGTATAATAAGGCCAGAAGAGGATGAAATCAATCTACATATGATCCTTCCCACTCGGCTTGACACAACAATTCGCACTCCCTTGTTCATTGATGATTGCACGACCTATACGGCCATTCTCACGCCAGGGCATCCAATCACTACAGATGTTCCACTTTGCCAGCAAGTGACAAACCTGATCTTCCAGTCGGTATACCGAGACCGCTATTCTCGCGAAAATATGGACTACGTGTTTCTTCTTGCCCCAGATCCTGAAGAGAAGACAATAATAGACTTTCTCAAGACGTATTCGGGGACAGACAGCTTGGCCAAACTACTGGTAAAACATGCTACGCCGAGTGCTCTTGGACTGCTACGCAATACTACTAAACCCTGTCGACCATTTGTGATAGAGTCGTGGGTAGAAGGAGAGTGCTTCGTATCTGATGACCCACAGCCAACTTTGTCAGTCGAAGCCAAAATCAAGCATGTGACCAGACGTCGAAACTTCCTCCATAAAGGAAATATGGCTGCTGGGAGATCAAAGAAAGGCGAACCCAAAATTTGTCTTGAAGCCAATGTCAAGGTCATGTCTGTGCAAGATTTCTCGGTTGACAAGCTCCCTTCTATGTTTGCCCAGGCCGCCCTTCTTACACCAAGCATATCTCATGAGGTGGAAGTATATCTGACAGCACAAAAATTACGACACCGATTATTTCAAGGTTCGGCGGCGCCGACCTTTCAACGGATTGATCTACTCGCCATTGCTATCAGGCCTACAAATATTGAGCATCAGGCCACGTTCCGCTCATTGGCGTTCATTGGTGATGCAATCATCAAGTATCTTTTAGCAATGCAATTGTTTTTGCACCATCATTTGTGGCATGAAGGCCTTTTGTCATTGCTAAAGCAGAGGATTCTGTCTGACGCAGGCCTTGCACATGCTGTATATCAATCTGGACTTGGAGAATTTCTCATAACCAATCAGCTCAACGGGAAACGATGGATGCCGTCATTCGTGTCAGGGGTAGAACCCGTCAGCAATGAAGCCGAGCGGCGACATATCGGTGCGGCTACACTGGCGGATATGACCAAAGCACTTGTTGGGGCTGCTTTCCTAGATGGCGGAATGGACCAGGCTGCTACATGCATATCAGTGATGGTCCCCAAAGTCAAGTCCTGGAATACGTCATCTTTGCATGATGGTACTTACTCAGCGACGAGACCGGCCAATGCAGTCGCTCCAGCAGCCATGATCGACATGGAGCAACTTCTTGGATACAGTTTTACCGACAAAACCCTGGCTCTGGAAAGCATGACGCATCCTTCTAGCACCGGCCTCTCTGAAACAACATCATATCGGCGGCTCTCATTTCTCGGAGCCAGCGTGCTAGAGTGGGTAGTTGTGAGCTACCTGCATCGACGGGATAAACTGATGAATCCAAAAAGGATGCAGTCCTTGAAATCGGCGTTCACCAACAACAAATTTCTGACCTTCGTAGCAATCACATTCCATCAAGCAAGAGAGCAAAATCATGTTTATGTTGATGATGAAAACAAGGCTCATGTAACCGTGAGAACATGCTCGGTCAGGCTCTGGGATTTTTTGCGCTCGCATAGCGATGCATTGTCCACCAAATTATCAGACTTTGTGCAAGAGTCGTCCGAGCAGGTGAATGCTATCAAGCATGAACTATACCAGCAGCGGTTATACCCATGGGTGCGGCTGAGCGCGCTTGGAGACATGCAAGTGTTGTCTGATATCATTCAGAGCATTTTTGGGGCTGTCTATATTGATTCCCAAGCAACCCTAGCGTCCTGTGAGGCCCTGGCAGAAAAACTCGGAATCTTGCCGCTTTTGGAGCATTTCATCTCCCATGACATTACGACAGACCACCCAAAAGACACTCTACAGGCCATTCTTCCTGGACGCAAAATCTCTTATCGAATCTGCGTTGACAAAGTAAATTCCAGGACACTGCGTTGTTGTGTTCTGGCTAACTGCTCTGAAATTATCTCGGTAGAGGGCCAAATGAATCGTGTCGCAATCACAACGCAGGCAGCTGAAACGGCTGTTCGTTTCCTGCGCAAGGGGTTGGCTACCTCCGAGACATCGTAGATTTGATTATAACGACACTATCGGACCACTTAGCCCGCTTGGTTAGAAATAAGCTCTGTTTTGATTACTTTCCTATTCATGTTTTCCTGGTAAACTCTGAGGGCAGGCGCTACGACCACACTAGAAGATCTCCATGGTGTTAAGTACAGTGACGGTGTATCATAGGCCCCCAGAATACCCAACAAACACTCTAAGAAAATTTCTAATGGTTCTTTGTGAGTCCTCTTACGAGGTATCATGGGGTTCGAACCAGGTACCACGTGAGGTATATATTTCGGAAGGGCTGTAAGAATAATCAAGATTCTACGCCGCAGGCTTCCTAATTCAGGAGGTACATATGGGATTAAGTGTCCATTATTGCCGTGCTAGATTCGCTATATGACCCTCTGTCATCTCTTCCATGCCTTCCTGCTGGCCGTGGTTCCCCGACGCCACGCATCTCGTCCCCCAGGGTGCTATCCCCTGTGTGGAAGACCCTCATATTAATGTGGGTGTAGTTTCACGTGTTCGAGAACCTTTTTGTTTGTCTGAATCTATATGCCTTGCTTCCTATCTTACCCAGTAATCATCTGAAACTGACAGAGTTGCTATGTGGCTACTTATATAATGCCGCCAGACATATACGTAGTATTATAGTCATAAGAGTGCCCAAAACTAGATCTTCTATAGCTCTACGGATATCTTTGATGCTTATATGGAGGGAACAAATCGCATGTAAGAGGCTTTTTACGACATCGTGCGATGCTTGCAATCATACAGAAGCGCGATCTCATGGCTGCTGTATCTTTCCTGGATACTTTCCATACAGATATGTATTTAATGCCTTCACCATCAACATGGCTGGAGCCCAAGGATTTGGCAAACGCCTTTTGCTGCAATGTGTTTCGCCAGCTTCTTGGTCTTGCCCTCACCCGAAGCTTGTGCTCCCATGCAAGAAATGGTGATTCGAAACTTGGGTGGAAAATTGCTGAGGCAAGTTTCTCTGATATCGGGCGTCACACCGTGATTCGATGCTTTCTCCCATAAAAGAGACGTATATTTCCAGAGTTCAGGGTCATTGTTTGGGTTAGAACATTGGGTAGGCGCGAGACTGATGTAACGCCCTGCCTTTTCCTCCAACACTGAGCGATGATAGGCAGTTGTAGATGTCCCTGTATCGGCTGAGCAAGTTGGAATTTGTAGTTGGAGTTTTGTCAACAAAGGAATAAAGTCTTCCCTGTCGTTGGCCAATCTGACGAATCCGAGAATCTTGTAAATGTAGTCTTCAACGCTCTCATCATTTATTATATCCGTGCGGGGTAAATTTAGATTCAAGCCCTTTATGGCTGCCAGTGCTGCCTCGAAATTAAAGGCCTTCGAATCAATGAAGCGGTCTGCTTCAATCTAGAGCAGCGTCAGCCATCCATGATTCAGACTTGCAATGAGAAGAGCGAAGGATGCAGACATACCAATGATTCATCTGTTCTGCCCTCAGGCGAGGATTGAACCATCATTAATGCCATATAAACGTTGAAGAGCCGCTTGCCAATCTCATAGTCTAAAGTACATATCAGTAACTATTTATTCACAGTTACTTGACTATACCTACCAGTATTGGAGTAGCAGTCCGGTTGCTCAAGCCTGGGAGACATCTTAGCAGTAATAAAGAATATGTATAAGTTCAAGCAATCTTCTTTTGGCAAAGGCATATAATGCTTGCTTTCAAAATGAATTTTGCTTTAATGCTTGCGCAGAATGCTGGCTGAGTATTTATATAGATGCTGTTCCGATCCTATGTGATACCCGGCCAAACATCCATGCAGTCATTCCTATCTGATGTATGCATGTAGAGAGGGCTAGTACCTATCATTCTCGTTTCGTAGGTTGGGTGTGTTGATTCATTTTCCATGACAGTCATGGACACGTCGCAGCTTCGGCTATGGCCTACGAAGTGGGAGTGGGTTGCAAGGGCGCCCAACCTTCATAATCAGGCTGGAGAAGTTACTCTATTAGTTATGGCTTTTGGTAAATCCATATGTCAAGTTCCCTGGGGGTACAAACAAACACAAACAATCATGCCGTATGGGCACATGAAAAGCGGAAGTAGACGCGGCCATAATGCAGACGTTCCGCGCCATAATGCAGTCGTCTACAGCATGCATATCTTTAGTGCTGAGCTCTACTGGTTGGTTAAACTGCGAGCAAGGCTATCTTGGCCGCGGTTCTAGCCAATAGAAAGGGGCACAAGCTCTATTGGCTTGCACTCGCGTCGCAGCGCTCAGACCTCTCTCGTTGCCAGCTGGCCGTGAGGTCCCAGCCTCATTTGGTACAACCGAGCCTTCCTTCCCTTGACAGACCTCTTCGGAGACGAGGGAGCCCGCCGGTTGTGTGTTGACAGCGTATGTCACGCTCACGATCACGGTCAATGGGGCGGCTAAGATATCGGTTCGTGTGTATGAAGATGTCGTGTTTGTAGTCCTTCGCCGTCGCAGTGTTGGGGTACCATCGATTTTACGCTCCGTCGATGATTTTGGTCGATCGAACATCGCTGCCGTCTTTGGTTTCATTCTGCGGCGGCTTGAATCCATCCAGTTTAGCCTTTCGGGCGTAGTGGTGGGTAGCGGCAGATGCCAGACATCTCATCTGCCTCGAGCGTCCTCTCCTGGGACGCCATTTTTAGTGAGGCGATCGCCAGCCGGCCCGACTGGCAAAAGTATATACGAACAAATCATATCGTCAATCGAGCCTGTGGGTAGCCTGCGTATATTCGCCGCTAAAGTAGTTAGACTCGCTCGAGTGTTATCGATCCGCCGCCCTCCTCGACGGGCGTTCTGCCCTATTCGACAGCCTCGCGATTCCCTATCCCCCAGCACCGCGTTTTGAAACCCATCAGTATCCACTAATGCAACTGAAGAACACGGGCCTTCTCCATGCCGGAGCGACTGAGGGAGGGTGATATAGACCATTAACCTCATTCACCCAACGGGCTATGTTCGAAATCCAGTCAGCAAGTCGAACATTTGATACGAGTAAGTTTTAACGTATTAAACTATACTACACGTGTGATACATGCAGTTCAGGGATCTAAACTTAGGGATCTTGTTTTAGTAGTCTTGGCACGCAGCCTTCTTCCGCCTCAATATAGGACCGTATTTCTTATCCTGATCCGTGCACTGGCAACCTACTCAGTATGACTCATGCTAAGCGTGGTACAGAGTTTCTCTATGGTGATTGTGCCGTAGCTATTGAAGAGGATATGTGCAGCTAGGTGACTCATGCAGCCATCAAGGTGCATTCATCCCCGTCTTCATTGACGTGGTAATTGTGCTAGTCAAAGGAATTGGCCCAAGAATTGGCACACTTCTTATTGTTTCTCAAACTAGCAGCAAAATGAACTTTTACGTCTAATAGGGCAGTAATACGGGTTGATGACTTGTTGAGGGGAAGGTGGTGAATTATCGTGGTCGTTCAACCCCGCTCTTCTTCTCCAACGTACAGGTAGGAGATTTCTATTGAAGCCTTCGACATGCTTTGGTCTTCATATAGTCTTCTTTTCGACACTGCTGCATGAGGTAAGATGCACGGCTGCCCAAGGGAGGAACACAATGGCGGATGACCAGGCCAGACTAAAGATACTAAACACACACCTATGTAGGCACGAGCAACCAAGGGTTGGTAAATCTGAGCTGCCCAGCGGCAATACCACCCGATTGTGCCAAGTGTTCTTACTCCTTGTTGTCCTGCCCCTAAAGGAACAATCTGATGCAAGGCTGAACTTATTTCGGCGGAGCCTCGAGAAATTCCCATGAGCATCATCTATATCTAACGAGTCTCATCCCCGTTTTCACTGTATCACCTCTACCATTTCTCTTCTTGTTCTCATCCCAACGAGCTTTTGTTACGTAGTAATACAGCTTACCCATTTCAGTTGCGAAAATGAACCAAGATCCTCCAGGCGACCCTTTAATGCCGATACCTCGGCTCCCACTTTTATATGAACCTCTTTCGGTACTCATAACGTTGGGGGAAGTTAGAGGCAGCCGCATCAAGCCTATCAATGTACCGCAGGATAATTCTAGTTTCAACGTTTTTAACAGTCATAGGTCCTTCGTGGATGCACTTGCCTACGCCTGCGCATACAAGAAGGAACCTGCCTATGTTACTGCGGTCGCGTTGGAAAAGAGACCTGAAGAAATAGTGGTTTTGTTGGCAGCGAACAAAGGTGTAGACGATTCAGTTGTCAGATTCGTTCACGATATCTTGAGAATTGTCCAATGGCTGGCAACAAACCCATCGGCTCAACTGAGCAGTGAGGATGGCAAAGCAGCCCGGCAACTTTTGACGAGCAAAGTGTTGCGCTTCAATGCTCCCAAGATCTATACGTATTATGAGACAATTGTGAAAAAAGCAGCTCCTGCAGTAATGCGCAAGCTCTCTAGTGGGCAGTATGAAGGTATGTTAGTCTCGCACTGTATGTCGACTGAATGCGGCTCACCTTGGTGATACTTAGGTAATCATGAGATCGCCAAATTCAAACAATGGCTGTCCCAAAACCTGCAGAGAGACGGTTTACAACTCCAAGAAGCGGATATGGAGAATTTGGCCGCCATAAGTCACAACTCACGACCTATTTTCGAGGTCCTCCGGCACTTAGCCATGGAATCACATGAGCCCCAACCATTCGAGCGACTCTTTAAGTTGCTCAATAAGCTTGGAAAGCATGTGATCATGAGCAAACGAATAGTGGAAAGCACCATGGTTTTACGTTCGGATTTTGCGCGTGGGATGAGGGTCGAGAGGATTCCTGGGTCTCAAGAGGTTCCCCTTCCCTTTTCGCGCCGCAAGTACAACATTGATGGTATTAGCAATCGGATGTTCCGGGATCCAGCAGAGAAGGAGAGGTTTGTTGCCCGTCTGAGAACAATTTACGACGCAACCGAATTGGACAAGTTGTTGACTGAGAATCATCTTCCGCGTAAAACCATCGTGCATGCGGAGATACTGATTCTCGATCATTTTGAGAAGACCGGAGGGGACTTTCTCAACAATGCTGATAAATACATTGGATGCAGCAAGCCTGCCTGTTATCTTTGCTATCAGTACATCCGCTATCACCCAGGCCGCTATAAACTCCCTCCATCGCACCAGAAACTGTACATGAAGTGGCGCCTTCCCGATATTAGGGAAAGTGAACCGAACGCTGCCACCCGTTTCAGAAACCAAGAACAGATTCTTAGGAATATGACAGATTTTGTGCGAACGGAGTTGAGAAATGACATCGAAAATTGCGTGGGCAAGCTGAAGGGACATCCTGACTCAACTGCAGGGGGAACTTCGACCATGTTTGAAATTGAGACAGGGCTAGAGGCCGACATGGGTTCTTTATCTTTCCAAGAGCTTCGGCAGCAAATCGACCCCGACTTCCAATTCGTCGTTGTTCCCAAGCCAGTCAGCAGCGCCAGTAGTGCCTCTAGCATTTACTCGCGTTCTAGCGCGGATACTGCAGTGTCTGAAGGGGATGGAACTGAATACGATAGCGATGGGGGAGTGGAAGTCTAGAGATATTCTTCTCAAGGACATTGAAGCACTTGGATTTTACTTATATCGAAAAGATCCCACACGCCCAAAGGGCCAAGGTTTTGCATAAGCACCAACTCCAAGATCTTATATTCTCGCTTAAGGTACTATTGATACTATCATGTCTACTAGGTAACTTAGAACTAAAGATGCATTATATCAACCATCATCACTCTAAAGTACATTTACGATAAAGATTTTTTAACTAAAAAAGTTGAAGTCAGAATATAACATGATGTAGGGTTCAGTAATTTTTTCAAACTTGCACGGTTTCTGATCGTATCTGCTAGTCAGTACTACTCTTAAGAATTGTAGGCAAACAGAAAAGTGCAAACCCTTCTACATCATCAGGATAAAGAGAACTATGCCCCCAAGGAGAAGGGAGTGGGCATGGATATGGTTAGGCTTGCTTAACAACTTTTACTTGGCTATATGTGGTTCTCATGGTGAATAATCAATCCCACTCTGTATGTGTTCAGGCAACGATCACTAAGTGATCAGGGACTATCTGGAGGACCCCAAGTCTGCTTAGGTAGTCTATCATTATAAATACTCCGTAAAAATGCTGTTATCAATAACGAGTACATCGTTGGGCAACAGTGTTGTGGATAACATTCCACACACGGAATGCGACATCAACATCATCCCCTCCCTTCCTCTAGATTTTGATTTTGATTCTCACACCTCAACATGAACACCAAAATCAATCACCATGCAATTACTATGGCTCCTGTTGATCTCCCCCGCGTATAGCATCCATCTAGACCCCAACGATCCCACCTCCATCAAACAAGCCGCCCACGATGTGGCCGCCAACATGCTCTCCCACTATACGGGGATGAGACCTGGTGACAACCCGGGGAATCTACCACCCCCATACTACTGGTGGGAAGCCGGCGCGATGTTCAATGCACTCATCGACTACTGGTACCTGACGGGCGACAGTACCTGGAACGCCATCACCACGCAAGCCCTGACCTGGCAGGCCGGGCACACGGGGACATTCATGCCCACGAACCAGACCAAAACCGAAGGCAACGATGACCAGGCCTTCTGGGCCTTCGCAGCCATGTCCGCTGCGGAGCGCAACTTCCCGGACCCAGACCCCAACCACGGGCCGGGGTGGCTGGCGATGGCGCAGGCGGTGTTCAACACGCAGGCGGCGCGGTGGGACGAAACCACCTGCGGCGGGGGGCTGCGGTGGCAGATCTTCAGCTTCAACAATGGGTGGAATTACAAGAATACCATTTCCAACGGGTGTTTCTTCAACCTGGCGGCGAGGCTAGCGCGGTACACGGGCAACAACACGTACGCGGAGTGGGCGGAGCGGATCTGGAAGTGGACAGTGGACGTGGGCTTCATCACGGAAGACTGGCTGTTTTACGATGGGGCGGATGTGCTGCTGAACTGCTCGGACTTTAATCGGATCGAGTGGACGTACAACTCTGGTGTGTATTTGCTGGGCGCGGCGAACATGTACAATTTTGTAAGTCTGCTTTCTCGTCTGATGAGCGTGGCTAACGAGATAGACGGAGGGCGACCCCCAATGGGAGGCGAGGACAAAGCAAATCCTCCAGGCGACCGACGTGTTTTTCGTCAAGGACCCGGCCATGGTGATGTACGAGCGGGCCTGCGAGCTTGTGAATACCTGCCAGGTCGACCAGCGCGCCTTCAAGGGCTTTCTCGCCCGCTGGATGGCGGCGGCCACGCAGGTCGCGCCCTTCACGTACGACTGGGTCATGCCGCGGCTGCGGGCGTCAGCAGCTGCGGCCGCGAGGACATGCACTGGCGGTTCGGACGGTGCTGCGTGTGGACTAAAATGGACGACGGGGGTATGGGATGGCAGTCAGGATGTGGGATTGCAGATGAGTGCGCTGGAGGTGATGCAGGCTCTCTTGATCGACCGGGTAGATGCGCCGGTCACGGATGCCACCGGGGGAACTTCAGTGGGCGATCCTGGCGGCGGAATGGAGCAGCACGATCCACGGCCGCGCGTGCTGACGATGACTATCACCGGAGCAGATCGCGCGGGGGCGGGGCTCATGACGGCGATGTTGGGGGTGTTGGTCATAGGAACGACAGGGTGGCTTCTTTATGAATAGCTTTGTATCTGTAGATGTGTACATCAATCCAAGGTTATTCATTGAAGAGCAGCGATAATCCGTCGCAACGCTTCGTCCAGGTACGCCTGCGGATGGGCAAAGACAATGCGGAACCATCCCGGCGTCTCGGACCCAAACATAGCCCCCGAGGCCAGAAACACCTTGTTCTTCAGCAGCCGCTGCATGATGACCTCGGTGAGCTCCTCATGACTCGCCTCGGGATGGCGCTGGAGATACGGCGTGCCCAGGTCCACCCAGACAAAGAATCCCGCGTTCGCTCCAGCCATGTACGGGATCTCATTCTGCGTCAGGAATCTGACTGTATAGTCATACGCCTCTTTCAGCTTCTCGCAGTTCAACCGGATATATTCATCCGCATACGCATCATCCTCGAGAATATTTGCCGCCAGATGGTCCGCCGGCCCAGACACATACGAGTACAGTGCGACACTGTCGACCGCGGCACGCACATCCTGATTCGCCTGGCTGATTAGCGCCCCCAACCGCAGCCCATTCGCTCCAAAATCCTTGCTCAAACCCCACAAAACATGCACCCGGTCCGCATCGATGAGACCCTTGGTGTCAATACTCAGCGCGGAGACAAACTCCCCTCCACCCCAGACGGACAAGGCATATATCTCATCACTGATAAAATGCATCTCGTGCTCCTGGCACAACCGCATCAGCGCAACCAGGACATCGCGCGAGTAGCACCGTCCCAGAGGATTATGCGGGTGACACAGCAGCAGTGCACGACACTTCTTTCCAGTCCGCTGCTCGAAGCTGCTCAGCGCGCGTCGGTACGCGTCCACGCAGTCTGCGCCGAGCGGATCCGCCCCTTCAAATGGAACAGTCACAACCTCGGTCCCGAACCGCAGCGAGATATCCGAGATGAAGGTACCGTAGTACGGTCTTCCCAAGAGGATCCCCTCGCCTTTATCCGCGAGCGCCCAGGAGAGGTGCTCGACAGCCGCGGAGACGCCGTTGGTGAGGATGAGATGCTGCGGTTCGAGCGGGGTAGCCGGATGGAGGCGTCGGTTAAGGAAGCGGGCCATGGCCACTTTGAGGCGTTTCGAGCCGGATGCGCCGTCATTGTAGGTCAGGGATTTGGAGGTGAGGTGGAGGTCCTGGTGCATGCGGTTCAGGAGATATTCGTGCATCAGGAGGTTCTCGGCTATGCCGACGCTGTAGTACCCGTCGGGGTTGGTTTCGGGGTCGTACAGGTTGGCCAGGACCTCCCAGATGATGTTGTTGCTGTTGGCGTGGAGGACGCCATGTGCGCGGGTCGAGAGGGCCATTTTCATAGATGAGAAATGATGAATTTAGGACGGAGGAAGAGGAGGAAGAGGAGGCAGACGACAAGGAATTAATACCTTCCTAAAGGATGCGAAGTGAGTCAGTTGAGTTCGTGTTGGTGGGTCAAGTAGCGCAGTATTACCCCACCATATCCGTATTCTTCAGCAGTCATGTGGGCTTAGGTGTTACGAGAGGTTTTGTAATCTAGTATTGCATACAACAGAGGTCTGATTCTTCTTTAATAAGCAACCGCAGAGTATCTCGGGGATCTATACTCTGATATGTAGCGAAATACAAGGCATTTTATGCAGTGTACCCGAGGGGTATAGAGCTGTTCTAACCGAAAACGGCTCCATTGTAGCGGCGTCCTGCCGCATCAGGCTCTCATTGGCTGCCACAGCAAGGTTTCCTGTTCCGGTATAGCGCCGTTATCTCCATCCTTGCCGCTTTTACCTCCTCACCTGGCCGCTCCAACCCCTCTTCGCCCTGCCGTTGAGCCGTGGTCCTGAACGGCTTAGTGCCCGCCTCGCCAGCAGATCCCTAAACTAATCCTTGAGGAAGCTTCCAGTTCCAGGATTGCTCCAATTAGATATCATAGATCAATTGCTTTATACGGAAAGGATACACGCAACAGGATAAAGGAACGGTAGCATAGTAAGCATAAGCATAGCAAATAGGGTAGTCCTTGCTGAGTTCCTCACAAAATCCAAGGGGTTGGTCTTGTTGAACACACTAATTTAGAGAAGTGCATTTCCTTACTATTGTATATCAAAAGATTATCATTGTCATCCTTATCTATTTAACGTAATCCACAACCGAGCAGCACACCCAACTGAGCGGCACATAATTTCGCCCACCTCAGCTCCTTCACCCCTGACTTGCTTCACAGAGCTAAAAGTCTATTATTATGCCTCAAAAGGTTGCTGATTCTGTTATTAAATCAGAAAGTCGAATACAACTTGCATTATAAGCATTTAAAAATGGCCAGTTTAAAAGTATTCGTGCAGCAGCAACAGCATATGATGTTTCCTACCATATACTTACCTACCAAATCAATGGTTGAAAATCACGGGCTAATATTTCAGCGAACTGCTAGAAACTTAGTGATCTTGAGGAAACATCTCTAAAGAAATGGATTCTTGATATGGATGAGCGTGGCTTACCACCTACCCATGCTATTGTATATAAGATGGCAGATCTATTACTTTCTTAGCGGAAATCAGGCCTCACTACTAGAAAGAACTGGGTCGGCAACTTTATCTAACGGCATGATGATCTTATATCCAAATATACCCGCAAATACAATTACCAGCGTGCAAAATGCGAAGATCCTAAAGTTATTAATCAGTGGTTTAGCCTGGTTCAGAATACTATAGCAAAATATGGTATTACTGAGCAGGATATCTACAATTTTAATGAAACTGGCTTTTAGATGGGCGTTGCATATACAGCAAAGGTTATTACAGCATCCTGTCATTGAAGTAGCTGGGTATGAGCTATCCAGCCTGGGAATCATGAATGAGTTACTATTATTAAATCTATTAATGCTTCTGGATGGTCTCTCCCCCCAATAATCATCTTCTC